CTCTAGACACACACACACATTTATTGAAGAGACAGCCCTCTGACATTTTTGCTGCTTCTGTCCCATTTCCAGCTGACTCAGCTTGTCTGTCAAGTTACGACAGTTGTGACAATTAAAGGCTGAACAATCAGAGCTCAGTCAGGTGGGGAATTATTTTTAATAGCCTTAAGTAGATGGGAATGTTTTATTGAAAAAGTCCTGAACATTGGCCAGGAACAAAGCCACCCAAGGCTTTTGGATAATGGAAGCTCTGTGAAAGTCATCAAGAACACCATTCTACTTCTCCACATGAACTCTTTCTTTTGGCTGTTTCCACAGAAATAAAAAAAAAAAAAAAAAAAGAAAGAAATTAAGTTACTAGTTTCTGAAAGCATTTCTCTATCAAACTATTACCTTGTCAACATGATGGCTGCAATCATGCTTCACTATGAAAGGCTCTCCATATCCATTTTTAAGCTTTAAGTTCTCAATTTCTTGTACTTACCATAAAGTCATTTCTACAGGTTTACACATATGTGCATTACTACAAGATACTTTTTACGATGTACAATTACCTAAACACTACAAAGTGTTAATTACCTCTTTGCTTCTGCTCCGGCTTCTGTGTTTCCTTCCTTCGGTATCTGGAGGAGAAAACATTTACTGTCATTTACCAGGTTAAAGAGGAGATCACCTGGCTATCTTTCTAGTTCCTCTCAGTTATTCCACCTCCCAAAGTCAAGAGTTAGGACACAAACAGCCCTGTTTGAGTATCTATTCTGCAAAATCTGCTAGTGCCAGGTTTTTGCATTTATTTAAGCTCTGACAGTGGCACACAAACCCACGTGCTACTCCAGCCACATTCTTACACCAGGTCCCCTCATTTTTGTTCTAGCTGTGCAAAAGTATCCCAGTCTAAGCATTTCTAACTAAAATCAAGACAAAATAGTGCTGGTTTCCTGGTTGTGATCCGACCATGGCCCCCTCCCCAACCTCTCAGCACCGACAAGAACTTTTCCTCCGCAGTTTCAATATGACACATTTAAAGACACAAACTCAAAAGCTCAATTTTTCCCCCAATTCTAACAGGTTACCAGAGCTAAGCCTGTCTATTTTTTCCCAAATGGTTTCCAATAGAGCTCAGCTCTCCAAGCCATTTGCTGCAACAAAAACCATACCTGACTTCCGTCTCCTCTCCCTGGACCGGGAGCGTGATCTGGAATAATGATGCTTGGATGTTCGGGGAGAACCAGAAGAGGCATCTGATTGTTCCTTTTTCTTCTCTCTTTCTGGAGAGGATTTTTCTGGGACTACTCCATCTCGTTCTGTGTCACTACCCTGCACGTGAGGACAGAATGTTTAAAAAAACAGAAGCTTGGGGCTGAAAGAGCAAGAAAAACTGTTCACTTTGTACTTCCTCTGAAGATACACCTCATTTTTGTTCTGCAAAAAGTGCTGTGAGCAGCCATCCCACAGTTAGGCAGCAGCTTGTGGACTTGCAGTGCACTGTGGAACTGCATACAGATTGATTTTTTAACACTTTAATACAGAGGACTAATAAGAGAGTAACATTTTACTCTCTCACTACATTAGACTGTACTTTACTTTTTTCCACGTGCTTTTGAGACTATCAGGAAGACCAAACTGTGATGCAGTTTTCTCTAAATGGTGGTGGGAGGTCAATCACCTTTTAACATTTTCATTATCAAGATTACCCAAGGTCACTGCTGATCAACAGATCTAAGTGAGCTCACCAAATCCCCACACTGTTTTGAAGCACAGGAATGAACTTTGAAGAGAAATAAAATCAGGTGGATTGTGTTAGTGTTAGACAGCTGATTTCTGAGTGAGGGAAAACCTCAACAGTATCTCTGGGCAAACATCTGTATTTGTGTGTGAGCTCACACAGGTCACTCACAGCTGCTCCAACAATCACATTTTTCTTGGCTAACAAAAACAAGATGTTCCCTCCATTGATGTAGGAGAACTAAACCCAGAAACTTATCTTGGGTAGTCAAGACTACTTTGTGACTCCATCTAAGAGAGGTAAATGAGTACAACGGGTGTAGAGTGCACTGAGAGGAATGGAATGGAAACAGGACACCCTGAAAAGGTGCATGTGCCCCGTGAATGCTTTTACAGCTTCACTGCTCTCTCTTGCTCTGACCTCATCAATGCCAGTCATAACCAAACCTTCTCAGCATCCTGTGGCTGCAGGAGATGTCACTAAGGGCATTATTTGACCCACAAATGCTACTCATGAAGATAATTTAATGTAGCAGAGGACCTGAACTTGCAGTTTTCCACCAGCTGCAACTGGTAGAACTGTTTGCACACTGAACATTGACAGGTGAAAACCTCTCAAAAATTGGTTTGTATCCATTACTTTGAAAACAAAGCAGCTACTTTTCCTTAAACCTCAAGAGATTGTCATTAACATATTGTGTATTAATGGCAGAATTTCTTCATTACGTGCACCAGGTTAATATTTGGATTTGTTTTCAGCTGCTCCTGCTTAGCCTGGCCAGTTCTTTATCAATTTACATCTATAAAAACATTTCTCTTTCAGACACAAAGCAGCTGTTCACTTCTCCATCTGCATGGTACACACAGACCTAGCTGAGCACTGACAGCTCAGGATTGCACCTGCAGCAGAACTTTAGAGTCCCAGGGACACTTCTGAATATCATTGATGCCTCCCACACCTTCCCAAACACTTCAGCACGTCAGATAGAGAGCAGGAAGGACACCTTTATTTGTCATCACAATACCTGGCATTCCACACCTATCCCTCACCTGCTTATCTACACTTCCCCCCCTTCCTCATCTAAGGTTTCAAAAAGCCTCAGCTAGGAGAGTTTTCAAAGGAACTTTGAGGTGTCTACAAATTTACATTTTAAAGTCACTTGAGAAGGAGAGAACCAGTTAAGAGTGTAAGTTAGCTGGGATCTTAAACATTATCCAGCTGAAACTGAGCCCACTGCCACCTTCTCCAAGGCTCCCAGTGTCATTATTTACACACCGTGCTGCTCTTTAATGCCCTTGTGCTCCTCACCTGAGGGAAATCTCAGTGCACCAAAAACCAAACCAGCAATAAAAAAGCTGCCAGAGTTCACTCAGATTGCTGCCACTTCTCAGCTTGGCCACAGGCTCAGTTCTTACTTTGAACAAAGCCCTTGCCTGCACTTCAGAGGAACCTCAAAGGTAGTGCCTTCAATCAGCGCAAAACTACGTAATTCTTCAAGTCCTTTTACAGAAAAACACCTTCTGTTATATAAGCAAACAGAAATCACATTAAAAGGGAATGATTTTCTCCAGAAGTTTAAGGCCTCCCCTTTCTGCTTCACCACAAACTGAAAAATTTGTTTCGAATTTTCAAAACTAGAACTTTGAACATTTTGTGGCATCAAAATGGTAGTTCAAAGTCAACTTTTGAAAGTTTTATCACTTTCAAGCGGGCTTTGTTTGTTGGGCAGTGTTTTTATTTTTTTTACTCTCAAGACTACTGAGTAACTTTCGAAAAAATTAAACACTTTTAAGTTTGAGAACTCTTTGGTAGCTCTTACTGATTCTTCACCTCATTAATGGGTCAAACACCTTAATACGTTACCAAGACAGATCATTTTTTTAAAAGAGAATAAAGCTGCACTCCGAGACTCTGCTTGAACATGAGGGGCAGTGGTAACTACAGCAGAGGCGCTTCTTATCGCTATTATTTATAGAAAGCAGGATGTGGGCGAATAATTCAGGAAATACATATAAGACCTGTGATCAAACATAAATAATAAAGCAAGGAAAGAAAAATAAATAAAAACCAAGCATGGCACAGACACCAAATCGCTCCCCTCACAGGGAAACCCGCGCGCCCACAGTCCCCACGAGAAACGCCCGTATCCCCAGACCCCTTCTCCCCGCAGCCAGAGAACCGCAGCTCCTCGATCTGAGGGGCCCTTCTCCCGTCTCCGAGCCCGGGGCAGAAAGTTCTGGAGCCCGGGCCGGCAGCGGCGGGCGCGGCGCGGCCGCTCCTCCCCGAGCCCATCATGGCGCCGCAGCCCAAGGCGCGGCGGGCGCCATTTTGTGCCTCCGCGCACACCGCTCCCGACCCGGCCCTCCCCGGCTTCGCCCCCTCCGCAGCCCCTTCCCGCTCCCCTCGCCCCCAAACCCCGCCGGCGGCCGCCGCTCACCGCCATGACCGAGCGCCCGGGGGCCGCCGCCGGCCCTCAGCACGTCCTCGGAGAGGCTCGACCTCGCCCGGCTGCCGCGGCCACAACGCTCGCAGCGGCCCCGCCCGCCCTCAGCGCAGTGCCCGGATGGAGCGAGGGGCGGGAGGGGCGGAGGGGCCGCGGTGCCTTGTGGGCCGGGGAGGAGCGGGCGGCATCGCGTTCCGGGGAGGTTTGGCCGCCGCCGCTTCCCGTAGCGGCCGTGCCGGCTCCCGCCAAATTGAAACCTGAGGGAGCGGCCGAGGGGGCGCCGTGAGGTCGGGGGCACGGGGGTCACCGGTGAGGGGATCGGGACTTCACCGGTGAGGGGATCGGGGGGTCACCGGGGAGGGGATCGGGGGCACGGGGGGTCACCGGTGAGGAGATCGGGGGTTCACCCCGGAGGGGATCGGGGGCACGGGGGGTCACCAGTGAGGAGATCGGGGTCCCTGGGGGCAGGGGGTCCCTGTAGTCAGAGGATGGGGAATCCCTGAGGGCAGGGGGTCCCCAAGGGCAGGGGATGGGGGTCTCTGGGGATAGAGGGTCCCTGTGAGCAGAGGGTGAGGGTCCCTAGGGCGCAGGTTTGTCACCCATGGGTCCCTGTGGGTGGGGGTCTCCGCAACGTGGCGGGGAGGGCTCTGGCCCTGAATTTAGTTCCCGAAACGTGTTCTCCCCAAGCTGCCTCCAGCCGGGCTGGGATCCACACCGTTCAATGTCTGTTCTAAACACACGGTTCACCCTGCTGAGGCTCGTGCTGCCCTTTCCCCTGCACGGTGTCACCGGGCAGTAACGAAACACTGATTTGTCTGTGATCGTGTAACTCTCCAAGGCTGCCTGCTCTGCAACACTTTCCCTCAATGTTTCTCCCAGGGCAAGATGTGGAATGACATCGAGCTCCTGCTCAGCGATGACACGGGGAGCGTGCAGCTCCCCGTGGGTTTGGGACAGGAATGTGGCACCGCGCTGTACCAGGTGGACACACTGCTGCAAATCACGTCTTCAGAAAAGGTACAACCCACCCAAACCGCGCTTTTATTTCCCTTAATAACCACCAGAAGCTCTCTGTGGTGTTTTCTGGAGCGTTACTGTAACACCCTGTCCCTTCCCAGGTCTCAGTTAACCCTCAGCTCCAGGGGTGCAGCTCGAGGGACGGCAGCGTGGTGGTTGTTGCTGACAGATCAGTGGCACTGCTGGACAGCACCAGGCTGTCCCTTCTGCTCCACGTTCAGTTTGGTAGGTTCATCCCTCTGGAATTCCACTGGAAATGAAAAGCTGGCTTTGAAAACACGTATTTGTTTGTGTAGGAAAACACAGCAAGTGTCTTCCGTGTCTAACTAACCCGTAAAAGGACTTATTATAATAAGTACCTTGGTAATAAAAATTTCTGCTTTTCAACACATTGAATTAAGTATTTCTGCACAATTTAATTGGAATGCTTCCTAACTTTTCATTGAAATGGGAATAATGGATATCAAACCCACTCCCTGTATCCCCTTTTCTGCAATTCCTTTAATCTGGGACACTGTATTGTCCAATTCCTGGGTTTCAAGTGTGAATGTCTATTCATAAACCCCAAATCTTAATATCTGACATTTTGCCGTGGACCTTTCCAGATACTAACGTGGATGTGGTTGGAATGTGTCAAGAAAAACAATTCCTTGTGGTTGGTGAGAGAAGTGGCAATTTCCATCTTATTCACATTCCATCCAAACAAACCTTGCTGACCAAGGTACAGGAACTTCTGTGTTTGGTTTTGCTGAAAATCTTTTGTTCTCAGACTTTCTTCAGGGTTTTTTTTTTTAATCTTTCTTCCAAATGTCAAGGTATAAACATTCCTGTGTTTTGAAGACACATTCTAATCAGACATTAAAAGGGTCACTTTTCTTCCCATGAGTAATGAATAAGGAAAAAATATTTAGGAATTGCTTGTATGAACAAGAACCAGTCCTTCATGAAAGACAGAAAAGTTTAAATTTCGAGCTGATGATCAATATTTTAATAAAAAAAAATAGAATAATAATCTTTATACTCTTTCTATTTTAGATTTTGGTTGAAAATTCTTCAAGGGAAAAGGCTTACTTAAACCTCTTTATTGTAAAAGATCATGCAGATGCAGGTAAGAATTGGATGGCTTTTTTTTCCCCCTTGTCTGAATTCTTGTGATTTTGTTCCCCTTTTACACCCTCAAGGAAAGAGACTGCAAAACAAATAACACAGGAAATCACAAAGAAAAGTACATTTCAAAGCAAGTAGTCTCTTTCCTTACCCTTGAATATTTAAATCTGAAATATGTGTGTTGGATTTTTCTTTTTTAGGTGTTTATCACATGTTTGTTCTCACAAGCAATGGGTGTTTCTGCATCCTGTGTCTCCCCCTTGCTAAGACACAGGAAGGTAGGACGAGCTACAAAGCACCTGGGATGTCACTGGGACAGGGAGAGCTGTGTCATAAGAGCTTTTCCACACCATTCCTGATGGGAAGAAGTTGCTGAGCTGGGATTTTCTGTGTCATCTTAGTTTGGTTTTTAAGGGGGAACTGAGACACAGCTAACTCTGGAATAAAATGATTTTGGTATTTTCCCCACTAATTCTTTTACCTTATCTCTGAGTCACTGCTTTAGAGAGCAGGATTTGCAGCCATAATCTTAGCTGTGCTTAAGAATATTGGAAATCATTTCAATTTTTCATGCTCTATAAGTGTAGTTATTAGTTAATTCTCTGTAACTCAGCACTGCCACTACCCAAGATCCTGGGTGTTTTTCCCAGCTTAGTCAGGTTAGGGCTATGTTTCTCTCATCATGTTTAGTGGCTTTTTTAAATTTTGAAAACATTTATTTAACACTGATTTTATTTTTTTTTTCAATTATCCAGCAATTGAGAAGATGGACATGACCACAGCAAAGAAAGTAAGAAATACCTGCAAACTGGTACCGTGTTCTAAGTGCAGGGTTTGGGACAAAACTTTGCACCTTTCATTGACTATTTACCAGTTTATTATTCCTGTGATTGACACAGAAATGAGCAGTTCCAGGTTTTTATCCGCTGATGGCATAAACAGCTTCTTTTCTTCCCCTTTTGTCCCCTTCACCTCCCACCCCCCAAGTTACAAGAAGAGATAAAGTCAACCTTCATTTCCACGGAGCAGCATCCACGGCCTGGGCTGTCAGGGCTTTGTGCTCAGCAGCACAGTGAGCAGGATCCATCTGATCATTGGGGTAAGACCTCAGGGTGTGTTTGCAACACTCCTTGTGTCAGCAGTGAGGGTGTTTCTTTGATCTGCCCTGAAATTCATCTTTAACCCCTTAAAAAACACCATCAGCTTTTGGCACTGAGACTCTTCTGCCTTTCATTTTCCTCACTGTAAATTGAAGTTCTCGGCTGTGCAGCCTGTCTGGGGGCTTTGCTCTCCTAAGAAAATAAGTTGTCATTTCAGAAATCACTTTGTTAGGATGGATGAGGGGGGAATATTTTCACCCTGGTTACGTGAGCTCGGTAAATCACTCCTGCTCTGCACTCAGTGGGCCATTTCCAGCCTCACCCTTGAGGCAGAGCCAGAGCTGGAAAGGATCTTCCAATCAGCTTCATCAGCTAAAATAACCAGGTCTGATTTAGCAAAGCTTTTTGAGCATAAATTAAGTACAGGAACTAATAAAAAAATTAAAGTACAGATATATGTTGAAATGTTCTTTTGGACTAGAAACAAGTTTATTTTTTGAAGCTTGTTGAATTCAGGGGGATTTTTCTCAGTGGGTCCAGGGTAATTTCATTCAGCTTTTATGTTCTGTAAGAATGGAAAGTGGAGGGTTTGAACTATTTTTAAAAGAGCCATAAACTGCTGATTGTAACAATCACTGGAATAAAATCAGAGTCCCAGAACATGCTGAGTTGGGAGGGACCCACAGGGATCATGGAGTCCAACCCTTACCTCTAGAGGAAATTAATGTATTTTTTCTGAACATCAATATAGGAATAAAGTTTGCTTTGCAGCTTTCCAAGTTAAAGAGCAGTTGTCAAGGACAAATATCTGCTGTAGGACCCCATTTGCCTTTGCCTTCTCTCACAGGGTAGAGGAGATCACGTGCTCTCCAAGTGGGAGGTGGACACTACCAATGCCCTGGTGTCTCTGCAGAGTTTTGCTGATTCAAGTCTGATCAAAGGTAAAAAAGTTTTTTTCATTTTATAGGCAAGTGTAGAATTCACATTTAATTGCACAAATTACCAGTTTTCAGTTATTTCACTGTTTTCAGTAAATGCACATTTACCAAAAGAACAGTTCCTGTAAAGGAATGGCCAAAACGTGCCTGGAAACCCCAGAGACACGAAAATCACAATTCCCTTTGAGCTGAACCCTGCACAGCCCTGGGAAATTCCATGAGCTTAAACATCCATAGGCTTCCAGTAGTTTTATGTTTGAATTTGTTTTGGTTTCAAACACATTACCCAAGAAAAATAACAAATGTGTGTGACTGTTGTTACTTTTCAGGTGCTGCAAAACTCCAAGTCCTCGACAATCTGCTGTTTGTTTTAGATACAGAGGTGTGTGCAATGATTTTGTTCAGTCTTTGTTTTACAATGTTCTTGAACCAGCTTCTAAACCTATTTTTTAAGGCAAAAATAGCTTTAAAATAGAGTTTCTATAACATAAAGATGATTACATTTACAAAGTATCTTGATCTTCCTGTTTGTTTGGTTTTTTATTCTACTCCTGTTCATTATTTAAGCTCGGGAATATATTAACATTTTGCTCAAAAAGTAAAACAAAAAAAGTCTTCTCTGAGGAAAATCTGAAATCATACTTGTTTTGTTTTGTTTTTTTTTAAATGCAGAACATCTTAAGCATATGGGATGTTTATTCTCTTACTCTGATTTGGGATTGGCCTTCAATCCGTATCGAGGAATTTCTTCTCACTACAGAATCAGATCCTGCTCAGGCCATGTGGTGAGTGGGAAGTCCCAGCACCAGTTCTGGAAAGGGAAAAGTTGTCTGGAGTTGCAGGAAATGTGCCTGTGTCCATGGGACACTGTATTTCCCAAAACTCAGAAACAAGAATATTTCCTGCTTTTACCATGAGATTAATACAGCATATTTTGCTTTTTTTTTCCTCTCTTTCTCCTTCTGTAGGGAAGGGCTTGCCAACCTTAAACTGATTGTCATGACAATCCCAGATAACCAACAGGTATGAGCTCTTTACAAATCTCTTTATAACCTGTTTTTCTGTCTTTTATTCTGTTCCTCAAGTGTTGTGCAATTGCTCCCAGAGAACAAAAAAAAAAAAAAGGGGGGGAGGAGGTGAATGGCTAAATATTGGGAGCACACAGAATTCTCAGGAGCTTGAGGTGCCACCTGAAAGGTGACCATCTATATTTTAAGGATATAAAGTGAGGGCTGTTGGGATTTGAGCAGGGCAAGCTGTCCAGCTGTTTGGGATTTTTTTTTAATGGATTATTTGGGATTTATTTGTTTGGGAGGTTTTTTAATGGTAAGTAGATAAGGAAGAGCAGCAAAGTTCACTCTTGTTTTATACACTGGGAGACTTGGTAGGTGCAGGGAGAAGAGATTTTTTTCTTCCCATCCTTGCAGGGACACAAAATACTCTGCTGAGTCCAAACTTAGCAGGAGCAAAAAGCTCAGCAGCTTGAGCCTTGTCTTACTCACCTGCCAAAGCCAGGCTGGGATTTTACACTTCTAAACTCTCTCTCTTGTCTCCCTTTCCCCCAGGCCTGGGGGAAAAGTGCTTTTCAGTCTTTACCAACATTTCAGAGAGAGCAGCTTCTCCTTCAACAGGCAGAGAACAACCCAAAGGAAACACAGAGTGTGAAAATTCCCACACTTAAACTGTGTTCTTAGCATTGCCAGCTGCAAAGTTCTCTCAGGGGAAAACAACTAAAGGAGGAAAAACCTCTCCTCTTCAGCTCTTCCTTCTCACCTCCACCTTCCCAGAGCTCCCCAGAGCAGCATCAGCATCTCCCTGCAGGTGCAGCACTGACTGAAACACAATGTCAGGATGAACATTCTACATTTTTTTACATTAAATTAAACCTGTCTGATTATACATAAGAGAGAGAGAGAGAGGCAGCATCTAAAGCTTCACCAAACTTTCTCAGACTGGAGATCTGCCTTCCATAAAAACTTACCAAAATAATCTTCCCTCTAACTCCAGCAGAATTCAGAACTGATTCTGCAAACCTCCCTCTGTCACCAGGGTAAGAAAGGAAAGTAATTCTGACTTCTTTGTTTGTTTTCTCCTTTTTTCATTTATAGATGAGAAGTCTGAAGGTTTTTGCCTTGCCCACTATGGAACTGCTGTATTCTCTGGAAGTATCTGCTGTTTCATGCCTTGTTCAAAGTGGGATTTGCACAGTAGGTTTAGATGATTTTCTTTTTGTTCTTTGAAGAAATACCATTCTCTTCATACACAGAAATATTGAGGAAGGCACCACGTTATTCTTGTTAGATTAGAATCAACCTGTGCTAGAAATGGTGCAAGAACTATACAAAGAAAAATTTCAGTGATGTCCTCAAAGGATGGGGAAAAATACAGTATTATATAGCAAAATGAACAGTTTAAACTTAGGCCCAGGCCTGCTGCAGTGTTTGCCTGTACTGTCAGTTGTTCTGGCTGCTTTTACAGCTGAGAACTGTGTGAAATTTTAAGCTCTGTTTAGCACAGAAAAATGCTCGGGATTTATTTGAAATGTATTTCAGTTCAGATGAGAGAATTCCTTCTTTTACTGTTTAAAAAGCTTCTTGCAGAAGACTTTTAAAAAACTTCAACAAAATCACCTGAGAGAGAAGCAGCAGTTTGGTTCTAGATTGAGACACACTCGATTCATACCACTGGTGCTTCCTTCCCCACCTCACGACTTCCCTTCCTGCATCTTCCAGGACACAATTTACTTCTTGGAAGGAATTCGGGAAAAGCATCAGATGTAAGACAAGATTTTGTTTCTTACTAGATCATTATTGTGTGAAAATGGCAGATGATTAACTGTGAAACCACCCCGTGTGGCAGTAACCTCCTTCCCTCTCATCCCCAGGGCCTCTCAAGATCCAGTTTCCATAGTTGTGATGAGGAGTTTAACTGAAGCCTTGCCAGAAAATAGGTACTGTTTGCTGGCAAATCCTATTTTAGGACCATTTTTTTTAAAAAAAAACCCACCTTTGGTACTTCTGCTGGAGTGGTTTGACTTCACTTTCTCACCCCCAGGCTGAGTCGCTTGTTGCACAAACGGAAATTCACTGAGGCAGAGAACTTTGCTCTTCAGTTTGGACTGGATGTGGAGGTAAATTGCTCAGTGAGAAATACATTTTAATTAATTAATTAATTCATTAATTAGTAAGGTTCTTGCCCTGTAACCCGACAGAAAATATTAGAAACATTACGAATACATAAAATGTGACTTTACGAAACAACTCGAAAACTAATTCCAAATTAACTGACTGTGAGGTGAACTATGATTTTATTGACAATAACAAGGAGAAGTGGTGCAGAAATACATCTGATCAAAATAACTGCTGCTGCACCACGACAAGGCACTTTTGTCCCTTTAGGTTGCAGGAAACTGTTGCTAAAAAAACCCAAACAAACAAAAAAAGGAAAGTGCACAAAAGTGTAGATTTTTTCAGTTGAGGATGCCTGCTTTAAATTTAACTGCATCAAACTGAAACTGTTTATTTTTTAAACAGCTCGTGTACCAGGTGAAAGCAAACATTATTTTAGAGAAAATGGCCTCAGCTTCTGCTGGGAGTTACGGTCAGGAAGCCTGGCTGGATCTCGTGAAAGAAGCCAAAGAGAATCTGCAAAAAATTCAGGTTTGGTTTTATTTCTCTTCCTCTACCAAGTAATTCAAGTTCTAAAGGATCTTGGGATTCATTTCAGTTGTTTCTCGTGCCAACAGGACAGGCAGTTTGTTGTGAATTATTGCATCAGCGCCCCGTGGCCTCTGTATGAGAGCACTCAGGAGATGCTGAACTACGCCAAAGTCAGAGTAAGGGGCTTTATTTCTTGGAATTGCTGATTATCCCTGAGTCCTGTTCCAGCCTTCTGTGCCACTTCAGAGGGGGACAGAGCAGCTCCAGTCACTCAAAAAGTAAAATGCATTATATATTCTTTGCTACCAAACCTTGTTCTTGGACAAAAAAATTACAGTCTTATTTTTGCATCAGAAAGCAGGTTCTCATTTTGAGGAGCAGCCTTTGTAAGTGCCTTTAAAATATTAATTTTCAAACTGAAGCTTAAAATAGGCCACCTTCACTGTTGTTTTAGCCTTTCCTGCCTTATCAAACAGCATCAGAGGGATGAAAGTTGTCTGTCTGACCCTCCATTCATGCAGAAATCCACTCAGATTGGGTTGGACCAGGTTAGACCCCAATCTAACTCTAATAAAAGAGAGTTTAAATAAAAACAAAAAAGAGAGTTAGAAATAAAGACCTCAGTTTGCAGAAGCACCAAGATTTCCCTCATGTCTCTTGAAGTGCTGGTTCTGCCTGGCAGGTTGGGAGCTGTCAGCCAAACCACCTCCTGTGTTTGTTTCAGATCCTGAAGAAGGATGAGAGGAGCTCAGCTCCATCCTCTGATGGGGCTCCAGTGTCCATAACCGAGGTGAGGACAAACTTCCTGCACCTGCAGCATCAGAGAAACTGTTACAATGTAGAGTTTTAAAAACTGTTTGCTCTTGAACTCCTAAAAAGTCTAAACAAGATCATATTTTATAGCCTGAAAGTGAACCACAGTGATGACAGGTTGAGAAATGAGCCATTCCTTCAGTCATAGAAAGATGCAGTTTCAGATGCTCCATAAATTGAAGGCAGAACCTTCCTTAAAGTGCTGTTGGGTATTAAATTTTGTTTCTTTTTTAATCCTGTTGGGAACTGGACAGGCCTCACCTGCCTTCAAAGCCAATCAGTGTGAAGTGTTACACAGCTGAAATGTTTGATTAATGCTTCGTTAAGAAACTCCCAGATAGAATCAACTGAAACTCTTGGAAAGTCTTTCCTTTCCTCCATTCTTCCTCTTTGTGATGGTTCTTCTAACCCTGCAGGATCACTTTTTGGTAAGTCCCAAACTGACCTCCAATCTTGTGTTTGCACTCAGGTACTGAGAGCTCAGGCAAGGCTCACAACGTTCTATGGAGCTTTTGGACCAGAGAAATTCAGGTTTGTTTGTTAAGGTTGAAAGCAGATTTAATCCTACCCCTGAACTGAAATTTGAGTTCATGAAACTTTAAACCCTTCCTTTACTGCTGGAAGTTTCCCACCCTGTGCTGTGGGGAAGGGAGAATGGAGAGAGGCTGTGTCATCCTGTATGTTGAAACCCTAATTTATCTCTTGCACGTGCACTTGAGTAGATTTTTTAATTCAGCGTGTATAGAGGGGAATTATTTTATACACACACAACCTGTTGCCTCTTACATCACATAACACTGAGCAGAAAAGCTTTGAATTTCTCCCCCAAGTCCTTTAACACTGACATATAATCAAGATTCTTTCCATTCTCCTTTCCAGTGGGATTGCTTGGACAGAGTTCCTCAACAACACGGACATGTTCAGGACCATCATCTGTGAGCTGCAGGAGGGACACTTCTCCTGTGCACAGTACCTGTGGCTCAGGCACCAGGTGAGAGGGCACAGACACCTCTGGAATTTGGGGAGGGTGTCAAAGCTCTTCCCTTCTCCAGCCTGATTTCACAGCCACACCAACACTCCTCTTTGAGGAGTGTTGGTGTGGCTGTGAAATCAGGCTGGAGAAGGCAAAGTCTGTGGCAGAGTCTCACCTATCACCACACTGCTCACCTGCATCCTTGGGGGGCTGAACTTATTAATGCTCTTTCTGATGTCAGATGACAATTCCTGGTGCTTGTAATCATCCCTTTACTGTCCTGCAAGGCAGAGCTCTCCGAATTTTTCATGGCCATTTGCTGCCCACCTTCAAATCCTTCAAAAACAACCCCAGTGACTCCTCACTCTGGGTGCCACATTCAGAGCTGGGGGCTGCTGATGGATTTTGAAATGCAGGACTTGGAGATCCATGTCTGTTGTTTTCTTAATAAGGCAGAGCTCTAGAACAAGTCCTAAAGTAACAGGACACTAATTTGTAAAGAAATTACTTTATTAGGTCTTTTTTTAAGAAGACCAGAGCTCTAGTTTTTCTGATCAGGGCCAGCCTGATTTTTTAAATTAAACCTTTTTTAATTCCTGTCAATGATTTTCTCTTTGTACTCGTGAAATAATTTCCAAAGTACCAGATAAACATCTACACTACCTGTCTGTCGTTGTTCTGTTTCAATATTTCAGGCAGATTTTGAAAACACCTTTGATGAGAAGATGCTGAAGGACTTGCTGGGTGCCATCCCTTTCACTGTTCCTTTGCATGAACTGTGTTTGTGGCTTCAAAATATTGTGATCCCCTTCTCAAGGAGGGTTGTGCCCAGTGGACAGGTGAGACTCACTGAATTCATGCAAAATGTCATTTTCTCAGGCCAAGACAATTTTTGAGTTCAACCTACAGGTTCATTTCTGAATGTCAGGCCCTCCATCTCCTGTCTTTGAAAGGGATTCTTTTCCCTACTCTTTGTATCTCAAATTATTTCTTTGAAAAGACATTACTAATGACAATTTTTTCTTTGATAAACAGCATCACTCTACTTATATCTGTATTTCTTTATTTTTTTTTTTTAGAAAATATTAGCAAAGTGGCTGGAACAAGGTGCTCGAAACCTGGAGTTAACTGACAAGGTGAGTCACTGCAGACACTCTGCATGTCTTGGATTTCCATGGATTTCCATATGGACAGTAGAGGTTGCTCATGTCAATTATTTTGGACAGGCAAATTGGCCAGAAAATGGACTCCAAATGGCAGAGATTTTTTTCACAAGCAAAAATCAAGGTGAAGGGGGACTGACAACTCTTGGCCACTCGACTGCTTTGGTAAGAAATGCAACAAATGTAAGAATTAGCTGAGAGAAAAGAAGGAACCAAGTTCCAATTTTCTTGAATTTAAAGATTAACAGAATGTTTGTGACACCTTTTAATAGCCTTGTAACGTACCACTGTCTCTGAATGCTCTTTCAGAGATGTGGGGACTGTGAAGAGATCCAGAGGTTAAAGAAGCTGGTAAATGATTTACAAGAACTGATCAATCTGTACAGAAAATACAACTGCAGGCTGGCCCTCTCGGATTTTGAAAAGGTAATTCTGCAGACACTCCCAAAAGTTAGGAACAACTTTTCTCTCTGCTCTGGGTGTAAATAGAATGTGACAAGATCCTGGGAGAAGGTGGGGCTCGAACTCCAGGGCCTGCAGTTCATTACAAAAGAGCAAAGAGCAACAGAGAAATTAATATACAACTGACCAAGAAGGGGCTTGGTTAAAGAAGGTTTTATTGGAGATAAAGAGGGTTGTTGGCTCTTTAAAACACTCAGTGGATGTCAGTGGCCTCTGGGTGTGAATTATTCAGCAGAGGTGCAAAGGCTCAGCACATGTGGGATGTTCTGACCTGGCCTTGTTCTGGTGCTGCCCAGGAAAACGCCACGACCATCGTGTTCCGCATGGTCGATAGAATTTTGGCCCCCGAGCTCATCCCGTCGATTTTGGAGAAGTTCATCAAACCCTACCTGTGTGAACACAACCTCCAAAAGGATGAACTTCTTCTGCAGTACATAAAGGTACCCGGATTTTCCTCCTTTGGAAGGAAGCTGGCTCAGCATGAGGGAGCAGAGAACAAACCCTGGGACCACTTCTGTTGACACTTGAATTCTCAGACTGGCTTTCAGAGCAGCTTGTTCCTGTCAGTGACCTTAATGACAGCAACTATTTCAGTGGGAGGCCAGAAAAGATACAAAGGGAATTAGCCAAATCTATCCCTCAATGTCCAGGAAACAGTTTAGTTCTAAGATAACCCTACTAATCTTTCTTTGTATCTCCAGGATTTGCTGGAACCTTGTCGGACACGATCCACCTCAGTGTTTGAAACTGCCTGGGAGGCAAAGGCCATTGCTGTCATTGGCTGCATCTCTGACACAGATGTAAGTCTATTCTATGAAAGAGGCATCAGGTGACTCCAAAACATCAGTTCAGACTGAAACATCAATTTTACAGGAGCATCTGGGCCCATTTTTACAGGAGTGCTCTGAGGGGACACCACTGTGCTGTCCTTTTATTCTGTTTTAGTCATGCCCCCAGGTGATGTTCTTTGAGAATTAAACTGCACTTTTGATGTCATCCCATGCAAAACTCACTGACTTTAACATGGAGGAAAGTCAAGCTGCACAGTGCTGGAAATGACTGTGAGCATTTTGTAATCTAAGCTGACACCTCATGTAAGGACACTGAGTGTCCTTTATGCAGGTGGAAATAAAACCCTTGCCTAAAGGAATCAGCCACGTGTGAACAACAGCCCAGGAGATTTGAAACTGCTTTGATTTGGAAAGGAGGCTGTTTGTGTTCCTTTTCCAGCTGAAGTTTGATGCAGTTCTGCAGCTCATGGGCAGTGCTACAGTGCCATGGAGTGCAGCAGTGGAGCAGCTGGTGAAACAGCACTTGGAGATGGATCATGGCAAGTAAGAAACACCCCCAGGCTACGCTGGGGTGGGGAAACACCGTGTCTGTGACGTAGTGGGATGGTTAAACCACAGAGCAAAGACATTCAGAAGAGTCTGATTTGTCCCCAGAGTGAAGTTACTGCAGGACAGTTACAGGCTGATGGAGATGAAGAAGCTGTTGAGAGCCTATGGGATAAGGGACACCAATCTTTTAAGGGACAACGAGATGATCATGGTGAGTCACTGAGGCTTCAGGCCTGGTTTGTCCCAGGGAACAGGACTTGGTGGTTTTTTACTTTGTTATTTTTGTACCATCTCCCCTTCATCAGGAGAAAAGTGGAGTATTTCTGGAGAGCTTCCTTGGCATCCTGAGGAGCCAGAGGAATATTCAGAGCTCCCAGGTCAATCCCCTCCCCAAGCCCAGTTTTGTCCCAGTCACACTTCACTCGGCTTTTCTCCAGATAAAAGTTTGAAGCTTCCAAGTAACTTGCTTGGTGTGAGCTGTGCAGTCCCCTGGGGAAGCAGGGTGGACAAACTCACTCCTTTGTTACCTTGAACACCAAGAAACTCAAGTCCAGACCTGTTTTCTTCTTGCAGATGCTTGTGAGATACATTCTGAAGCAAGACACCCCCACCTGTTTGGAGGATGCCTTGAAGATTGTAGAAGCGTATGCACTGCCCACTGGGGAGCTCTACTTCCTGAGGATGATGGACCTGATTGGCAGAGAAAGGGTATGGAAATGCTTCTTGTCAGGTGATTCTGGAATGTGGAGACAGTGACACCCATTTACAAAACAGTTGTGTTGTTTCCTCAGATCTTAAAAGCACTTTATATATATATTTTTAATTAAAATTGTAGTAATTCTACACCTCACTGCCTTTACTCAACGTTGAAAGGGAGTCCTTTGTCAGAGTTTCATCCTTCATGTGTGGCAGAAAAGGATGAAAGTTGTGACCTACAATACACCAGACAAGTTTGGAATTGAAGTCCCTGCATATTTTCACTTACTGGTTTTACTTACAATGGTTGCATCATAACCAGCTGGGTATCAGAGCAAGGACAGCCACATAACTGAGCTTCTCCAAAAGCAAATACCCATTTCTCTGGCTTATTTCTGGTTGAATTTTGTTTGTTTTTCTCCCTCCAGGGAGAGGAATCTCTGACTCTGTTGAAGTCTCTGACTCCTGCTGAAGCTGAGGAAGTTGCAGAGAGATTGACCATATGGGCAAAACTGGTGTTAAAGAACAAACCAGATGATCCTGAGGAGGTACCGAGTCTTTTCATGCAGTAAAGAAGTTATTCTAAATGCTGGTCTTGCTCAGAGGCTTAAAAAGAGCCAGGGGATGCAAATGAAAAAACTATCTTTGGAAAAAATTGGAAAAAAAAAAGGGATGAACTGATGCTGCTCTGAACAAGGGCTTGGACTGAGAGAGCTCCTGAAGTTTTTGGGAACAGTCGTTTTGGGGAGTTATTCTGGAAAAGGCAAGGACAAAGAAAGGCAGAAGGGTGGATTTATCTCCAAAGCCCTGTGAGAGGAACAGACTGAGTGTGGCAAATCCATAATTACACCTGCAAAGTATTTACTGTTTCTTTGAAGGATTCATACTTGCAATAACTTGCTGTTCCCTTGCTTTTCAACTGGTTGTATCTTAGATTTGACAGCTGTTGCTGCAGGTGTTGGGAGAGCATTACAAAGTGTCTTAACAGAGTTGAAGCCTGAGGGTCACTCTCTGCTCCCAGCAACATTTTCACTAAAAACACAAACCCCAAAGCCATTAAACCTCTTCCTTTCCTGCAGCAAAAAGCACAAATGTTTATGACCAAGACCCTCGTGGAAGTCCTAAAATTCCTGCTCAGCACTCAAAAAGGTACAAGTTTAACACCTCCCGTGCTGTTTGGAAGTGGAATCGGGGAGTAATCAATTTTCTCCTCCAACAGACAATCCTGTGAAGGAACATGAACATGAAGCAAACCTGAAGATGTTTGAGGCACTTGCCACCCTGCAGGTGGGTAGCTGATACCTTCAAACCACTTTTGATTTACTGTGGTTATTCCAAATAATTCTTACCACCTGGGTTATGTTCAAAATTCACTCTATTTACAACCTCACCTGCAAAGGTGGGGTTTAGTATTGGCTTCAAAGAGGTTCCAAGGCTCCTCCACCAATTTAAGTAGTGCCTGGGAAAGCTCCCAATTAGAACTCAGTTGTGTGTTTGAACCAAAAATTTAGACACTCTCCCAAAGTCTTAGTTGGTAACACTGCAAAGATTTCATGTTAGAGTGATGTAATATTTTATTAAGATCTTAGTTTGGTAGGTAAACTTATATTATTTAATACAGTATTTGGGGTTTCCTTCAGGTTTTTTAATTTTACTTCTCTACTGCATGACAAAATCCACTATTACATAAATCAATAGTTGATAGAAACCAGTAGAACCAACTTTGTACTGAAATATTACTCTAATAAAACAGATAATAAAAATTTAATAAAAAAGAAGACCTCAACCTTTTTAAAGAATTTGCTGTGAATACAAATATATCGTTGTTGTTGTTGCAGGAATATTTCGACATCTTTCTCTCAGCTGAAGAATTCAGCAGCCCTGCCCTGATGTCTGAGCTGCTGGAGCAGCACATAAATGCTCATGAAAGTGCCAGAGGTGCCTCCAAGTGCAGAAAAGTGCAGGCTGTGAACTGTAAATTGGGAGATGGCAGAGCCAAGAGCCCTCCCAGCGAGCTCAGGCTGTACCGCCTGGCTTTGCTCCTGCAGGTGCCACGGCACGAGCTGGCACAAAAACTGGCCTGGAGAGCTCTGGATGCTGGGAAAGTTGAAGATGCTGTAAAAATGTGCAGGTAAAACTGCAGAGGTTTTCAAGGTCCTCCCTTTTAATGGGCTTTCCTGAACTGTTTCTGATCCTTTGCAGAATCAGGTGCAGAGCGAAGGAAAGGGTTTTCTGGTTTACTTTTTTTTCCTAAAAAGGGGGTTTGAGCACCGTGCTTGTTGTTTGGATGCAGCACTGAGTGTGGAATTAAACCACTGCCTCTGAAAATTGCCCCTGCTTTTTGCCATGCCATGATTACTCAGTGCAAAGATTCCCTCCACTTTTATAGGGTAAGGCCCAATATTAAATAACCACTGTGAGAGTTGTTGGCTCAGCAGAAGGAAATGATGACCCCCTGACTGTGCACACCATGGCATGGCTTTCAGCTGGGCTCTGCCTCATGCTTAGGTGGTCACTTCATTTAAACTTCCTGCCTCCTCCCCCCAAAAGAGATCAAAGTGTTAAATATATTTTTATTATTAGTGTGGTTTATGCATTTCAGTATCTCTAAGGTAACTTAGTGAGCTAAAAGGGAATTAAATAATCAGAACAGAATGTGGCCTTAAGTAAAAGCCCATTGTTGTTTTTTTTAACATCCTTTTCTTCTTTACCAGGGAGTCCTATGAAAACCACTGCAATGAAGAAACAGGGAAGCTCCTGTTTTCAGTGGCTCAGAGGCTTTGCCACATGCTGGGAGCTGATGTTCCAATGATCCTTCCCACTGCCATGAACCTGCCAGCAGTGATCCACGAGCTGGCCTGCCAGGCAGCCACTGTGTGCAGTGCAGGTAGTTACTGTCACCTGCTCTTTGGGAAAGAAGTGCTGCAGAATTGTTTCCTCTTCATGGGATGGGGGAACCTTCTGGCCATGCTGAGGAACTTCGTGTTTTTACAGATCTGCTGTTGGATTGTCTGGAACTCTGTCAGTACACTTTGATTGCCAAGGACATCTACGGGCAGTGCCAAATAGACACAGAGGGATTTACAGCAAAGGTATTTTCTGCACCCTCCACTCCAGGTGTTATTTTCCCTCCCATTTCTCCAGCAAGATTTAATCAGAAAGCAAACAACAACAACAAATCCACACGGGGCTCTACAAAGAAAAACTTCCTCAAATATGAGTGTGTTCAGCTTAAAGAGAGCTGTGGGACAAGCACAAGTAGCATTTCCCACTTCATAAATCCTGCTGAAAACAGGAGTGATTTTACTGAACTGCTGCAAGAGAGCTGGCCTGAAAGAGTGGCAGGGAGGGCTTGATTTTTAAATACATGCATTGTTTGAGGGCACTGCCAAGAGTTTTGTAAAATTAAGATGATCAAGTCCTTGAGCAGCATCTTTGTCTCTGGTTTAGGTCAAGCACTGCTTTAGGCTGCTGGAGAGGAATGGGCTCTCACAGCTGGAGTGGAGCAGAGCTGGGCACTGTTTGTGCACAGAATGTTGCTCTTCTAAAAGAATGATCCATTTGAAAAATGTTTGCTTATAACTTTTGGCCAAGAACGTTTATGAGAGCCTCCATTAAATTAATTAAGAAATGCATTTGGGCTGTACAGCTGAAGAACTGCAACATGAAAGAGAAATGGGGCCGCTCAAGGCAGGAAATGTGTTTGTTGCTCCTGGCCTTTCAACAAAAGCAGGAGAGTAAAACCCATTTTCCAACAGAAGGTTGTGTGTTCTATTCCTGTATTCCAAACCTTGCAACACTCAGTTTGTTGGTAGCCTTATTAACTCTTCTTTCTGGTGAGTTTACTTTTGCCAATGTTCTTGTTTAGACCCCATCTTTTGGAGGAGATAAAGATCCCTACGAAGAGTGGACCTCTGGTGACTTCTTCACTGAAGATGGGATAGTCCTTGATGCACAGACCACGATGCCAGTCACATATGAATTTATTTCTTCTGTCCTGCCTCTCTGTGGTAAACTTGCTCTCCTGAACACTGAGTCTGTATTTCTTACTGATTTTTATCCAGAAATGTAAATAATTCCGTGGAAATTATCACCTCAGAAATCTCAGGTAGACAAACTCACAGAAGAAATATCCACTGGGGGGGAGGGGGTAGAATGGAAAGATGACTTTGGGTTTTGCTCTGGCTCAGGAAAAATCTGAGTGACAAATGCCTGAATTCATTTTCTGCCCTGTCCCTGTGGGATTTTCCAGGTCCTGCCAGACTTCCCAGGGTTTGCTGAGATCCTGGCACAGAGCTGATGTTCTTTGTCTGTCTTGCAGAGGACAAGGTGTACCCCCTGGAGTCCACCAGCCTGGCAAACCGTGCCTTTGCTGAAGGTATCACAGAGCTCTTTGGGTTGGAAGGGACCTTCCAGATCCCTTCATTCCAACCCCTGATGGCACTGACAGTGCACAGCAGACACTGGAAAACACGAGGTTTAAAATCAACCTCCACAAGCACGATTAGCTCAGAGTGGGTTTTTTTCATAGGTGCCTAAATGTTCATTTAAAGCCATATTTTGGTTCAGCACAGGAAACACCAGTTTGGTGGTAATTCCTACCATTCCACCCTGGGATTCTGAGCATGTCACAGCCTGTGAGCTGGGATCATCAAAGCCTGTCCAAGAAGATGACTTCTGGACAAAAACTTCTGGGTTTTGAACTAAAATAAGAGTCAGTATTAAATCAAAAGCCCTGAAAGTTTCAAAGGGAGCTCAGACTGATCCTGTGTCAGAAATTTAACGAGGCAACAGAAAATCTGCTCTGACAGGAATTCCAAGAACAACGTGGTTAATATAGATATCCTAATTATTTTCTGGGATTGTTTTTGACAGGCCAGAACCTCCTGCTGGCAGTTGGAGCCCCCCTGAGTGCAGCAGTGCAGGCCCTGCTGGAGTGCAGCCAGTGCGAGCTGGCCCTGAGGCTCACGCTCTGTGCCCTGGGGTCCTGCCTCCAGCACGGCACTTCCAACACCATGGACCTGGCCCTGAGTGAAAAGGTGGGTGAGGAGAAGATTCAAGCAACATTCCTCAGTTCAACAGCACTTGGAAACAGAAATCCTTCTTCTGTCTACAAATCTTTGCCAGACCTTACATAAATCAGCAAATGCAATTACCAGAGTACCTGTTAATCACTGTAGTGTCTGCCATGCTGTAAATGACAGGAGGGGTTGAAGGCTTAGGATTTATTTGTAATTGTGTGCTGGTTTTTTTCTGATAGCTGTGCAGTGTCAACACACTTGTTGAGACCAAGAGCTTCCTCCTGGCTATGAAAGACAAATGTTCTTCAGTCATCAGAACCACTGCCCTGACCTTGCTGCACAAGGTGAGAGTGCTCTGGGAAGGGTGAGAGGGAGCCCCATGGAATCATTTGGGTTGGAAAAGACCCTTAAATGCCAAGTTCACACTAAACTGAGCACCTAAACGTGCTCTAAACACCTCTAGAGTGGTGGCTGCACCTCCCTGGCTGTGTGCATTGAGCCTCTTGCTCTGCTTCAAAGGTACAGTGGCAGCCTCAACTTTGGGGGATCCTGTAGAGTCCTAAATTATAATAAATTATAATAATGGCCTTTTTGATCTGTAGGTGCATTGTCTCCTTTTAAATGCTGAGTTAATTTTAGATTTGTAGACTTTTTTTCTAGTTGGGGTGAGTTTTTAAAAAGCTCTCTGCAAAATCTCCAGTCTAGCATCTTCTAAGGCACTTCAGACTGAGGGGATTTACTTTCAGTCTGGCTCCAGGACATTTTGATTCTAAAGTTCTAAAACCTGAAATACACTTTTTATTCTTGTTTTTTCCCCTCCAACTTAAAGGCCCAACACACCTTTACATCACAGAGTACTTTCTGTGTTACCCTTTAAAGAAAAGAGACCTATTCCAATAAATTTCCCAGAGTTTATCATTTATTCTCCCTAAACCACAGGTGTTCAACTGCCGTGCCATCGACCAGCACCTGGCCCTGGGTTACTGCACAGTCCTGCCCAAGGAGGAGATGTTCAAGAAACTGTGGGATGTCATAAACAACACCTGGCAAAACTACAGAAAAGTTCTGGTAAACTCCCAAATCCTTGGGATCCCTTCAGCACACAGAGAATGTTGAGGAGTTTCTTTGTAAAAACACACCAGAACTCTGGTGTGGTGGGGGAGGGGCTGCTCATGACTGAAGGGCAGGGTGGAACAAGTTCCTCTCTGTCACAGTTGGGCACAGGCACTTGCTGTCAATACTTCACGTGATTTTTAAGCCCATTCACTGGGGTTTTCACCTCATCAGGACTCATCCCAAAGCTTGGAAACATTTACTTCAGGTCCCATCACATTTTATATCCACGTGATATTTGGGATGAGTTCTGACAGCAGTTGGCAAGAATGGAATTAATAAATGAATATATTGAAATGTAAAGGCAGGTGGGAAGTAAAGCATAAAGAAATGGGGAGGGAGAGTGATGTAAATTTGGAGAAAATATGTCCAAAAAGTACCTTTTGTATTAGATTCTACAACATCAAGAAAACATGTTGGAGAAAGTGAATTTTAAAGTAGCTTTAACCACCAGCTCAGGAGGTGGGAGAGCCCTGTCACCTTCTGTGAGGTTTGTTCTCATTTTACACAGTTGTGTGATCATCTGTGAATTGTTTGAAACTCCTTTAAGCATTTAGACCTTAGGATTCCCAATTTTCAGCTGATTTCCTGGACTTGTGTTCACTTCCCTTCTCACTCCGTTCAGGCAGTGGCTCTGGTTGGAGCACAACTCGCTGACCAATATGGGGAAACCAAAGAAAAGGAAAAATTCCAGGAGTTGGTCACTGATGCAGAATGGGGTCTCCAGCTTGGCAAATTTGGTGTAAGATTGATTTTATTTCTTTATTTGTTGGAGGGGTTTATTAACTAATCAGTTAATAATGTCAGTATAGACAGATTTCACATTCAAATGCGGGCACAGGTGGGATTTTGGTTTTAATTTCTCAATCTGCTTAAATAAACCTCCCAAACTGCAATGCAATAATTGAGGGGGTATTAAAGAGCTTTGGAGATTTGAAGTGGTGTGAACAGTCAGTAAATTCACTGCTCTTCCCTGCTCTGAAAGGGGCTGGGTGGAAACCAAAGAAAGGGTTCAGTGGGTAAGGAATTAGTCCTGATTTGTCTGAAAGGTTTTGTGAGAAGAAGATAAATTGTTCCTTTATCTCCAGATTTCTTTTGAGACTGTATTCAGACAACCACCACTGAGGAAGAAAGAACTCATCAGAATGCTGGTCCAAAACCCAGAAGTAGACACAGATCTCATCTTGAACTACTGCAGGTACTGATTCTGCTAAATTACCTGTACTCAATTATTGCTGTCCCAATAACCACGACCACTGACAGTGATTTTAGTTCCAATAAACCCTAATTAATATCATATGCAAACTGTTCTTGTTTTAAAAAAAACCCCACTATTCAGAACACACCTCCAGGTCTTGCATTACTGTATACCTGAGGAAATTCAAAGCTCAGAGAGAAAATATCCTGCTTTTTATATATTTTTATTTATTTTCCTAGCACTTTCCAGCTGGACAGTGATGCTGCCCTGCAGCTTTGCATCGAAACCCTGCTGCTCCAAAACACCAGCACGAGTCAGGGGCCAGAGGATCCTGCAGAGCACAGGGACAAACAACCTCACTGTACACTGCTGGCCAGAGCCCTGCAGATCACCCCTCTGCTCAGCAGCACCAAAGCCCTGGTCACAAACCTCACTGGCATCTTGTACCAGGTAAAAAAAATAATGATAATAATAATTAAAAAAAAAGGCAAAGCAAAAAAAAACCCACACACACATCAAAGAATCCCTGGAATCTGCACCCCAAGCGCTGCGTGTCAGCTGAATGGCAGATGGAGAATTCCTCAGGAGTTTTGGAAAGGTTATGGTTTTTCCCAAGTTTTCCTAAAGCAGGGTTAAAGTTTGGGGTTTCTGCTTCTCCATCAAAAAAAATTTACAGCAACAGATTTAATTTGCATTAAAGGCAGGTAGAGTGTTATCTCCCCACTTCCCTTAAAAAAACTACCAGGAAACAAAAAGCAAACAAAAAAGGAAAGTTCTAAGTATCAAAGTTCCACATTAAAAACAGGTGGGGAGGAAAAAAAATTATATGTTAGGGTTTGGGTTTGTATTTTGGGGAGGGTTTTTTGTGACTTTTTTGGAGGTTTTTTTTCCCCCATCACTTGTTGTTTGGTCTTTCTGCAATATCCTGATAGTTTTTTTAGGGTTCAGGGCTATGAAGTGGAAATCTTTCTGTTCCAAAGGATTGTCACGATGCTTTTATTGACACTGAAGAAACAGCACTGAGGCTACAACAGCTGGGGTGAAAATGAGAAGATCTCCTCACTTGGGTGTTTTCATGAAGACAAATCATGCAAGGCCTGATAAAATAAACCCCTTGTTTTTGAACAGCTGGATCCTTATGACTATGAAACCATCGAGATTGTGCTGAGGGTGATCCAAAACGCTGATGAGAAGAACACCAGCATCCAGCTCAGCCAGGTATGGCCCCAGTGCCACCGGCACCTTGCCAGGGCAGCTCTGCTCTGTTTATCACCTACTGATTTATTCAGCACTGCTGAAATGCAGTGAATTATTCTCTGTACACAGCTCTCCCTCAGGAAACAGAATTCAAGAAAATCATCTCAAAAAAAACCCCTCACGTATTTTACCAACTCTACCCCCAGAAATTGCCCCTGGGACTTTGATTTGTTTATTTTTCTTTTCTTTTTTTTTGGTTTTTTTTTTTTATTCCTAGGCTTTGAGCCTCCTCAAACATCTGGGATCTTATCAAAGAACTTCCCCCTGTGGAGCTGGAACACCAGTACGTTTTGGAGCAGGTGAATCCCTTGTCTCCAGCTGCTCACACCAGGCTGCCCTTCCACCTGCTGTTCTTCAGAACTGCCCAGTGCTTCTGGAACATCATATGTAGGTTCAGGGGGTTTTTATGGTTAGATATACATATATATTTATATATATTTTTATATATATATATATATAAAATTCCCTTTCTCTGCCATCTGACTGCTTTAAATTTCTACAGCAGATGTTGAATATTAAGTGTAATTGTTAATAAAGCACCTGTGCTCCCAAATTGCCACCCAGGGGAGTTAAGGTGATAGAAACAATGTAGAATTCATCCTCAAATTCTTTCTTAGGACCTCTCAAAGACCAAAGGAATCCACACATCCCACTTCCCAGCCCAGTGTGGACGATGAAGATCATTTTCCTTCTCTCCCCATTTACCAATAAACTAGAAGTGCTTCATTCCACAGAGAAAGCCGCAAGTGGACTGGGACACTTTCACAGGCAACTTCCTCCCTCCTTTCAGGTCCAGAGCTCAGTGAGGAATCTGTCCCAACCCTCCTGCTGATTGCCAAACTAATGAAGGTAAAGCGGCATCTTGAAAGAATTTATTTCAAAATCATTGTCCCCCCACCCAAAAAAGGAATCAAAAAAGGAGCTTTCATCTCTCTTTGGCACGATTTTGGCCTCACCAGGGAAGTTCTGCCAGCTCTTAATCCCATTTCCCCAGGTTTCCCTGGACAGCTTCCACATGTCTGCAGCTCGATACGTCTTCAAGAAAAACCTGAAACCCAAAATCCTGGAAATGAGGAGCAGCGGCTGCCCCTCGGTGGTGACCAAGGAAACCATCAGAACCGTGCAGACCATCCAGTCCTACCTGCTGGCCATTGCCAACCCCCAGTGGGCCGTGGCCATCGCCCTCAAGATTGCCCAGGAATTCCCAGCAGGTGAGGGAATAGGATGGGATGGGGGAGGAGCAGGAGGAGAAGAGATGAGACCAGCGTGGCACTGAACACGTGTCCAGGTGTCAAGCAGTGACCCCAGCAAGCCTGGAGATTCCAAATTCATTCATCTCCTACTCCAGTTTTCTAGCACAGTATCTCTATTAAACCCTTTTTTCTCTCTTTTTATAGAATCCCTGAATGGTTTGGGTTGGAAAGGACCTTAAAAACCATCTCCTCCCACCCCCTTCCCTAGGCAGGGACATTCCCACCAGACCAGGTTGCTCCAAGCCCTGTCCAACCTGACCTGGTTGTCCTGCCTAAAGTTTCTGCATGTTCAAACCATCTCCAGACAAATTTTCCCTCAAAAGCAAATATTTCAGCCCAATTTAAGCTGCCTTCTCTATTATCTGAACCCAAAGAGCTTCCCTAACATTGTAAACAGCTTCTAATTGGAATTCTTTGAACTAAAATGGATCTGGTGTGCACTGTGGGAAGGATTCATGAAAACTTAATTTATTTACTTCTTTTTTTTCTTTTTTTTTTTTCTCCTTGAAAAAGGTCCTGACCATATCCAGGCACTGAAATTCTGCCTCTATTTGGCTGACAAGTGGCTGAAGGACACCCCAGCTGAGGTACTGGGAGACAGGGCTGTTGGATAATTAAGTATTTATGGCAGGATTTGGATTTTTGGTGGTTGGGAGAGTGTGGTGTGTAAATTGTACCACAACCAACCCTGATATGGGAAGTACTTTTAGGGAAGTGACCCCCCCAGGAGAACTCTTTCTGTTCTAGAACATTCTGCTCCTCACAACCTTGGAGGTTGGATAAAAAAAATAGACAGTCTTAAGGAGGATTAATTTGTTCTTTCCCCTGTTTCTGTGCATTTTTCTTGTTGCAGGAGAGTGAGTTGGAATCTGTTCCAGCTGTTGGATCAATAACATGATTAATTTTACTCTGAGTTCCAAGATTCTTTAGCTCTTTGCAGTGTTCTGTATAAAGAAAGGCTGCTTTGACTCGATTTTCAAGCTCATTTTCACGTGGCTGGGAGGGAAAGGGGAAGAAGAATCTCAGCCCTGAGTACAAATATCAGCCTTTGGAGTTACTGAGACACAATGAGCTCCAAACAGTTCTCTGTACTGGGCCACATGTTCAGACAGAACTGTGACAAAATTCAGCTGTAATTCCAGAGGCCAAGAAAATTCAGCTGTAATTCCAGAGGCCAAGCTCTCAATATTAATCTTTTCCCTTCTCCGTTTTGCCTCAGAACACCCTCATTTTACACATTTATTTTACTTGGCTTTTTCACAACTCACCTTTGCCGTTTCTTCCTCCCGAGATACCTTTCCCAGCAGAGCAGAAAGCCCCGATGATTTCTCTTGTGCTTTCTTCTCTCGTGTTTTTGGGCACAAGAGGCCGTTCCTGGCACGCTGGGGGTTGTTTTCCTGCAGGATGAGGCCCGGGAGAAGGCAGAGGCGCTGCAGAAGAAGCTGAACGTGCAGTACAAACGAGCGGCGACCGAGAACGTGCTGCTAATTCACCACCTGCACTCGGGGGAGCAGCTGAAGGCTGTGGGGAAACCAGCCCAGCTGATTGTGTCCCTGTATGAACACCCCAGCATTGAGCAGAGATTCCAGAACCCCACGGGCAGGGATTATCCAGGTGAGGATCCATCAGCCGGCTGCAAAGAGGAGCTCTTTGAAGAGTGCTTGGGAATCCACTGGCTCTGCCTCTCCCTGCAGATATCCACAGGGCAGCCGAGGAGATAGCTGAGATTAACGACCTGGATATGAACAAAATTCGGGATAAACTGCTGGAGAAGTGGCTGTGTCCAAGCACACCCCCCTCAGAAGTAAGTCAGTCACCACAGGAGGTTTACAGGCCACTCACACAAAATATGGTTGTTTTTTTTTCCACAACTCAGGTTGTTTGGCAGAATTTGCCTTTAGAAGCCATGAAGCTATTTGAGATTTCAGTCCTTTTGTGACACTGCCCAGAAATGTCTCTGGGGAGACAGACTGGAAATGCTTCCCTTGCTCTCTGCACAGAGGTTAAAACCTGACTTTGGTGCTACTAAAAGGTTGTGTGTCCAGCCTAAAGCAGTTGTAAATACATCAGCCCCATTAAACAGACTGTAGGGTTGAAGCAGGGATCTGACCAAGCTATTTATCCAAACAATGCAGAAAACTCCCAACTTTCACTTCTTTTTACAGACAGCTCATGAAATCTTTGGGGAGGATGAAGAAATCCGAAGGTGAGCGAGTGTGTTGTCTCACATGGTGAATTATTTTTAACTTGCAAGCTAAAAATAGCTTTGTCAAGAACCCTTGGTGGGTTGTGTGTGATTCAGAGCTCACTGTTCTTATTTTTACCTTCTGGTGACGTCAGTTTTGAACCATCAAATACCTATTTGTGTCATGGAATGCCATTCCCAATAACTTACATCTTAAGAGTAGCTGCTTGGAGGTTTTCCCCTCCTTTCCTATATCCTTGGAATGTCATATCCCTGATCTCTGTGTGGCAGTGAATTATCTACATTTCAATGACAATGGATGCCTTGTGTTTCAGAGGCTGTGCTGGTATTAAAAGCAAACCTTGTTTTTGCAGAGTGATTTACCTGCTTCAATCCTGCCCCATGGATTACAGTTCAAGGCTGCTTTTTGCAATCACAACTTCCACCACATCTGTAAGTTGCTGAATTCTAATTTTAGCTTGATCCTCATGAAATTTTTACCTCTTATTAAGATCAAGTGCTGTCTGCTCAGCTGCACGGGCTTTCCACCTGAGGCCTTTTAATCTGCAATTTCAATAGCTGATAGATTTGTCTGAGCTCTGTGTTTCTCTCCCCCCACCAGCCTTTGGGGTAAAACTGTGGGTTTCACTGAATTTTGCTGTTGACTGTCAAAAGCAGCCCTTGAACTCTGGGTTTTCTGAACTTATTGCTGATATTATCTGAAAACATCTTCATTAACCACATCCTAGAACGTTCTTCAAGCCTGTGTAAGAATTGGCTCGCTCTGCCAATTCAAGCAGAGTGGTGACATTCTTTGAGCAGAGCCTTAACCTGCAGCTTTTCCCTCTTCCCAGCTGTATTTGTGACGCTCCATATCACAAACACTCAAATATTTTCTTTTCACTGCTGGTTTTTTTTTCCCCCCCCTCAGCCCATTGGTGTCACTCAGCTGACATTTGCTCACAGGAGCAGAGCACTGAAGTGTCTGCTCCACTTGGCAGATGCCAACACCGTGGAATCCCTCTTCAAGAAGCCCGTTGAGACAGTAAAGTAAGATCAACTTTCCCTAAAACATCCCTCAATAATAACATTTTGGTGGACAAAAATCTCCGTGCACGAATGAAATCGGAGTTGCAAGAGTTGCAGTAACTGCTTGGTCATTAGGGATGATCCACCTCATCCATCATCCAGGTGAAAGAGTTTTCCCTGAGCAATTACCAGAAAGATTTTTACTTCATTAGGATCATAATTATAAATACAGGTTACATATTAAAGCAACAGAAGGACAATCGTCAGTACTATCCCAAGGCTGAGTGCATGAATTAAAACATAATCCTGTAAACCTCATTAACTCCTGCCTTGGGGGTTACTTTTTTTCCAGGTATTATCTGAGGTGCTGCATTTACCTGGCAGAGTTTGAAATCCTGAATATTCCATACACTTACGAATCATTCCATAAGAGTCCTAAGGAGGGGATGATCAAAGGGCTGTGGAAGAACCACAGCCACGAACCCACGGTAGGATTTTTAAACCCCTGGGGAGTTTTGGAGTGATTTTTTTTGTGGATTGCCCCCTTTGTGCAGGGCTTTGCTGAACAGATGGTGCTTCTGACAGAGAAAAGCTTTACCCTTCCTCCAATCAGAAAATAAAATGAGATCACACATGGGGAGGTTTTTGGCTTTTGCTGATGTGTGCAAATTCATTTTGAAAGTGGCTTTTGAGGAGTTAAATCTCAAATGAGCCTGGCAAGCAGGGAAAGGTTTGAAGACCATGAATGTTTGTGAAAACAGCCTGTCCTTGGTCCCCTCAGGCTGTGAGATTGGTGACAGAACTCAGTTTGGACTACAAAGTGTACGACCCCCCGCTGTGGAACGGCCTCCTCCAGAAACTCCTGGCCTTCAACATGGTAAGGAATTGCTGAGCCCGGTGGGAAAAAGGCTGGGTTTATCCACTGCTTTCAGAAGAAGGGGATAAATTCATGAACCTTAAACTTACTGTGACCAGTTATTGATGATTTACACACTTACTTTGGGCTCTGAGATGCTGAGCTGGGGAAGATTTGAGGGATTTCTGGTTTAGCCTTGAATTTTGCTCTTAAATGGTTTGGATGGCAAGAGCAAGTCCTGTGGTAACAAACTGAAAATTTCCTTCATGTTATTACAATTTTATAACATAACATGCCTGTTTTGGTGTGCAAATATATACAAAAGTGTGCAGATGTATTTCCATGTGTGTGTATATACATAGACAAAAACATGGCCCCTAAAATGTATTTATAATTGCAGCAACCCTGATTGTTGTCAGTCAGGATCTCAATCACCTCTGATTGTCAACCTTTATGTAATGTTGCTACAGCCTAAGGAGGTAACAGATGTACCTGGCAATGGGGTTGATAATTTAATTTACTGAACTATAAACCAGATTTCCATATGTATCAAAGGTACCTCAAGGAACTCCAAGTGTGCATCCTACAGCCAAAACAAGCATAATGTAGATTATTGCCAAAGCTTCCAAAACACCCAAGTATTTTAAAATCAATTTTTTTTTTCCAGATTCAGTACCTAAGAAGAGTTCTGACAGCAATTGCTGGGATTCATTCCTTATGGGAGGTAAGAAAATATCCTCTGACTTCCCATCTTTTTCTTACCTGCCAGGAATTCAGTGTGTGTGTGTGAGCCATGAAAAGACCCTTTTTGAGCTACCATTTTTCTGTACAAGGCAACAAGTCAGGATATCCTGGACAGAACCACTTTGCCAGTGGTCAAACCACGGCCAGACCTGAGGAAAGAAACGTTAGGGAAGAACTCCTGCAGAGTTAGGAAAGGAAACACTGCTGAGGGGGGGTGTTTACAACACGCCGGGCACTAAATGGGTCGGGTTGTTACTTTACAACTTTGTTGCCAACAGATTCCCACCTTCCCGCGGGCCTGGCGCAGCGTGGTCCTGTCCCCCCTGCTCACAGGTAGGGCTGGCATGCTCTGTCCTGCTCCTGCTTCTCCAGTCTCCTGCTTCTGTCCTGACTTTGTCATGTTCCCTGTCCCTCAGCTGCCTGTCCACCCAGCCCCCCCCAGCTGCAGGAGTGCTGTGAGTGCTTTGGGATGCTGCTCAAGTAAGTGGACAATCCATCCCCCTGGCCAGTTTTAGTGGCAATGCCCAGCTGGGATTTCTCACCCTGGACGTGCAAAGGAGTTCTGGGTTTTGCCTCTTCTGGGAAGGACAGGATAGAAACACAGCCAGAAATTCTGCCCATGTAACTCAATAGCTGGGCTGGGGAAACTCAGCTGGGAACTGCTCTCTGAACTGGGTGTGAGAATCAGCACAGGCTGCTGAAAACCAATTGATCTGCCCAGCTGCTCCCCCAGGACTGTTCCTGTCCTGATATTTTTAAAGGACTCAGGGTCAACTCTGAAAGTCCAGTTGATGTCTCTCACCCAAAATACTGCACATTTCCTAGAACATCAACACAGAGTATAAGATAGAGAGAATTCATTTTCCTACAAAGAATAAATCTGACACAACAAAGATTTATAAGCTGCAAATCTGCAAGTGTGATTAACCTATGGTATTAATGTTCCCAAACATCCTGTGCATAAACCAGTCCTGCATTGCCTTTACAATGTGAAAAAGCACAGGAAATCATTGCTTTATTCACCACAATCCTCTGATTTGCTCAAAAGAACCAGAGCTCAGAGAGCCTGACTTGAACCAAGAGTTAATTCGGATTTAGAAATGGTTTGGGTTGGAAGGGGCCTTAAAGATCAGCTGGAAAAGGATCCTCCACTCCTGAGCACACCCATTTGAACCAAAGCTCTGCTCTGGCCGGTTGGCCAACAACTCCCCTCAAAACAGGCCCTTGGCTGTGTGAAACTGGAGTTGGGATTTTCTTCAAGCTACCAAATCCTCGTGGATTTGTGTTCAGCAGCTTGTTTGACCATTTCTAAAATTAGGAGGAGGTCAAAACATATTGCCCTGTCTGGCTTAAAATTCCCACAACACCAACCCATCCAGGCAGAGATTCCAGCTGAGAACTTCCCTCCTGATGTCCCCTCTGCAGGTGTCCTGTCCTGGCTGACCTGGATGTCCCTGGAATTGCCAAGCAATACTCCCAGCTGGACCTTCCAGCTTTAGCCTTGGGCTGCCTCTTGCTGATCCCTCAGCCTGAGAAGAGAAAGCAGCACATTCAGGTAAATATTCAATTTAGTGTCCTGCCTGTGCCAGGGAAATGCTTTTGAGCATGCAGCAACTTTTAATTCTCGGTTTATTTTAATAATTCCTGCTGGCAGCTGCTCAGCATTTCCCCCCCCAACAAAGGCTTCTGCGAGGGATCATGTGAATACTTCCTTCTCTTCTCCTCTCCTTTTCAAGCAAACCCACAGCTTCGAGTCACCCTCAGTGGCTTTGTCAGGTGACTTTTTGCCTTTTGAGAATTTGAGGATGTTTTATGGGAAAAAAAAAACACAACAGCAAATCCCAAGCCATGACAAATTGTAAGAAGGCTGAAAGCCTTCCAAGAAAGATGCTTGATCTGCACAAGTTGTGATGTAAAGGCCTTTGCCTTAAGGCCACATTCTCACCATCCACAGATCTTGACAATTCCCTTTCTCTGCTGGTTTGTTCCCATGAATTGATGCTCCCCATTGTTCTCCAGCTGAACCAGACTGGCCAGGAGCAAACTGGCACCAGGGAAGGCACCTGAAACCCTCACACCTCCAGTCCTGGCATTCAGAAAGATTTTCCCAAATCACAGCAGCAGTGCAGGACATTCACTGTGCTGCCAAACAATCTGCAACAGCTGCAGCAAAACACCCTGGGAGAGTTAAAAGCACCTCCTGGTTTGGTAATTCCATCTTTGCACCTGTAACATCAGCGTGTTCCTTGTTCCTGAATGAATCAAACGCTCAACAGGGAGAGTTTCTATTTTATCAGTCACAGAATATTAATGATTTGGAACTTCTTTTTCACCAGGGTTTCTTATCCACTTGTAACACAGAAACTGTGCTGCAGCAAATAGATGAGCACATGGCCACTGGGGAAGTTGTAGCATTTGCTTCTCAGGTAAATAAATAAATTTATCTGCCATTGACTTGGAGGCTTTTCTGACAGATAAAGTGTACCCAGAACCTTTTCCCTCTCCTGACCTTGTCCAGCCTTACCTGACATAATGCTCAAAAAATAGGAAATACTCGTAAAATGCATTTTTATTTCTGCTCTGCAGCTGAAAAAAGTAAAAACCCACAAAACCTTACCGTAGAGCCCAACAGGAAAACCCTGAGCTCTTGTCATTCAAAATACAATTTCTTACCTTTAAAATATAAATATTTTTCGTTACTAAAACTTCAATCTACAGATCAGGTCTGTGGTTTTGGACAGCATCATAAATGAGAAGCTCTATGAAAAATTCTTGCAAACCAAGTATTACCCACTGTTGAAGCAACACCTGACAAGGACTCACAGAATTAAAGAGCTGGTGGATTATTTTGCCAAAAAGAACAGGTGAGTTAAGGAAAGGTAGAACAGCTGCTGCATTACTGGAATCTCTCCTTTATTTTGTTTTCATCGAGTTCAAGCCACAGAGGATTTTTAGTACTTATCATCTAAGGATTTTTCAAGTCTTACTAACTTAAATAAATAAAAATCTCACCTGCAGATTTAAGATAAGACTTTTACAGCCATTCAAGACCAAGTAAGAGATTGTTGAGAGAGCTAAACTGGCCAAAACTGAGAACCTTTTGCCCTTTACAGCCTCGATGAAGCAACAGCCCTGATTCAAGAGTATCAAAAGAGATGTGGAAACCCCAGCCTGGCAGACATCCCACCACCTGATCTTCTGAAGGTAAAAGAAGCCACTTCTGCACCTCCTGCAGGACCTTCTCTTTTTTTTCCCTAAAGAATTTCACTCAACATTTCGCAAAAATACTTTCTAGCTGATTAATTTTAGTCAAATATATTGTATGTAATAAAAATCTGCCTTCATCAATTCAAATAATTAATTTTATCTGAACCACATTTACTTACCATTCATTCATTTACTTCCACAGCTCTTCCTAAGATTAATACCTGTTAATATTGTTCTTTTCCCTTCCAGATGTACCTGAATGGATCACAGGAGGCCTGGAACAGTCCTTGACAAGGTCTTGATTTATCCTTTCCTTTCCTCCCTCTCCTGGCAAGAGGAGATTTGTGCACTCAAAAAGAACACCAGACTAAAAAACTCAGTGCTTTTACCAAAAGCTTCCATGACCTTTCCACACTTTTTTCAGCTGTTCTAGGCTGTTTCTCCTCCATCCTGCTCATCTTCAGCACTTTAATTTCAGGAAGGATGAAAGTTTATTTCCTTTACTTCTGTGTTTCCCCACATTGCTGCTGTTGGGATCACTCTGAATTCATTCACCACCACATGACCTTGCACAACTGGGCTAAACCCTTTTATAAAACTGCCAGGGCTGTAGTTCATGTAAAATACTCTGTAGATAAACCATAAGTTTAACTATAACGAGCATAAATAAACTTCTGTATCAATATGGGCCTTACAGCATTCTATACCCCCTGTTTTTAACGATGAGTTTGTCAGTAAATTGATGTTCCAGTCACTCACCTCCCTTCAATGAGGTGTGCCGAGGTTTTCTTCCCAGCTTTGCTGTGTCTGCAGCAGGACAAAGCAGCAGGGAGGAGCTTCACTGCATGAAGTGCCAGTCAGAGGTTCCTGAGACACCTGAAATGCCTGCTCTTTGTCCAGGGAAAAGCAGGTTCATTTGGAATAGAAAGAAGTTCTTTAGTCAGCTCATGACACAGAAATAAGGGTTCTGGGCAGAGTTTCCCTTCTACCTCCTGGAAAAGCCATAATCCCAAGGCCAACATCTCAATGTTCTGCTGTGGAAAACAAAGATCCAACTGTTTTGTTGGGAAGTTACAGCAGTGGTGGGAAATGGGAGCTGTTAAATCCCTTCAGTTCCCTGCAGGCACTGGAACAGAAGAGCCCAAAGTTCCAGCTGTCTTGACCAACCCACCTTTACCTGCAGCAGCACCTGCTGCTGGGATTCCATTCCACATGGGATTCCATTCCACATGGGATTCCATTCCACATGGGATTCCATTCCACATGGGATTCCATTCCTGAGAGCCCCTGACAGGGAGCAGATGGACACACAGGAGTGGCAGACGAGAGCCCCAAATAAAGGAAAGCCTCTCTTCACTGGCTCTGGATTTAAGGAGAGGATTCATTAAAGACTCAAACTTTCTACAGTGAAATTATGAGGCTTTCAGAACGTACCAAGCCATTTTATTCCTTTCAGTAAATTGAGAGAATGAAACGTAAACTGGACTCTGAGGCAAACACAGCCTGGCCCCAGAGCCCTCACTCCCTTTCTCAAGCACCCCTGGGCAGGTGGGCACCAAACCCCAGCAGGAGGCACCTCCAGCCACCCCCAACTGCTGCCTCTTCCCCCCAGCACTGCACAGAGCTCAGCTTTTCTATGAAGTGGAGTTTATTACAACGTTAGGAACGGTATTTGGACAGTTATTTTAATGGAGTATTTTACAAATTCATCCATACAGAGAAAAGCAAACACAATGTTGGGTTAAATTCATTACATTGTTGAGCTGTTAGCAATGGGTGCAGGGCTGTAAACTAGCAATCAAGTCTTGGAACTTGCAGTTCAGAATGAGATGGTAAAAATACCAGACAAGCAAAAGCCTTTTTAAGACTTCTTGTACTCGATTCTTTCTACTTTCACATCATCTCCAATTAGCTGATAGACATATGTCACTACTGTAGAAGCCTGGATATCCATCAGCACAAATGAGGGAATGATGTTGCTGGAAAGAGAGGAAAAAAATTCATATTAATTGTGTCTCCAATCCCCTCAGCAGTGTTTTTACCAGTGCTCAGCAGAAATCGCTTAAAGGAAAATGGATGTTAATTCTGAAAGCACAGAGCATCAGATCTGAGGCTGGGAGTAGTTTACTCTCATCTGGTCAGTCCAGGAGGTTTAGGAAGCACAAGCATCAACCCTTCCTCTCCCTGACACTTAAACCACCAACATTAACCCCTCACCACGAGTTTGCAGCTCAGTTTTGCTCCCAAAAAACCCTCCCCGAGTTTTGCCCACACTCACTTCTCTAAGGCGTGGTAGGCTCCTGTAGCTGACCCGGGGTTGATATAGAACTTGTTCTCGTGTTCAAACGCCTCGAATTTGTGTGTGTGCCCTGAAATGAGGATGTCCACATCAAACTGCCTCTGCAGCAGGGCCAGGCTGGCCATGTCACCCCAGGGAATGACCTGGTGGCCGTGGATCAGCCCGATCTTGAACTGTCCCACCGTCACCACCTTCTGCTCGGGGTAGTTCAGGTTCTGGAAATAAACACCAAGCATTAGATGGACACGGTCATACCTAAAAACTGATAGCTGGATTTAAAGATTTCTATTTAAACAACAACAAGGGGAGAGTTTCTGAACTCATTTCATCACCGCTCTTGGTTGGGCGAACCCAAATGTCGCCTTTAAAAGACACACAAGACCCGTCATTCCCGAGGGAGGTCGAAGTTACCTCATCAAAGTCCCCTCGGACCACGTGGACGTCCCCAGCCAGGGTTTTGAGGTAGTCATAGGTGTCCTTGGTGCAGAGGTTCCCCGTGCACAGGATGTGTTGGATCTTGCCAGGAACCAGCAGCTTTTTGAACTTGGCAGGGAGGCTGTTGCATCTGTGGGGGATGTGGAGGTCTCCCAGCACCAGCACCAACTGCCAGGGATCACCGGGGGGAGAGAGATCATTAAACACACTAATTAAGGTAACAGTCATCAGCAAACAGCACCTCCTGCCCTTCCCAACCCGGCACTTTGATGGCAAAGCTACTAAAAAGAATGAGATGGTGATGGAATATTGCTCTGAGGGGAAACAAGAGCCCTCACTGACCCACTACCTTAAAAACAAGGCTCCAGAATTGTCTTTATTTTGGGCAAGGCACAATAACAGGACTGTGTGAGTACTTCATGTGTTTCACACCCCACCTTTCAGGAAGCACTGAACAGAATAAGGCTGAAAAATAACCACAAATTACAAGCAGGGCACTGCAGAGGAGCCAGGGCAGGTTATTGCACAGAGGGACTCTGTTACCATTTCTATATATTTCTAGGTATTTCTATTTATTCACAGTTTCAGTACAACGGATGCAGGAATAAAAATGGGATGGGGCCTTCGAAATTAAAGATTCAGGTGATGCAAAGCCACAGGCTTTAATTCTGCAACTAAAGATTTAATGCAACACAGCCACAAATGAATTCTGCAGAGATCAGCTCTATCAAGCAGGGGATGTTACGGCACTGGGAAAATGGGAATGGTGGTTTCCAGAGCCACTGTTAACTCGATAAATGGCTCTACATTAGAAATGTTTGTTAGTGAGGCAGCTCCTAAAATGACAGCCAGCAATTTGTACAGGACACAGCCCAGATATATTTATATATATAAAAATAAATATAATAAATATAAATAAAATTGTATTTTTAAATATTCTTTCCTCTATTTTTAAGCCATGCAGCTACTTTCTTGCCAACAGTCACCACAAAAGGCAGAAGGAACTTGGGTGGCTTTTTTGCTTGGTTTTGAGGGTGGGGGTTTTTTTTTCAGATTAAGAACATTTTAGTGCCAGCAAAGCCATTTTGGAGAGAAATAGTCTGAAGTATTGGTAAAGCAACACCACAGTTCTTTAATCAATAAGTGGCCAATTCAAAACCAAACCATGAGAGGAAAAATTAAAAAAAAAAAAAAAGACACATTTTTGATGGTCTTTCGAGAATTCCCAGTGAAAAATGCCCCAAGCTGGGTCCTGGGAATGGTACTGGGATGCAAGTTAAAAGTGGTTAACAACGACTTTGATATTATTATCAAGATTATTTGATTAATAAGTGGCAATGGATAAGATTGCCTCACTGATACCCGAGGGACTTAGACGTGCAATACCAGTTATTTGATGTTTAATAAAACTATCCTGCCACTCAAAACACACAACCCCAAACTGTCAGGCCCCACTTTCTCCCCCAAAAATCGCATCTGAGCTCCCATAATTAAAAAAAAAAAAAACGCTACAGTAACCAACCCAAAATGTTTAATCGTCGCAGGGATCTGCAGCATAAAACAGAGGCAGAGGGTGTCGAACCCCCTGGGGTTTAGCAGGAATTTGGGTGTGGGTCGAGCAGCAGCCCCTAATTCAGCTGCCACTGCCACGGAGGAACACGAGGGAGCCCCTAATACCGGTATTAGCAAAGCCAAGGAGGGACTTACTCTGTGCCCGGCCTGAGTGGGATGGAGGAGTTGATTGCAGACAAGGGGGGTGGAAAATATGATCAATGTTAAACGAGAGGAAGCAACAGAAGAGAAAACACAGCCACGTGAACGCGCAAATAATAATTAATGAATCGTTGATGTTATGAGAGAAGCGTTAAATTAAAATAATTTAAAAAAAAAAATTAAAAGCTATCACGGTTAAATTAATACGGATATAAACGGGGCTCCTGCAGGGACGGCCCGGGACCCGCCGCCCACCCGTTCTGCGCCAGCCCCGCGGGAGGAGGTGATCGGGGGGGTGCCCGAGAAGGGGTTCCCGGGGGGAATGCCGGGGGTTCCCGGGGTTTGGGTTCCCGGTGTGGCCCCGCTCTCACCATCGCGGCCGCTCCGCTCCGGCCCTCCCGGAACCCGCCCGGCACCGCCCCCGTACGGCGGCTGCGAGCGCCCAACACAGCGCCCAACGCGGCCGCGGGGGTGTTTCGCACGCGTGGAAAGAGCGTTCTCCACAAATCGCGTAGTTCTCTTACTGATTATTATTTTATCTTCTGTTGGTTAGTGATCCTCTCGCTCCTCACGCTGACTAGTGCCGCGCTCAGTCTTTCTCTTCTCCTGTGGGGGTCAGGGGGTTTCTGGGGTCGGTGGTCACAGATCCCCCTGCCAGAATCACTTTTTACCCACTTGGACCTGATTTCAGCCCAGTTGCTGGGTTGGGTTTATCACTTTCTTCCTTATCTAGGGGGTTCTGCCCGAGGTCGTCGTGGTCCGTAGATCCTGCATTCCTTGTGCCTGCTCTCAGTGGTACAAAGTGGTTCATCCTTCTCCCCTCACTTTGTTAACCTTGCCCAGGTCTGAGGTCACTGGAACACGTCCAGTCCTAAACCTTAACAAGGCAATTCTACCCACAAGTCATTTATCGTCCTAACACCTGGACATCACTTAGAGCTTGTTGGCTGCTGTTTCACCGATTAAACCTCCCTTCTTGTCAATTAGGCTTGAAAGTTACAAAGATCAAACATCGTAGAACGTCCTTACTGAAGAAAAACTTCATATATTCCACATTTTGCAAGGCTGGTGTGGCCTCCCCTCGGGTTCTGGGGGCCAGTTTTGGGCACCACAACATAAAAAACGCCGCCAGAGCTCAAGGAGCGTTTGGACAACGCTCTGAGGGACAGGGCGGGATCGTTGGGGTGTCCTGAGCAGGGCCAGGGGTCGCATCGATGATCTTTGTTGTCTCTTCCCGCTCAGGACATTCCATAATTCCCTCATTCCCTCATTCCCACATCCGGGGTTCTCCCGCCGGCCCCGCCCCAGCGCCCTTTCCCGCCCTGGGCCGTGAGGGGAGCGAGGGGGGGGTGACCATGAAGTGCGTGATTGGGGGGGCGCAGCTCCGAGGTACCGGGGAGCCCGGGACACGCAAATCCCCCGGGATCTGTGCGGGAAACAGGGAGCCCGGGACACGCAAATCCCCCGGGATCTGTGCGGGAAACAGGGAGCCCGGGACACGCAAATCCCCCGGGATCTGTGCGGGAAACAGGGAGCCCGGGATCGGGGCCGCGGCACCGCCGGCAGCGGGCGCTGCCCTCAGGAGCGGCCCCGAGGGCGCTGAGGCGGGAGCGGGACACGAGCCCTGGAGCTGAGGGGGGAATTCGCTTCCTCCTCATCCCGCGGGACACGGGAGATCGTGGGGAATGTGCGGCCTCTGGAAATGGTTCAGATTAGGGAGCAGAGCGCTGGATTTGGGGACTCCCAGGTGGAGGAGCCATGGCTTGGCTGTCTCCCTGTGCTCTTCCAGAGGCACAGTCCGCTTCTGGATATCTCCCTGTGCTCTTCCAGAGGCACAGTCCGCTTCTGGATATCTCCCTGTGCACTTCCAGAGGCACAACCTGTGCAAAACTCTGTGCAAAAACTCCGTGCAAAAACTCCATCTGTGCCAAACTCTGCTCTGCCCCTGCCAGAGGCAAATTCCAGGCCCCTGTGCCGGGTTCTTCCCTGTTTCTTAGGGTTCCATCTCCACAGATATCCCCACTGCTCAACGGCTTCCCAAACTTCCCGTCTACCAACTGCAATTTCCAAGGGGTGTTTTGTCTGACAGAATGAATTTATGGTGACACCAAGCCCTGGGTGCTGCAAAGGGACGGATGACACTGAGGTGCCTCATCAGAGGTAGCTTCCAAAACATCGAGGGGTTTGTGCCAATTAAAAAAGAAAAAAAAAAAAGTAACATTTTCCCCCATCAGTTTTCTTTCAAACGTGTAGGGAATTTGTAATGCTGCCTCATAAATTATTCTGGGGGAAATGCAGTACAACGTTTTTATTTGAATTTAGGATGCCTGTCGCGCTGTTTTCTTTCCCTGGCAGTGTTTGGAAGAGCAATCCATGCCATAGCACGTGTCAGTGATGAATTTTGGTTTGACCCCGTGGAAAAAGGCGTAAGTGAATTTGATTTATTCTAAGTTAAAAATGTTCCTTGGAGGCCCAACATTTACGTTGCTGGACATTGTGTTGTTTTCCTCAAGGTGCCCTTCTGTCTGAGTTACACTCTCTCCCAGCTTCCTCCACTTTCAATATGGACAAAAGCCCTATTTTCTGTAATTGCAATTATGCACATTCCAGCATGGAAGATTCCTTCCTAATCTGCCTTGATATCCTTTGATTTTCTTGTGGCCCAAGCTGAGGCTTGTCCAGGACATCCAGATTAATGCCAAGGGGTTCATTTGTGCTGTCGCAGGTCACAAGGTTTGTGTTTTGTACCCCACAGAAGCTGCCTCTAAACAACATGTTTTGTACTGCCCTGACTCAACAGGAAGGACACATCCATTAACGCCTCTGATTAACCAAATGCAATTTCCAGCAGAATTAGGCTTTTCTCTAGAGGTTTCTTAGCTAAAAGTGACCAACTCTCCTTTCACTCACTGGAAAATCACAAGTGGAGATAATTCCATGTTATACCTGAAGAGTTCCTGAGGTGTGAGTGGTGCCTTTTGCTCATTTGGATGGATCATGTACAGGAGGGTTGTTTCAGAATAAACTCGGGGCCTTCAAATGCCTCAAACACAAGCTGAGCTCTGGGTGTTTGGGTCACTCACCCTTCAGAGCCACTTAAACACCCACAGATTGAAATCCCATCCCATTATTACACCCCTGACTTCTGGTTGGTACTAATGAAGGTGGGAAGTTGGAACATAATCGTGTTCCTAACAAATCTGTGTTTATTTTGAGATGAACCTCTCAGGGTTTTCTGGTGGTCCTGAAGCCCAGAGGAGGCTCTTTGTAAGGTTCCATATTAAATAGCTTTGAGTCAATACATTATTTCCCTTCTGCCTCATCAAAGGTTGGATTTGGTGGTCTCTGGAGGTCTTTTCCAACCTTGGTGATCCTGTGATTCCATTTCCAGCTTGCCTTAAGGTCGGTGAATTCCTCGAGGTCAGCCTATGCCTGTGTGTTCTTCTCCTCCGTGTTTTTCCAGCAGTACTGCTGGGCAGCCGTGTCCGAGCCCTGTCACAAGGAGAAGTCGTCCCTGCCCTGTAAACTGAGAGTTAAGGTACAGCTCAGTGGGGTGTTCCAGCATTCCCAGCTGGAATTCCAGAGGGAGGAGCAGGAGCTCCAGATAAACCCCACGAAAACGGGGATACTGCGAAGGTGCTTGGTGAGCAACCTCTGCACGGATTGATTGGATTTCTGTCTTTCCCAGGCAGTTCTCCCTGTGTTTAGATGTGCCAACGTGCTGGGGAGGAATGTAGAGAAGTGCAGCATCTCTGCCAGCCCCAGGGATCATCACATCACCTTCCAGCTGCTCTGCAGACACGGTGGGTGACACGGGGAGTGGCTTCCCAGGGACAGCAGCAGTTTAGAACCACGGGGCAGCACGATATTTAATGTAGTTACTGACTGAACTCTGCTGATGGAACAGTTTGCCAAACACTTCCAGCCTCTTCACACCCCAATTTATGTTTGTCACGTTAATATTTATCATGTATCACTTTTAAAGTCAAGTTACAACAGGCTTTATCAATGACAACATTTTGAATTAGTCTGCATTGAATTCTGAGGGGAAAAAGCACATTGTGGGAAGGGAGGGAAATCCTGCTCTGGCAGGTGTTTGAACTCCAGGATTTACTGAGTCTTCCCACTGCTAACACAGTCCTCCAGCACAGGAGCAGGACTTGGAATGTTCATCAGCATCAGCCTTTGCAAAACTCACGAAGAAGCCTCTCCTGCCAACCCAGAGCTGTGCTGTGTCACAGGCAGTGCTTCATGTTATTAGAAATCTACCTTGTATTGCTAATACCGGGGTAATACATTGAATTAGATCTCCAGACAGCTCAGCTCTCTTTAGCCCAGCCTTGCCCAGAAGCACACAGAGCTCTGCAGGGTTTGCCTTTTGTGTTCCACCCCCATTTGTGTGATTTTACCAGTTCTATTTAGGTCAGCTTTATTTATTTTGTTTATTTATTTATTTACCAGTTTTCTTTATTTTAGTTATTTATTTTACTGAGGCCTTTTCCCCTCTGCGTTTGTTGCACTTTTTGCTGTTCATTTATTTCTTGTGGAGTCTTAAAACACTCAGGTGTTGGATGGGCACAACTTACAGGCTGGAGGAAATCTTGGCTGGCAGGTGAATTCCATTTGCTATTTATTTCCACATAGCTGAGCAAGTCACTTGGTGACTTTCTCTACTGAACAATTAACACTTTAAAAAAAAATAATAATCAAGATTACAGAGCAGCACTGATTTGTGTTCATTCCCTCCATATTTAGGGGTTGTAAAAACCTATAACCTGACCTTTCAAGAATGTGATCCCTTGCAGGCCGTTTTTGCAAAGCACATGTGCCCAAACATCCTGAAAGTCCACTCCAGGTAACAACTGCAGAACCATCTGCTGAGCTTTACCCTCTGATGGCAGTAACAAATGCCAGGCAGTCACTTGTGCCAGGTTATCCCAACGCTGGGTGCTGTTTCACAGGCTGCTGGCTGATGTGATGATTCACTTCCCCACCAGCCAAGAGGAAATAACCTTATCTGTTACTCCACTGAAAGTCTCTTTCAAGAGTTACACCGAGGAAGACACTGGTAAGGAAATTCAGGATATATCAACCCATAGCCTGGATTTTCAGCACAGGTGAACTGAAGGAATAAGAGCTGTCAGAAGTGGGGAATGACATTTTTCAGAGAGGGACCACGTACAGGGAGATTTTAAGTCATGCTGCCACCCTCTGGTTTGAATATATTTTCAGAAAGCGAGTTTTTAATAACAATTTCTGGGTGTCAGTGGCAGATATCAGGCTGAGCAGCCAACTGAAAGAGGTAATTACTGTGCTGCAAGAGCAGGAGCTGCCAGGGAACAGGGGCTGGTCTGGGGGCTTAAAAAGAGCTGTTTAAACCTGAACACCACAATTAGAGAACTGATCTCATTAGAGGGTGTGTTTTAGGCTGAGGACAGTGCAGGGGGTCAGCTGGGCTCACGCTGTCACTGCCACGGTCACATCTGCAGGAGGTGGAGAACAATCTGCAGATTCCTGGGGCGTGACTCCAATTAATTTCAAAGATCTCATTGCGTTTTTGAAGGGGAGGTCCTTGGATATCGCGTAATAAAGGGGTTCTCTTCATACTTGTTAGGACCAGAGCTGAGGACAATGACCCGGGAATAGTCTGGGAATAGCCCGTAACCAGCCCGGCCTTCCCGAGGAGCAGCTGCGGGTGCTTGTGCTGCTCGAGCCGCTCTGGAATTGTTCGGGGTGTCTCAGACTGTTCCACAGCAGGAAAGCACCTCTCACCTTCTCTTCACACACAATTAACAGCCCCGGACTAATCAGCCGGTAATGACCAACGGAATACCTGCAAGTGAAGAGCCGATTTCCTGTTGCCACTCCCGTGCCAGGAAAAGATTGGGATTTAAAACAAAGAGCCCCAGTCCCCCCTCTTTGTGCTCTGATGATTGTCAGCAAGTTTGATTAATCAGTTTAAGTCAGGCAGCATTTTGGGCTTCCCACCCGGGCAACAATAGACAGCTGGGAATATCATTTGTGAGGGATGGAGCAGATGGGCAAGAACAGCAGCAGGTGCTGGGTTAGATCACACAGCAGAGCATGCAATGGGTGCTGTTAAAATCCCTTTAAATCTACACAAGGCGCTGGAAATGAATGGAGGATTCAATTTTACTTAATGGTGAAATAAATTTAGAGAAGCTAAGTGTTTATTACTGTTGATCACTGTGAAAACACGATTATTCAAACAGTGCTGATGTAAAAGCCTGGGGGTTGTAACCATAGTCTTGTGGAGTTCAAACTTCACTCCTGTGCGTCCCTGACATTGTTGTTATCCCAAACAGACTTTTCCAGGACGGTGGTTACTGAGATTCACCTCAGCCCAGAGGAATTTGACTACTTTCAAATTGGAGTAGATTCTGAAGTGACATTTTGCCTTAAGGAGTTGAGGGTAAAGTAAGAATTGTCTGGAAAATAAACCATTTCCCATCACTTTGCCTGCCTGGACCAGGACACTGCAGGATGGGCCTATGGAATGTGTGTCCCACCAGCCCCCCTGACAGCAGCAGGATTTCACCAGCCAAGGATTAGCTGTAAAACCAGGATCCTCAGGGCACTGCAGAGCCCTCAGAGCAGCCTCTGGAGGGCAAACAAAGCATTTCTGAAGCCAAACTGTGGTTTCTGTGCTGGGCAGACACAGCTGCCCTGGAGAGTTCTCCATGCAGAGCCTCCTCTGGCGAAGCCCTGGCAGGGCAGGCAAGAAATTATTCTGGAAGCAGCAGAATTTTACCCTTTCTGCCAGTAACCAACAGCTAGGGTAAACTTACATACTGATATTCATCCTGTGGGTTTAAACCAGCACTTAACCCCCCCCTCCTTCTCTTCCAGGGCCTGCTGGCGTTTTCCGAAGCCACCGGAGTTCCTGTGTCCATCCACTTCGACAGATGTGGGAAGTAGGTGCTGGGACAGCCGTGGGGGGAGCCCTGCAGTTACAGGAGGGCTGTGTGTGCAGCCCCTCAGGAACACTGACCTGCAGCCACAGAGCACGTGTTCAGCCCATCCCAAAAGCCATTTATTTGGGACCTGTGATCCAGAGCAAGGAGTTTGTAATTCCACAGAAAGCTCCTCCCAGGCACTGCCAGGGCAGCCTGGCTGACTCTGAGTTACCTGGAGTTCCTGGACAGTGGAAACCCCCAGTCTAATGCAGGCAATGAGTTAATTGGCAGTTAAAGAAACAACCCAGTTTCTGAATAATCGTAACAATTGCACATTCAGGACTCTCATTTGCTTTGACACTGTGTAGCATTCGCCCCTTGGGGCATTAGACCTGCAATAGGAGGACCCCTCTCCTTCCTGGGCAGCAAACACAGGGGATTTCCAGCTGTCCAGAGGAGGCTCTTTGTAATCCTCCTGTGGAACCCCACGAGCCGTGGCCGTGACTGCCCCCACGGTGTGTGCAGTTCCACGGGCTGTGCAGTCTCCGTGTTTGTGTTTAGGCCCATTGCCTTCAGCGTGGAGGACGTGCTGCTGGAGGGCAGCTTCATCCTGGCCACCCTGTGCGAGGCTCAGAAGGAGGAACATTCCCAGGAGCTCTGCTGCCCACGGTAAGGGCAGGAGAACCTCGAGTGTTCCCAGGGAAACCGTGAGCCAGGAACGTCTCAGCAGCACACACAGCAATCAAAGGGCTGCAAGAGGGAACGCTGCATAGGAACTCTGCTTTCCCCATCTCCACAGGGTTTGGGGGCAGCAGGAGGGTTGGGAAGGTACTTGCTGAGAATCTCCTCCCAAGCCATAATCTTTTCATGAGGAGAAAATCGGGGTGTTCTGAGGAGAACGCACAAAGCCAGTGACTAAACCTGCCCTCCTGTGCCCGATGCAGCTCAGAGGCACCCCCTGACAAACCCTCTGGGGAGGAGCCCAACAGCACAGACACTGCCAGACATCCCCCGCGGGATGGGAGCGCTGCCACCAACCCTGCGGCTGAAGGAGAGGTGAAAAGCGATCCCAGAGCCACGGGGAGCGACGTCACAGGAAGAGCAGGAACAGCCACGGCCCGGGCAGCAGGAGAGGCCACGGAGGCTCCTGATCAGAAGGTGAGGGGACTCCCCGTGCCGTGAGCAGGGGAGGCACAGCTGGGGTTGAGCTGAGCACCCCGTGCACAGGGTGTGTCCCACCGTGCTGGGCTCCCATTCCGCATCCTGGTGTCCCATGGGATCAGCAGAGCCAGCACTGTGGTGTTCAACACTGGCAACGCTCCAGGGGCAGGCGGGAGTTTCCCTGGGAAACGCCGCAGACTGAAAGGGGCAAAAGCCTCTCAAATAATTAACACCCCAATTCTGTACCCCGTGGCTCCTTACCTGTGCAAATACTGCCTTTTCCAGTTCCACTCCTTGTTCTTTGGAGCTGTTTCCCACAAGGAGAAGGACGCCAGGGGTCACAGCTTGCAGAGCCTGGCGACAGCCAGCGACACGGAGGAGGAGCTGGGCCCTGTGCAGAGCTCCCCGCTGCTGTAGGGCTCGAGGGCTCCGGGCCCCAGGACAGGACCGGGCTCTGCCTGGGAGGGCAGGGCAGGCCCAAACTCAGGGCCTGAGCTGGGACCCGGCAGCACAGAATGTTCCAGAACTGCTGCTGCTCTTGCACTGGTCCAGGTTTAGGCCACGACTGACCCAGCTGAGCTTTGTGTGTTACGAGTTCTGAGGGAACAGTCGGGGGTTCTGCTCTCAGAACACCCTCGGTGGAGACTGAGAGAGTCCCACAGTTTGAATTCCAACCCTGTTACCACTTCAGGCAAATGAAGCTGCTGTTTTATTAGTTAAGGGTGCTGGAAAAATATCCCATCCATCCCCTCTGGCACAGCCAGATCCAGCCCAGCTTCAGGACAACTCAGGATTTTACAGAACTCTGTAGAACCAGCGTTTAACTGAACAACCCAAGTTGTCACAGCACCACAGTTTAAGAAATAAAGGTTTGCGTTTCAGACTTGAGTTATTCTTTTCCCTCCCCACGTCTCTTCCACAAGTCAGGGGCAGTGCAGTATTTCCAGAGTCACATAACACCAAAATTCCTGGTCTTTGGTCAATTAAAGGATGATTATCTTCCTGCCAGACTGCTGGGTGTCACTCAGGTGTGGATTTGAGGCACTGCAGGGGGGTCACAGTGACAGCCCCCCCCTCCCCAGCACTGGCTGTGCCTCTGCACCACCAACCACGTCCCCACAGCAACAAACAGAGGGTTTGCAGGCCACTTGACTTTAAAAAAAGCACATTTTAGTATAAATACTATATTTATTAAATATCTTTACAATTCATTTAGATGTATTTACAGAACTATTCCTGCATAAGTTATACCTCAGACATGAAATTCACATAATTGCCTCTTAGGTAAGCATAGATGATAGTCTCATTTTAACAGCAACAAAAAAGCATCCTCAGGTACAGACTCACATTTGCTTCATGGTTTCAGCCACCTTTGGCAGGAACTGCATACAGTGGGTTCCACACACACCAGCTGCTTCCCCCTGGAGAAGGGATGGCCCTTCCCAAGACACAGAGATCCCATCACTAAATCCTCCCAACCTTTACCAGACCTTCTGCTCTCCCTTCTCCTCCACTCCCTCGTAACTGTCTGGTCCCAAATCTGCTTTTTGGTTTCGTTTTCAGCCCGACCTTCCCGAGAAACACAACCCAGGCCATTTGGAGGGAAGCTGAGTCCCAGCTCTCCCAGACAGCCAGGGAAGCAGCAGGAACCACAGAGCTTTTCCAACTCACCACATCCTAGCCCTGCTTCAGCCCAACCCCTCCCAGTGCTGCTGGAGCAATCCCAGCTTCCCGGGGGACAAACTCCTCCCGAGCCCCCAGGGAGAACCCTCTGCAGCAGCTCCCAGCTCCGCTCGCCTCCGAGTCAGGGAACACCTTCCTTGCCCATCCCCCTCGGGAACATTCCCGCTAACCCTTCCCCTAGCAAGTGTTGCTGCTTCATGCACTGCTGGGAATTACTTGGATAGGATGGGCCCTGTGGTTTCCTTCTCCCAAAATCTCTTGTGCGCAGACAGCGATAAGTTCGTAGGAAAAACTCAGCTTTGATATGTTCAGAGTGCACGTCTTAAAAAAAACCCAACACAATCAAGCATGTGATAAAAATATCAATTCTTTATAATACAGTATTGCTTTATAAACAGATGGAAAAGCTAAAAGCTTTACTGGTCTTTGGTGTGCCCGGTGAGGGAAAAAACTCATGATTTGTAAATCAAAATCCAAATTTGTTCTTTATTTAAAAAAAAAAGAAAAAAAACGAAACAAAAAAACAACGACTGATGGTGTGATATGAGGCAAAGGGCTCTGCGGGTACAGACAGGGAGCACAGCTTGGCCTCACAGGCAATTCCAGACCCTGGTGCATCCCTCTGACCCGCACACAGCCCCAGGGAAAGTTCTGGAAAGCTGAGGGGGGGATAAAACCCCAGGGCTGGGGACTGTGCTGAGAGAGGTCAGAGCAGCAGCCCAGGGCTCCCGAAGGGAAGGTCGGGGGACACAAGAATTGATCAAATCTGCTCTAAGCCAGAAGCTGAGGGGAAATACTGGCAGATAAAATGTGAAGACACCCGGATTGGGGAGGGCAAGGCCCCCCCAGGAGAGGAACAAAGCCCTGTGCTCAGTGAATACATTCCTGGAACTGCCAGCCAGGCACAGCTGGGCCGGCTCAAAACAAGGACTGACAGGTTGTGCAAAGTTCTCCACCGCTCACTGCTCATGTGTCACAAAACGAATTAATTTCTCTTCATTAACAGAATCCTCCCCATACCCTCACCAAAATCCCATTTTGGTCAAGTTAGGGTAGTTAAGGCATTTTGACAAGTAATTACAAGGTGATTCAAAGTAGATCCCTAACATTACGCCAATTGAGGAATAGCAGATAAATTACTGAAGAGCTCCCAAATTAATCACTTATTATAAATGAAATGCCTGTTACAAGCATGATGCATTGAAATATAGTAAAATGACATGTACATGGTACATGTTAAATGACCTTAAATAAAAGCTTGACATAGTTACGCAAATATACAGTACAAGTCCACAAAAATTCTTTAAACAAGTTGAGGTAACCTCAAACTTAAACAGTTTTAATACAATAAACCAGGTAGTAAAAATCTCCTCTCGAGAGCAGGAAAGATTCCTTACTGACCAAGTTTAACTGCACTCACCTAAACAGCAACATTACCCGACTTTTTTTTTTTTTTTTTTTTCAATATATAAAAACATGGCTTTAATTTATTTCTACGTACTTTTCTACCAGCAAAAAAGTTAATGAAAAAACTGACCAAAAATATATATATCTTTACAGCTCTCAGCTTTCGTATGAGCCTCGGGAAAGGAAAAGGAAAAGCTGGCTGGAAGTGAGGGGAGGGGGGGAAACGTGAGCTACTGTCATTGAAAAGGAAATGTCATATTGCAAAGTGGCTGTTAAGATAACTGTAAACATCATTAAGGTTCAGTGAAACCCCTACACTTTAGTTACTGAAATGTGAAGTTTTGCTGATTATTCGTTAAGGTTCGTTTTCGTACTCGCTGCCGCAGCAGAAGCAAAGAGGTGCCTGTTGAGTCAGAAAGGATCAGCTGGACTTTAAAAGTGGTGCAGCAGATTCTGTTCTACAAGCAATGGCAATTATTAACACAAATCAGGCTTCATCAACGACAGGATTATCTACCCCAAGCGAGGACGTTGGGAGTTGAGGACGAGCCGTTCTTTGTGCAACCTCCCACCAGAGCATTTCCCACCAGGAGATGGGGCCAAATGCTCCAAGACCTCAGCTGTGGCCAGCTCGGCTGTTTGAGACTGAGCTAGGAGTCTTGTTTAATAAAAATAATAATAATCATCCACAGCCAAAACATCCAGAACCAGGCCCATCATGGACGAATGATCTGCAGAACTTTTTTTTTTTTTTTTTTTTTTTTTTAAGATCACAGTTAAGCACCTGAAATCACAAAACACATTTGCATCCATATAACTTGAACTAGGTTTTGTTTGAAATCTCGTACTAGAAAAGGCTCCTAAGGCTGACACCACGGATGGCAAGAGCAGAATGTTTACAGCAGTTTAGAAATCTCCTGAAAACCGGAGCTCAGGAACACGAAACCTCGGCTACCACTGGAACAAGACAATGCTTTATGGAACTGGGGCTGGAACACACCCTCGACAACAGCGAACGTTCCGAGCAAAGAGCGCGATGCCCTCGTGCAGAGGGGTTACCTACTGAGCTACTCTGAAAGACGATCAACCAGTTGTACTCCTCGGAAAGTCCCATCTCCGGAGCGGGGACGCCGTGGGACGGATCCTGCCCCCGGCACGGACAATGAGAAGCTCTGACGGACGCTCCAGGCCTTGAGCTTCTTCACCTCTCGCTGGCAGAGCAAGCCCAGCGTTGTACGAGTGGTTGTCAGCAAGGACTCCGCTGTGTCAGGGCCGGCTGCCCAGGGCAGGGGGAGGAGGGATCAATCCTGTTCCAGCAGGAATCCGTGCGGGAGCGGCACAGGGCCCTCAGTCTGTGTACTCGGCCACGATGGACAGAAGGACGGTGATGTCGTCTGGTTTGCCCCCTGCAGGGAAGGAAAAACCCGCTTAGTTCATCAAACCCATCGTCTTCACATCGTCCGTGTCATTTCCCGGGGAAGGTTCTTTTAAAATTAAATATTCAAAGCCTGTTCAGTGTCGACACCAACTCTGCTTCCCCCTCTCCTTCCCAAACAAGGGTAGCAGTGACATCTAACATGGCACAAAAACACTCCCCTGTTCAGCTCTGGTGAGATCAGGCTGAGGAAAGGAGGTCAGAACCTGGAACGCTGCTGGCAGAGCACAGGGCCTGCTTTCTACAGACTGCTGAATAAATGCACCAAACACCTGACACTGCTCTCTCTTACAAGGAACTGCCATGAAAGTCAGATCTCCTCAGGAATTTCCACTGCAAATCAAACACCTCTTTAGCATCTTCCCCAGCACTGGATTACCTCATGGCTCACTAAAAGCTACTTAGCATTTTTAGCAGCTATTTTTCAATCCTCAGCAGCCAGAGCAACACACTCAGATCCTGCAGGAAGGGCTCAGAAGGGATATTTTGTTGTTGGGAAGTCACACCAGAGAATCCAGGGATCTGCAGTTTCATTTCTCACTGACTGAGCTTGGAGTACCAGGGAGCCCAAGCTCTACCTTGGGAAAGGGGCAGAAACTCCTGCCCTCCTGATACAGAGATGAGAACATCTTTACCAGCAGAATTACATTGAGTTATTTAGAAGAAATAAATAATAAAAGAAAGGTGTTTGCTCAGGTTCTGACCTCTGCTAGGTGTCGGCATCTTTTAGAGCCCAGAAGTAGAACCAACTCCTGAGAGATCAGGATGGGGATGCCAGATGGCAAAAGAGTCACAAATTTCAACCCAAAAACAAACCCCAAAACTACCAAAGACTGAGCAGAAGCTCGGCTGAACTGCAGCTGTAAGAGAAGACTTCAAAAAAAATAAAACAATTAAACAAAAGCCACCCTCACACCCGAATCCAAGAACAAACCAAGCCCAGTTTCCCCAGGAGCCTGGGGCAGGAATGCACAGCCTGGGTTAAAAATAACCCCAGCAGAGCAGTGTGTGCTCTGGGCTCCAGCTGCTTCCCCACGGGAGGCTCCCGCTCCCAATCCCACAGGCGAGCCCGGGGCTCTCCTGCCACCCCCGTGTGCCGATGTTCTGCTGTCCTGCTGCATTTTGGGACCACAGCCCTTCCCTGTGCTGCAGGCTGCTGGGGGTGGCGGGAGGGGACTCTCACCTCTGACGTTGAGGCCGTTGTCGCAGGCGAACTGCGCGAAGGGGGACATGTAGGTGGGGTCGTAGGCCAGCTCGTGCGCCTGCTCCGCGATGCTCCGCGCCGTCTGCTGGATGCTCTCGTAGTTGGAGTTCTGAATCCAGCGGGAAAAGGGGGTGTTATTCACCAGGAAGCCTCCTCCAGGAGGTGCTTTGCTGCTGTCTGTCAGTTCTGGAGGTCACTCAGTGCCAGGGCAATAATTATCTAATTATGGCCCTCCCCGTCCTTTGGGCTTCAGAAATGGGGTTACAGCCATGCAGCTCCACGAGCCAAGGCCAGGCCTCAACTCCCCACCAGAGCTACAGCACTTGGGTTTGGAGGGATTGCACAGTTTAGAAACTTAGAAGACTAACACAGAAACCAGACTCACCTGGAGGAAAGGGGACATTCCCAAACCCACCTCCCACTCATGTTTTGGTGAAGTGTTTCTGCTTCACCTCAAGTGCAATTCCTGCACCCCTGACCCTCTTACCCCAATCAACAAGAGCACACTTGGGGAGAAGGGGCACTTCAAAAGTCAGGTGACAAAGAAAGCACAAACTTTCTCCAGGCTGCATTTTAAGGGCCTGTTTTTAGTTCAGTTTTGGTAACTCTGGCTCAAGCGAGACCAGCCTGGAGCGAAGCAGCAACGTGACACAACCACTGCTCCTTTATCTGTGAGGGCTCTGGAGGGCCCTGTCATTCCAGGAGCCTTCCCTGCAGGTTTGGGAATTAGCAGGCGTTTATGTGATTAACTTTTGGCTGAACCCCTCAGGGAACTCCAGTGCCTTTCCCAAACACGCCGAAAGGTGGAGCTCAGCCTTCTTCCACAAGGGAATTCCAGCTCCAGGGTCCGCCCAGGACAAGCCTTCTCTGCCCACAGACAGGGCTGTGAGGTGGCTGCAGCCACACGGGGTAGTGACTTGTGTAGCTGCAGGATAAGGACAGGCCCAATTCTTTGAAAACCACACTGAATTCTCTCTGTCACCCTGATTTGCATTTCACAGCAGAGCAGTTTCCTCAGGGAGGTTATACATATTGATATCTCCCTAAGTACACTTTCCTTTCTAGGAGTAAATAGCCTTAAGCTAAATATTCTCACCCAAATTAAAATATTTTAATGCATCTTTACTATTTAAAAAGAACATTTGTGGTCACTAACCTGGGAAAGTTGCCAGGATGATTTTTTTTTTTAACAGAACATTAAAGATTTTCAAGCACGTGCAACCCACAGTTCAAGACAGCACATACTCCATTAGAATTCCTGGTTTATAACCCTTCAGAAAAGCTGGAAATTATTTGAAGTGTAAGCTCAGTCCCCAAATAACCTGGGAGAAGATGCTCTGTTTTCATGTGCAGCATCCACGAGCTGCAGGTGCCGTGGCCAAGGGCAGAGCCTGGACTGAACATCTCCCCCTTTTCCCTTCCCTTCCCAGTTATTGCCATGGAAGCAGCTGCCACTCGGGAAATCTGTGCCCCAGCTGCTGCCTCTGGATTCAGCCTGGATGCAGATCCAAGACACAGAGCTCTGGGGTCAGCATCCCTTCCCAGGGATGATGTGAAAAGCCTTTCAAGGCTTCAGGTTGAGCAGCACAAAGGCCGTGAGGGCTGCAGGGATCACACACCCACCTTGAGCTTCTTCAGCTCCTGCAGGATCATGTAGTCGGGCATGTTGTCGAACAGCCCGTCGGTGGCCGTCAGGATGATGTCCCCCAGCTGCACGTCGAAGGACGTGCTGTCGGCAGCCTCGGGGCTGGGGAGGGGACAGCAGGGGACACAGAGGTTAAAATCGACTCCTCACCCCCCCCAGGGAATGTCCAACAGCACAGCCACAGCTCCTGCACTTCACTGCACTCTGGGGTTCTTGGCAACAGAGAAATCACTGAGTGTGGAGTGGAGCTCCTGCCCCAGGACAGGCACGGCAGCCCCAGCACAGCACTGGGAATGCAGACAGGTACAGCTCCAGCTGCTCCAGCAAGGATTCGCAGTTACAATTCCCAGATGAACAATCTGCAAACTAATCTGCTTGGTGAGTGTATCTCCATGGAAACCATTAAGCAGAATGGCAGCTCAGGGCTTCCTTCTGCTCATCTGGAGCGTGTGAGAGAGCAATACTTGAAAGGACAGCTCATAATGGCCAGAGCACTTCAGGATTTTGAATCACTTTGTAATTCAATGGAATAAGAAACATGCCTGGAAATCACTACCAGAAGGCCACAGCCAGTTGGAACACTTGTGTCTAAGACATTACACAACAGCAAGAGGAGAAAACCCCCCCTTTGGCCACGAATATTGCTGCAAAATCTGATTCTCTGAGGCAACATAACAACAAACCTTTCCTTTTTAAAGACTCTTCAGGGTTCTTTAAAAGGGAGAAACTGCTGCATCTCTGCCAGAACACAGAGGAGCTGCTGTGCTCCACTGATCTGCAGGCTCAGGAAGGTTGATGGAGCTGAGCCTGCCTGCCTGTGCCCATATTTAGCCAAATTCCCCCCTGAACTGGGACAACAAATAAAAAAGGACTGGAGAAGCGTTTCGGTGAGGCCCATGGGTACCAATTAACGTCAGGAACAGCACAGGAACCAGCCACAAAGCTGTAATCATGATTCACAGCTCAAGTGTGGGAGCACATTTATCTTGTGCTTTTCCTTATTATGGGATGACTCAGATTACTTGGCTTCCCTGACTTCCACTGGACATGATCAATTACCCTCCTGCTTTCTGGGGTTTGTGCTCTTCCCATGGATGACAGAGAACCTCAGAAAAATGATGACTTTTACAGCTCTAGAATTTCAAATGTCACTTAATTTTAGTCTGACAAAGAGGTTGGGTTATTGAGGGGGTTTCATTTCAGAGTTCTACCCCAGCTTCCTCTCGGCAGTTGTAGGATGAGGAAATAAAGCCACAGGCAGGAATGGTCAGGAGTTTCAACAACTTCAACAACACTTTCAAAAAGTCATTTTTGAAATATCTGAAGTCATAACCTTCACTGCATCAGCCTTGAGACTTCATAGGCTGGAAAAGAGCCCTGAGATCACTGAGTCCAAACCTTGCATCAAAGACTGGAGCTGCCTACTGCATTCCCTGGATGCCATGGCCACTCTCTGAGGATCCTGTTGCAATCTCCCTGGATTCAGATGAGAGAGATCAGTGAGTGAACAGCCATTTCTGAGAGCTGTATGCATTTGGACTCAGTGATCTCAGAGGTCTTTTCCATCCTAACTGATTCAACACAATTTGAAAGGTGATTTTTTTAAAAATTCATTTCATATTACTGATGAGTCTTCACCAAGCCAGGATGGATCAGCCTGACATTCTCAGGGGAAGACACAGGAACAAGCCAGCCTTTGAAAGGACTCATTTCTGTGAACAGATTGTCCTCTCCTCATCCTCTCATTCCCAGCCTGGTGTTCTGCCAAGCAGTTTTTTTGCTCGTTTTGGTCAAATACAATATGCTGAGGGAAACAGCTACTTGGAAACACAACTTACAGTCACATGTCCCTCTGCTCTATTCTTCAAGCCCTTGTTACCTCAGTGCCAAGATATCTAAATTAGCTACTCCAAACAGTCTCAGGGGAGCACAGACAGGGATTGGAAGTGGTAAGAGCAGCCACTTGTCCAGGATGACCAGCACATAGAGCAGCTTTAGCCACTGACATCTCCCCAGGGCTCAGAACTCTGGGAATGGGCCACCGTGAAGAATCATTAGCCCAGTAAATTCACAGTCTGCAACAGGTTCAGAGGTGCTAAATGTTCACATTATCAGGTGCAGGACCTGACTGGATTGGAGCTTAAATCCTCCAGGCCACCGAAGAGCCCCCCCAGCAAAACCGCAACTTCTCGGGAGCCGCTCGCACGCACAGATTAAAAACTGGGAGTTCCTTCCCCCACTTACCTGTCACTTAAGACAACTCCTTCTGCTTCTGGAGGAGCTATTGAGAGCTGGAAGGGAGTGTTGAAGTAATGCTGCTGCTCGTCAGAGCGATGGACGACCTCTCCTCCCCTGACCACCAGGAAGCCGGAGTCGCCCAGGTTGGCCGTGTGTAAGCGGTGACTCGTCCTGTCCAGAACCACGATGCAGGCCGTGCTGCTCCCTGCAAACACAGGCACTGCAATCAGCTCCCTCAGACTGCTGCTTCTCCCCTGAGTCCATCAACAGCTCAATCATTCCAACGCTTCTCAAAGCATAATAACCAGGGGGAATGGGAATGCTCAGTGATGCCACAACTGATCGAAAATAAAGACAGCAAAATGCCAAAAATCCTTGCAACACAAAGTCTGGTTTTTCCTGCTCTGATTTTGGTAAACACATTATGCTGACAAATACCTGTTTTGTTTGGCTTATTTACAGTTTTCCAACCCAACAGATGTCAGCACATTCTGCTATAGGACTGGATTTACAGAACTCACATAAAATACCGAAATTCCGAAATCATGGACATAATAGAATTCCAGCAGCATCCATACAATGCCAGGTGCTCTCCACACAGTTTCACTCATCAGCTGTAAATAAACCACGCCAAGTAAAGAACTGCTTGCAATTAAGTGTTAGGTCCTATTGCATTTCTCTGCTCAGAACATGAAAAAGCTTTTCTTCCCAGCCTGCTCCAGGTTTAACAGACAATAAATCCTGTCACATCTTCAGGACACCAACTTACAAAGTGTAAAGAAAACACATTTCAGAGACAAATACTAATCCAGATTAAAGTAACAACAGGAGCACCTGAACCATGCTCAGAACTATCCCAGCCACGCTTGAGGGCACTGAGGGATTCTCTGTTCATTCACTGGGAAATGGTCACAAAAATAACTGTGTTGCAAAGAAACACATCCAGAGTCCTGCAGAGCAACCAGCAAGTGCTGCATTCCTGCAGATAGGACAGCACACCCACAGCAGACACTGCCCTCCTCAAGACTGGGATCCAGCTGGAGCCTTTCTTCCTGACTCCTGCCCCACATCCCAAGTCTTCATCTCCCTCCAGTGGGATTGTCCAAGCACAGTTCCACATTGGACAGGCCACAAGCCTGCAGTGAGCTGAGCTTAGGATGAGTGAGCCTTGCTGGTGCACAAGTCCAGCTGGCTCCAGGCAGTGCCTGTTCCAGACACTTCCCTTTCTAACCCAGAGAGTTCCCTGCAATGCTCTTGCCCTGAATTTGTTCTCTAGTGAACACACAGGGCCTTCCCCACTCTTACAAAACAGGACTTCAGGAAAAGCTCCCATTTGAGATGTGACTGTCCAAGATTGTTCTGCAACACAACAGTGTTTAAATAATTGGCGCAGTTTCCTCCCATTTCAGTTTTATTTTATAATATTTGCTGGATTCAGTTCTGATGAACCAAGTTATCAAGGCTCAGAGCACAACAGCAAGGAAAAGCTACTGCCTAATGAATCCTCCTTAATGAAGTCCTCTCCCTTCCCTTTATTTTAAATAAACTCCAAATGCTCATTGCTGTGGTAATTCCAGGGTTTTTATTCCTCCTTCTAAAAATACTGCTCTGTGTTAAAGGAGAAACACTAAGGATCATTAGTTTCAAATTCTAACTCTATTAGCAGAGTGTAACCAGGAGGCCATGTGTGGAATGCAGATCTTGTGACTCAGCACACGCTGCTTTTCAGCCCTGCAAAGGTCAAGCCCAGCTGAGCTGCCTCCGTCTCCAAAGCCGTAGGGAAGCTCTCTCCAGTGGCCCACTTTGGAGATCACTTACAGCTACATCTGCTTTGCACAAATAAGCACCATTAACCCCCCCAAATCCTAATGTAATTACTGAGCTCTGCTATTTTGGTGACACTTAAGGTCACTGCTGAGGTTCCAACCTATTCTTTAGGCGTCTAATGCGAGAACATCTGCTCCCAGCTCAGCAGACAAGTTAAATATAGCTCAGCCTGCACTCCTCTGGCACAGGAGCTTAAGGTCAGGTGAGCCCTGCACATATCACACAGGGCAACACTTCCCTGGGGCACAGGAGGGCTCGTGTCCTTCACAAAGTGTCCCCTTTGCAGGGTTGGCAGCTCAGCCCAAGTGGCACCTCTCTATCTGCTCCCGTTCCCAAGGCAGCTGAATGCCCTGGCTCACATCAAGTCTGACACAGAGTATGTGAAGCATCTACTTCAGTTGGCTTTCAGAAAGATCTGTAATGAATCCCCCACAAAGATTTATAAAAATAATACTCCCAGAGATCAGATGATATAAACTACTGAGACCAAGCAATTGGGCTTTGAGTTCACTGGACATAAAAGGCAACAGGAGCAGGAAGGCCAGGAATGAGCAGAACTGCATCCAGTTATCCTCAGAAAATATTTTTCCCTTGCAGAGCTTAAGCAAAAAGCCACAACCAACCATGAGGAGTTTTCAGCAGAGAACAGTTATTTATACCTCCAAAACACAGGGTGAGCACATGTGCCACAGCGTGTTCTGCTGCAGAACTCGCTCTGCAAACTCTGCTGAATTCACCCTTCACACAGAAAGGCTGCTGGCCTTTTATTTTTTATATATACATATACACACAAACACTCCCTGCATTACTGAATTAATTAAAACAGCTTTTAAACACAAGAGAAATAAGGATGCCTCCAAATTAACTGAAAACATAGAAATAAGAGAAGTTGCTGCCTGCAGATTTGCTGCAGAAGCTGCCAACAGATTATCCGAGCCACTCTCACTAAGTCCATGTGTAGGTAACACACGAGCCAGGTCGAAGTGAGAGATTTCTGGTGCCTTACCAAGCAGAGGTACTTTGTTCTGCAGCAGCTCACAGTAGCCTGCCGTGAGAATCCCGACAGGATTGCTGGGAACAAACCGTCCTTCCTTCACTAAACGTTCACACGTTCGCATGAGAGTCCCTGAGAACTGAGAGGGGTCAACCCCGTAGTCTCTCCAGCCACCGACACCATCTGCCACCCCTGGAAGGGAAGAGAAAACGAGTGTTACGTGAACAGCCACGATTTCCAAAACAAGGGGTTTAATTATTTACGTCCCTTAGGATATTTAGTAACTGAAAGGTAGGACTCGGCACCTGCCTGAGAAAACAGTTTGGATTAGCAAAGACATTTGTAAGTATTTGTAAGGTAACTGCTGACATCAGCTGCCAGGCAAACCATAAATATCACCTGAACTGCTGGAAAAAAGGCACAAGTCTAATGCTGAGGATGAGGAGGTTGACTCCACTAGAGAAATAGGGAATTTGCAGGGGGAAGATGGGGATTCAATCCCATTAACCTTTGATTAGCCCCTTAGAACTGAACAATTAAATGTGATGGTTGCTAAGATTTCAGCCAGCACAGAAATGATAAAGAAACTCTTCTCCACTATCCAGCAGTCCAGTTTTTTCCCAATGCTCCTATAAAAAACAATGCTTTCTATTTGGAAATCTCCATTTCCATGTATTCCAAAATCCATGTAACCAACACAATGCTGGGACCTACCCCTTCCAAGGAGAGTTTGTTGCTTAGAGATTCAGCCAAACAAGAGAACGAAAACTAACCATGACCCAGTCAATTTGCATTTAGTTATTCTAAAAAAACTTGGATATCAGAAAGTTTGAGCAATTCTGCCAAAGCTTTGGCAGCTTCTGAGCAGCTGCAGAGGAAAACATGGAAGGTGTTCATGGAAAGGGGGTGTTCAGAGGGAGGTGAGTAGCAGACATCACATTCTGCTGGTCATTTGGCTAAAGAACTTTGAATTTCCCCCAAATGATAGAAGTGCAATACTGCTGAAGGCATTATTTGAGATTAAAATGTTACTGTGTGGAAATCTCTCCAAAAATCTTTTTGATCCTCAGCACAGGACGGACCATTTCAAGCCCAGCTTTCCAGTATGTAATAAAGCTCAAATGTGTTCGTGATAAAAGCACAAAGGGAGAATTTCAGAGCTCAGACTGTGCTCAAGGACAGTCTCCTCAAGAAAAAAAAGGCATGAAAATGCGAGGGAGAAGCTAAAACTGGGTTTCCTCATCGCCCTTCACACGGGCCACGAGCTGAAACTGAGACCAAAGGGTTGGAGCCGACCTTGGGGTGAACTATAATCTGCCAGGATTCTGAACAGCCCATCAACATTAATCAGCTTTCTCCCTAAAATAGTGCACAACCTTTCAGACACCTGCTTTGTCCCTTTGCTTTCTCAGAAGAATATTACAGGGATGCAGATCCCTGCATTCATTCACCCCTCGGGACCAGAGCCTGGGAAGGAGCTCTGCAGGATTCTGGTATTCTCAGAAACACCTTTTCTGGAGTCTTCAGGAACAGATTAATCCTCTCCCTCCAGGTCTCCCAACCTCAGGTTAATACTGGCTTGACCCTTTGCTTCCTGCTGCCACACGGACAGGTCTCGAGTAAGAGATCACAAAGGAAAAGCTCCAGACCTGGAACTCGAAACAAACTCCAGGTGTGATGATGATGATGGTGCTTCGTGTGAAGTTACCAGATGAGTTTGGGGGTTTTTAACTTCCCTTTAAGAAGGACACAATCCAGATGTGGCTCTGCAGTGCTGCACTGACAGCAGGGCAATGCAAGGAGAAGGTGCTGTTTGACAAGTGCTGCCCAAAGCTCTTACAGAGAAAGCTGGGCAGAAACTCTGGAGTTCCCTCAAGCATTCCATAAACATCTTCCATTGGTGTTGGGAAACACCGGGACAGAAACACCACAGCTCTGAGTGCCACAGAGCCTGAGCCAGCACCTGAGAAGGGAGTTACCAAAAGCTCCTCAAACAGCTTTGAGCACCTTCTGCCAGTGCCTTCCAAAGCAATCACCCCTCTGGACATCCAGGGGCAGCTCCTCTGCCTGGAGAACAGCCTGCCTGCTTCCCAATCCCTGGGACAGCTGGATCCCTGCTCCAGCCCAGCCCCTGGAGGCTTTCCCTGGCACACACCATCATCACACCTCACCTGCTCAGCAACTCACGTGTCACCAGTTTTTTTGCCTTAAAAGAAGGTTTGTACATTCCCCAAGATCTCCAGCCATCCTGTCCCACATTCAGCGTGGTTTTTAAATCAAAGCTGCATCTTTACATTCAATATTCTCTATAAACAGTTCTATGGGAAAGGAATATAGGATTTTGAAACTGAGCAAACTGCTGCTGAAATAGAGGAAATGGAAAGGAGAATAAAGTTTAAGAAAACTTTGTGGTATTTGATTGACAGCAAACAATGCCAAGCTCTGTTTATTTCTATTATCGTTGTTTTCACCCAAGACCAAAAAAAAAGGTAAATATTAGAAATAATTACCTTTTTAACTAAGTGAAAAAGATCACTCAGATTTCTCTTTTCTTACATTTGAAGCACAAACCATTGCCTTGCAGCACTAACCATGTTACAAACTAGGAATTCTCAGGACATTTCAGCCAAACTGCATGGCTGGGAGTTGCTGAAATCGAGCTGTACACACCCCTCGGGGTTTTTTCATTCAAGCTATTCAGTAAATGAGAAAATTTTATAGAAGGAACATTCCTGTGGCTATTCCCTGCTCAAGCCCAGGCAGAAGTTACACAAACATCCACGTGACACAGAGCAGTGCCTGCAGCCAGATGAACCATCAGTGTAAATAAAGCAATTGAAAATTTCACAATAAATTACTTCAAAAGAATAAATACTTCTCAAGGATTTAACTCTATAGTGGAGAACTTTCTGAGAGTTAACACCCCACTGCACTGCCTTCTGCTGGAAAATACACATTTATTGCTGCCAGATGAAATACTTGCTGCATTTGTCAGTCCAAAACAAAGCTTTTTGCAGCTTCTCAAAGATTCCATGTATCCAAATCTCTCCCAGACAAACCCTTGTCACCAAGTTACAAGACAAAGCCCAAGTGTCTGATGCTGCAGCACTGACTAAGCCAGGGAAGATCTTGGCAGGGAAACTTGGGAAAGCTGATTTCCAAATGCTAAAAGCACCTGGGATGAGATACCAGCTAGAAATGCAAATGGGAAGTTGTTTTTCCTGCCAGCACACACGAGGTTTGCTGCAGGAGCCCAGGACACCCAGCCAGTGCTGAAAGCAGCAATAGCTGCTTTTCACCACACACTTTGGTGAGACCCAGGTGTTTCTGCCTAGTTCAGAAATATAAACTATACAGAAATATAAACTAAACAAGCTGAAAGTTCATAACAAACCCAGCATACTGGTCAAATCCTGTTTAATATAAATTTACAAGGGGAAGTTCTGGCTTGCTGGTAAATATGGTCAGAGTCCAAAAGTACCACCCTGTTCCCAAAAAATCTCTTGGAAGATGGATACTTTCAGCCATTGCATCAGCCAAGAATAAAACTCACCCAGAAGCCCCAGGCAGGCACAAGTGTGTCAGCAGGAACTGCTTGTGCATGCAACCACAATTAACTTGCTAAGGCACTCCTCACATCCTACTGAACTTTCCATTTCTTGAGATCCTCACCTGAAATAGCAATGAATCACTGATAAAGGAACACCAAAAGGATGTATTTATGGCTGAATTAATTTTGCATCAAAAATAGCAGGCTAAAACGGTGAAAAAAGGTGCAATCTGCTGCACTGCACAAGTTGGAAATACAGCACCCGATATTTGTCAACATATCAGAGTTGAGATAAACTGATAAGATTTCCTGTTTTAGCAGTGGTGACATAAATCCCACACCTAGACAGGTTCTCCATCCAGAGCACCAACGCTCCCAATCAGCACTGACCCCCCAGCAGCTTCCCTGGCACCTGGCAGAGCCAAAGGGTGTCTGTGTCTGTCCACGCTCCCCTCGGGTTTTGAGGAAGAAATAACTCCGTTAAACACAACCCCCCAAAGGCAGGGGGGTGGGACTGCTAACAAGTTACAAAAGGAAAGGTTACTTATTCACACTGTTACAGTAAACCTTAAACTACCCTTGCACGGCACAGAAAGGTTCTGGGACAGTAACTGGGTGAGTGACAACGAGGAACAAAAAGCAAGAGGTGAAGTGAGTGAGGATGTTGAACAACAAACCGAAGGGGAAACAGGGAACTGAAATCATTAAACTCCTGAGAAAAACCAACAGTTCCTTATATCTATTTCCCCCCTGCTACCATCCACTTGTTCCTGGAACAGGTTCCTACCAGGTAGATCTCTTTCCCATTTTATTTAAGCCTGAGGAATCACTCGGTGGATTTGGGGAGCTGCAGGAGCACCAAACTATTTTTTGTAAAAAACTCCCTAGTTATAACCATTTCATCCCAAGGTGTTCAGCAAGAGGGGACTGCTAAGAAGGGGGGGCAGCCACTGAAATCCCTGCCAGGCTGCCCCATCTCAGGCTCTCAGCATTCCCAGCGAGGATGAACCAGAGCAAACAGCAGGAGATTTCTGCAACGTTTCCTGCGACACAGGTATGACTAATCCTCCCCTCCTGCACCCTGCTCAGCCTCAATCCCTGATTTCCAACACAACCTGCTTTTCCTTCCAGCCAAGACCCACAGAAGAATGGAAAATTTTCTGCTATCAGCAAGCACCAACAGCATTTACAGTTAAAATAAGCGCTCAGCTGGAAATTCTGATGAGAAACGTTGTGTGCAACATCCCTGCAGGTACTGTGGGGAAAAAGAGGAATAAGCAGCCTGAGGTTCCATTCAGTGCCACTCAAGATCAGCTCTGCTGACACGTGGATTTTACTGACAAGAACGTGGCTGTTAATGGGATGTTTCTCAATCTGTAGTTTCCTTACACTTATGCTCCCGTGTTAAATAGAAAATTCCACGTGGTCTGTTACAAATTAGGACACCACAAGCGTTTGCAAATCAGTGATCCCTCCCTCTGAGGTGCCCTGGGCTCCCCCACTGCAGTAGGTGAAAGGCTGCTCCGAGGGAGGCAGACAATTTGCCTCCTTTAGTGTGATAAGTTGTGATAAGGCAGCAATCTCTTTAATAGGTATGATACCAAATAAACCACTTAACACAGTCCCCTGTAACCTTCAGGTATCCAAGCAGGAATCCCTTCCTCCTCTACAGCTGCCAGAATGACCTTGACATTTCATCTCCAAAGCCTTTTACGTGTTGTAGTTTACTTTCCTTGAGGACAGTGACACCAACAATATTCCAGGGGCTTTGCCACTCTGGAAAAGGCTGCTGACAAACTGAATTTTCAACTGAAGTGCAGTTTCCTCTCAGTTTAGAGTAGCAGCACCCACCTACTTCCCCCTCCCCCCCCTAAAAAAATTCAAAATCAAGATTTGCAGCTGATAGAACAGTTGTCCAATTTTAACTCTGCAGTGGACAAACAGTTCCCTGCTGCCAGACAGTTTTGTCCTACTCCTGGGGGACAGAAATAGTTTGGAAGACCAGTGAAGTCTCACTGGCTACACCCAACCTTGTCCCCAGCACAGACATTGTATAAGTGATGCTGTCACGGGATGCAGCATTGGCTGCTGCAATGTTTCAATAATGACTCACACAACAGCTTGGAAAATCCATAAAAAACTACCAAAGACATCGGGAGCCTGATAAGGCAGGAATAAGCAAGAGAAAGCAGAGCCCAACAATAAGGGAAAAAACCAATCACCAGCAGGGGACAGCTCAAAATGTCTAAAAAAGGTTTAATGTTTACTCTGGGTAAATAAGTGAAATGGTTGTAAAACTGCTCAAGTTCATTTGAAAATTTTGGGTTGTCCCCCACGTACTAAACATTCTGCTCTCGTGCCAATGAGGGAAACCAGAGCTGTCAGCTCCTGAAGAGTTTGGGTTTCAGCTGGGAAAAACAGCATTTCTGTCCTCAAAAGCTCCTAAAGCTTCAGACATGAAGCAAAACAGAACAGCTGCCACATCTCCAGGAGATACCTAAATGTTCTGAGGGTCTGAACACCCAGACACTGACAGTGAATGGACCAAAAGGTACAACATGGTACAAGCAGAAAGGAAACGGGCCTGAATCTTAAAGCTCTGGAGATTTACATGAGCAGTAAAGCCATTTCCTTTTCTCAGGGTTCTGAACTCTGGTTCTGAGCTTCTTGTTTCTCCCTGGGCTCAGAAAGGGAAGAAAACGTGCAAATTTGACAGGTCTGTCCCAGACAAAAATAAAAATGAGAGGTAAAACCCCCCAAGGGTTCAAGCACACCAGTAACAGGCCTTACCAAGCATTTAACAACCATCTTTAAGCTTTCTGCTGATCTTCCTGTGAAAGGGTAAAGCTCAGCCTAGAAGACACCCTTAAAAACGTTCAGCCTTTGGACTCCACAGCACAGTTACAACAAAAGGAGTGTTTAGCATTTTGATTCTGCTACAAACACACTGCCAAGTCGACTTTTGTCTGACCTAGGAAAATGAATCCCCAAGCCCTCGGTGTGCCAAAGGACTGGGAGTAGCTCTTTCACTGCTCCACCACACCCAGGTCCATCCCACACGGGCCAGCCCTCCACACACCGGTTCTAGAAAACACCGGCACAGAAGAATTTCAAATAAATTCTCTGGCATGGCTTTGTCACCGGTGACTACGAGCTCCAAGTGAGACGCTGGAAATTTACTGTTCTCCAAAAGCACTTACTGTGTCAAGTGTTCCCTCTGGCTCAAACCACGTGAGCCTCTTCGTTACATGCCAAAAAATTAAGGGGGAAACCCAACAGTTCAGCTCAGCCAGCTTTGTGGAGGTGCAGAGTTACGCAGGCATTGAGTCAGTACAAAATTTACGAGGGTCTTTAAGAAAACCTTTAAGGAACCTTAGATTTGTGATGGGAGTAAGAGGAACTGAGGGCAGGAAAACCCTTCTGGTGCTGAAACTCTCCCTGCAGCAGTGCAAAAGAGAGGGAGAGCAAAGAGATGATCACAGCAGCAGAAACGAGGAGGAAACTGCTGCTGGTAAACTCAAGAACTACAGATGAAGAAAAAGCATCAAATTAGAGGCATCAAAGCCCACCTGAGCAGTGCTGTTTTTGCAGAATGTACACATAAGATCTGGTGGTTTTTTGGTATGTGCATTAAAAAAGTAATAAAGAACTAACACGAAAATAGCTGGGAAAAAATCCAAAACAAACCCCCAAATCAACAGCTTTGGTATTTAAATTGTTTTCTTCTTGGTACTTCAAACATCCTGGACTGCTGCCCTCTCTGCTGTTTGATCCCTAAGTGGAGCTACAATTCTGTTTGTTTCCAAGTTGCCATGAAAATTAATGCAAAGACCCAACTTAGAAATGCAGCTCTCTGTTGATTCCAGCAGGAAGACAAGACAAGTTGTAGGTCCACGTACAGTAATTACCAAATATGGCCAAAACCCCCTAAACATCATCAAGTGGGGCTAAATCTACCTCTTCCCCACATCAAGAGCCCACCCTGAAGTAGAAGGATACTCTGCATTTCTCCTAAGGGCAAATACCAATTGCTCAGTTATTTATCAGTGCTGGCCTAACATGAACTTTAAAGGCAGCCAGGGTTGGTCACATGTTAAAGGAAGGGTGTCCAGCAGCTAATTCTAATTAAAAAAAAAAAAAAAGTTTCTCTGGAACAGGTACAGCAGAGAAGATGCAGAGTGTCTAAAATGCACTGCCCGGTTCTGCACATCTTCCTGGAAGCTGTGGCATCACCCTGACAGCAACAGCTCCCTTGGGAATGACCAGCAATACTGTTAGCCAGCTCCAGGTTACAGCTTCCTGCACAAAATGCCTCGGCTCTGGTAAATGGCAACCAAGTTACAAGGACAGGAATCACCCAAGCACTCCCACATCATGAGATGCCACGGTGCAACCCCCATTTTTAAATAAATAAATAAAAAACAGGGGCAGGGGGGGAGGAAGTTTTTTAAGTGTCAAAGTTGTGGTGAAAATTTGCTGCTGGCAGTTACAGCACAAGTAACTTGTGCAGAAGGTCAGTCAGCCAAAGTCAACCTTGAGCACACAGGAGAAAGGTCAAGCACTGTCAAAAGCAATGCTGCCCACGGACTGAAGGTTCCACTGGTTATCTATAATTATTCACTACTTCTAATATTTGAAGCCTTATGATTGATTTCAGCCGTGAATCCAAAGCAGAGAGCGCAATCAGGCCAGAGCAAACACCGAAACTGAAGTTTGACATTTGATTCCAGTCTCAATGTCACTTTGCCTTTCACTTGACAAGGACACACAGCACATGCTAAAATCAGGAAGTGTCTGTTCCAGCGATCTTTTCGGTGAAACTGAGGTGAATACCCACGGGGCTCGGTCAGCTCTTAAAGGCAGACAGAAAGTGAAACGCACCAGGAGCTGTTTCTGCGACTTTTGGAGCCGCTGGGCCTTACAGGCGCCCACAGGTGAAACGTCCAGGCTGGGCCCACACACCCGGCACACACAACCCCGCAAGCCAAAGGCAGGTTGAGCTGCAGCAAAGAGCTTCCTCGGGAAGCTAAAAAAGCGAACTCACGCTGACACCGCCAAGCAGAAGCAGCTCCTTTGTCTGCGAGCGGAGGCTGAGCCGCTCGCCATGTGCGGAGCAGGCAGGGAGGGAAGGAGAGAGGGAGGAAGAGAGAGAAGGAAGGGAGGTCAAAGCCACCTGAGCCCCCCGGCGCGGGCACTCACCCAGCACATCGGCGGTGCGGTGCCTGGCCACGAAGCAGGCGTCATCCCCGTAGCACATGCCTTTCTTGAGGATGCCCTTGCGGAAATCTTTGCCGAAGCCGCAGCTGGCCGTGACCAGGCTGTAGTCGCGGGAGTCGGTCTGCGAGAGGCCGCCCAGGACCGCCCGCGCCACCAGCCTGCCGTAGGAGAGCACCGAGAACATGGCGTGGGGCGCCCAGCAGCCGAGCGCCAGGAACGCGGGGAGCCACCGGCGCAGCCGCCTCCTGCCCGCCGAGCGCCCGCCGCAGGGCGCCAGCCTTCCTCCCCCTGCCCGCCGGACCGCGCCGGTGCCGCCCCGAGCCGCGGACCCGCGTCCCCCGCGGGGCGGCCCTCGCTGCCCCTCACGCTGCCCCTCACGCCCCGCGCGCCGGCCCCTCACGGCCGGGCTCGCCGGCAGCGCCCTCGCTCTTCCGCGCCGCCGCCGCCGCCACTTTTCCCCCGAGGGGGGTCCTGCTCCTCCCCCGCTGCCCGCGGAGCTCCGCGGGCTCTCTCCGGGCTCGCCCCCCGCGTCCCTCCCGGTGTGTGCCGGTCAGAGCCGCCCGCGCCGCCCCCGCGCCCCGCCGGCCGCCGCCACCGCCATCTTCGCCGCGCGTGCTGAGCTGAGGGCCCGGCGCTAGGCTGGGCGGGGCGTGGAGGGTCGGCCCCGCCCCCCGGCGCGCGTGCGCGGCGGGCCCCGGAGGGCGGCCGCTCATTGGCTGCCCGCGCCGCCTCATTTGCATGTTGCGGGACAATAACAGCGGGCGGCTCCCGGCGGGCCCCGCGAGCCCCTCAGGGACACCCCCCCAGCTCCCTCACAGCAGCCGCCCCCGCGGCTCCGGGGCTCGAGCCGCCTTTTACCCGCAATTATCCCAATTAACGTTCTCGGCCCCGGCGTCTAACCCAGATACTGCCCCCTCCACGCCCTCCGCGTGTCTCGCGTGCCCCGAATAACTCGCAGCGAATGCTCGCGCGTTCCGGGTGCCCGGGGACGGCGAGGGGAGTCACGCCCCGCAAAAATGTGGGCTTGAAAGGGTGACTCGCCCTGTTGGTTTGGGGACGGAGCCAGCTCGTGAGAGAGCTGGCAGGAGAGATTTCTGTGGAAGCGCGTGATAAGTTTCTGTGGAAATCCACGGGAGTGCTGGGAGTTAAATCCATTTTGGGTAAGGAACGTGAAATGCCAAATAAAACCATCACGACGTGGCCATGGCGTGCAGTCATCACTCAAAACCCACTAAAACTACGTTAATTGTAGGTGAGCTAACCAAAAAAAAAAGAAGTTAATTGTAGGTGAGAGGCACAAAGCTCTCAGCTGTCCCCCTGTACAACTTCAACATCTTCAATGCTGTAGAGAGACAGTGGGTTCAGAAAGACCCCATTCCTTGTTTGCCACAGCTCGGTTTTCCCGGCTGCTCACGAGTGTGCAAAGGGGCCTGTTGTCCCTTTGGAGCTTCCCAGCAGGTAGCTCTGCAAATGAATTGAATTCCTCTGTGTACACACACATCAAGAGGGTGCTGCCACTTATATAACTGCAGTAACAAACAGGGGTGTAAACACGGCAGAGGCAGGTGTGGAACCTGCACCCCGAGCTGTGCAGTGAAAGGAAGAGCCACACTCCATGGAGCCAGCCCATGGGAATGCTGCTGAAGCAGCATCATTATCACACGGGAGGCATTTCACTCCCTGTGTACCTTGACAGACACGACATCCCTCCTCTTACACTGCTAAAGGCTTAAGCAAAGCATCTGAGTTTTCCAGCTCGAGCTGAAATTGTATCCAAAGTCATTAAAAATTAACGCTCCTGTTAGAACAGGGAGAAGGAGCGAAGAGCAGCCCAGGCCCCATTTGGTGGATTAGGGAACACAGCCCAAATGCCAACGTGGTGGAGATAAGGGGGTGCTGCTGCCAAGGCGTGTCAGGGTGTGAGAGCAGACAAAGAAGGCAGTTCTCCTCTGTGCCTCGCCCTCTGTGACTTTATCAGGAAAGGGAAGCACATATCTTCAGAGTTTCCCCCACAGAATCATTCTTTCCCTTCCCTCAGTCTCATTCTTCCTCCTCCTTGCCCAGGTCCTTTCTAGGACAAGTCCAGCCTGGCCTAAGCCCTTGCTCTGCAGCTCTGCCCACAGTGCCCTTGAGTCAGCTCAGTGTGGTGCAAGGTGATGTGTCCCACAGCTCCTGGGCTGTGCTGCTCAGCCTGGGAGCCCCCACACACTTCCAGCTAAGCCCAAGCTCTCCATGGCTCATCCCAACTCCCAGAGCTGGATGGGATGGGATGCTTTCCATGCCTCTTTGCCCACCAGCCCTGACTCACATGGCTGAGAAACTTGGGGTGAGCTCAGGGCTGACAAACACACTTGGCAGAGCAGGCCTCCAGAGCCAAGGCACACCGTGAGCAGTTCACACTCCTCCATCCTTGGAAATCCTTGGAAAACCTTGCAAATCCTTGGAACAGGCTCTGCTGGGAAGTGGTGGAGTCATCATTCCTTGACATGTTCAAAAAACAAGGAGATGTGGCACTTGGTGATATGGTTTGGTGGGCATGGGGGTATTCAGTTGAAGGCTGGATTCCAACCTTATTGATTCTGATTCCATGATTCTATCCCAGGCCAGCCACCCAGGTCTGTCCAGACAGCCAGAAGACCTCCTAATTTATATGATAATTAGTAAGCTTTGCTGAACTCTTTCCCACTCCTGCATGCTGTACCCAGATGAGAAACCGCTCCTGGTTTTCATTCAGAGGATCACTGGGCTCCTGTGACACAACCCCCAACAATTTTCAGTAAAACAGTTCAGAACTGGTTTTCTCCCCTGCTCAGTGTGGATGGTTCTCCCTGTAAATCCCTCCCAGCCCATGCCCTGCTGCCTCACTCCAGTGTTTTTCTTGTACCCTGAGGGTCCATGTTCTGCCAAGTGATATTTGTTTAAAATTCCCCAACGCACAAATCTGGCACAAAAACTGGGGCAAAGGGCATCCCCCCGGTTACTGCAGCTGGGTGGAATCTTCCCACCTCAAAGTCCAAGATCTATTTACATCAGCCCATCTAAGCTGCAAAAGCAAAATGAACTCTTCCTACCGGGCTTGCTCAGACCAACAAACGCACAAAGCAGAAGAGCTGCACAATATAATCAACTGTTGGAGGCACAAGCAGGTTTTCAGCTGGTTTTTAAACTGATTCACTTGGAGCTGACGTCAATCCTCCCTCCCAAGTGTCCTAGTCCTGAGATTGGAGCATGATAAATATTACCTGTAATGCCATCTGCCCTACAGACAGCCCGGGCTCCTCACTATTTATTTAAGGGCTAATGTTGTGCTAGACCAGAACACAGTTTATTTCAGCCTGGTTTGACTTTGTTTTGACTCTAATTCCAACTGCCTGTCCACTTGAACTCTTAGAGCGATCTGTCACACAGCAAAGCCAACATCAGCCTCGGAAAGATGAAGTTCAAGACAGCACAGCTGCATTAAACAGAAACCCTCACGTGAGAAGGACAATTCCAGACTTCCCACGTGGAAAAGCCAAGAAGAGATGCAGAGTCAGAAGATCACCAGCTCACAGTGCACTGTTCTGCAAACTCTAGTGCCCCCTGTTCTGAGGAACAGCAATCATTTCAGCTGTTGTAAAAGCAATTAAATTATTTAAATCTCCAGTAATTTTAAAAGGAAAGGCCTGTGGTGAAAATTCTATGGTTAAAACCCAAAGTGAATTATTACAATAAGCTTGGGTGAGAGAAACTGAAATATAAGTAGTGCTTTTTGCTAAATCTTAGCATTTCATCAGACATCTGTGTTAGTTTTATCTGTGTTTTTAATCAGTTTCTTTCCCCTGGTTTTACTTGGTGAGGCTCAATCCTGCCACGTTTGCACTGCAAATGCCACCTTGTGATGTTTAAATGCACATCAAAATCTTGCAGCTTAAATTATCATTAAAATAGTAATACAGTAAATCCCTTAACATGATTTTTAATAGACAGCACCCAACTGCATCTTCATCTGCTTGAATTTTCATTTTCTAGGACCTCCCACACGAGGATCACAGTGCCCTCTTTAAATATTAATCAACTCACGTTGACAGGATAAATTAAAATCTCTGGGATGGAGAACAAGCTTTATTTACTGATGTCCTGATCTCGTCCTGCACACTTGGAGTTGCTCTTTGGAACCTGTTTCTGAAGGCCAACATAAAGGTGGGGTTTTGGGATGTGTGTGGGGGTTCAAATGGGTTTTCTTGGACATGGGTTTTTGTCTTGCCTTTGCATTCTGCTTGTGAGGACATATTTCTGGAGAGGCTTCATGACCCTGTTGAACAATCACATCCTACAGCTGGGGAATTCAGAATCACTCACTCAAACATCAATAAAGAGGGAGCTGAAGTGACACAGCAGCTTATTTGACCTATTCTTCTCTTACAGCAAACATTGCAGATGGGTTTTTGGGTGAACTGTTGCTCTGAGTGAAGCCCTAACACTTCTGAGGAAACAAAAAAAGTTCATGAGTAAAACAGATTAATTCCACCCTACTTTGCTATTGAACAGCTGCCCAGCTCTATTTCAATGGCAGATGCAGGAAGAATTAATACCTCTTTATTCATCCAGCTCCTGCCCACATTCATCCAGGGTGCAATCTGTGCTTTCACGTTCCAGCAAGGCTTGCTTTTCATCTTGGAGTCTGGTCCCTTGTGCACCATCAGCTTTGCCAAGTAATTCTGGATGCAAAAAGAATGTATTAAATTCTATTTTCCCCCGTGCATTGTCAACAGCTCTTTTTTTACTGGCTTTAAATGCATCAGAAACGTGTCAACTAACGAGTTTTAATATTAATTATCTCATAGCACTGCAGGGGAACAAGACAGAATATAACCAGCGGTGATAAATAAACCAAGCACCACTCTCCCTCCAAACCTGTAATCTAAATTCCAAGTTTCCAACTTTGCAGGACTTGCAAGATTGCTTTTCTTTTTGTTTCCCTGCTCTGGGACAGTGCAAGGGATGGGTTTTTAAAGATCCCCAGGATTTCCTCAAATACAGGCCTACATTCCCTTGGATGGCTGCAGCCAGTCCTGGCACAGCCTCAGTGGGAAGGAAAAAAAAACCAGAGTCCTATGGTGCCATTTTTACAATTTCCTTTCAAAATGGAAGTTTCTTGAAGTCACTGTTGCTCTTCCAGCCTGAAAAAACCCAACAAACCCGACACTTGTAACATCATCTTGACCACCTGGCTGAAAGGAAGTGCATGGGTGCTCCCAATGGAATCCAAAAAAACTCTTGGGAACAGCAAAAACCAAAGAGACTGAACACAGCAGTTCTTCATCCCCAAGGGGGGAAGGTGATGACAGAAACTTTGGAACAAGGAATGCAGGCTGGAGACCCAGGTGAGGTTATTTTGGGATGGGAGGCACACACAGGTCTGAGGTACAGCAGAGAACAGCGGATTCCCACCTTCCCATCACCACGTCCTTGGAGGAATGAGGTGTCTCCAGGGCTTTTCCACATGACGTGGGGCTGTTCCTAATCCAGGTGAGCAGCTCCTGGAGAACATCAGAGCACCTTGGTGGCCTCCCAGGGAGCGAGCAGACAACGCTCTCGTGTAACTCATCACACCCCTGGGGGTAACTGCACAGGGCAAAGGAGGGACACTGCGGAATTATTTCCATTTCCAATGGATGAAAGTGGGATATTAGAGCTTTTAGAGCTGAACCATCAACTCAGCACTAAAACATGTCCCCAAGTGCCACATCCACACGTTTTTGAACACCTCCAGGGACGGTGACTCCACCGTTTCCCTGGACAGCGTGTTCTGATGCTGGACAACCTTTTCCATGAAGAAATATTCCCTAATATCTAACCTACACCTCCAGCCAGGGAGTTGTACAGAGTGACAAAGTTTCCCCCCAGGTAACGCAGAACATAAACTTCATCAAGTTTCATTTTAAAAATTAATTTGCTTGTTGAACTGAAGCCTGATGTTACAACTGTAAGGTAACCCTGATCATTAGTCACTCTCTAGCCCAGTTTTTCCAATTTACTATAAAACCAGAATAAATTAGAATCATTAGAATCATTAACCACTTAGGTTAAAAAAGACCTCAGAGTTACCTGTGTATATGGCAAAATTTCTAACCAGCTTAATTAATGGATATACACCGAGCATTAAGGACCCAGGGTATTTTCAGAAGGAGAAACTTTCAAACTTTTTATAGTTTAAGTCAAGATTACTAAAAACACAGTTGCGAAAAAAGTTAAATATAGAATTTTTTATCTCACAAGGGACCATTTACCGCACATTTATATTTTTTTTTGCGTGCGAGCTTCCCAAACCCCCTTCGCTGTTCACTACACCAGAAGCTTTTTCTGTGCTACTGAGGGGGCACCACCCGATCAACGCCGGGCAGTTCCTGAGGGCGCTGGGTGACACAAGCGGCTCCCTGACGCCACCACGGCGGCCACACCCAGCCGAAAGCCCAGCGTGCGGCCTCTCCCCGCGCTGAGGGGCGATGGAGGAGCCCAGAGGACTCTGACGGACCCCAAGATTCCCCTTCCCCCTCAAGCCCGCCCGCCATCTTGGTCGGGGCGCGGCCCTTCCCCTCAGCCCCCCCAAGTCTCGCGAGAGGCGGGATCGCCCTCCCCTGGCAACCGTTGCTAAGGGCGGCCGCCATGGCGGCGCCCGGGAGCGCGGCCTTGCCCGTCCTCATCCTTCTCTTCATCCTCCTCCTCCTGCTCCCGCCGCCGCTCCGGGCAGCGGAGCCGAGCGAGGAGCCCGCGGACACTCGCGGTGCCGCCCAGGCACGGGCCTACAGCGCGCCGGCCCCGGTCACGGACGGTGGGTGCCCTGCGGGGACTGCGGCGCTTGCCGGGCGAGGGCAGCCCCGCTCGCGGCCTCTCTTGGTGCTTCTCCCCCTCCCCTGGCAGCCACCCCGGCACTGGGAAAACTGCCTGGCTTCTCCCTGGGCATCTCCGGGGTTGCTGCAGCAAGGTGTGACCGTCACCTATGTGACCATCACCCAGCCCTGTGAGTGCCCGCGGGTGCAGGGCAGGGTCTCCTGCCCCCCAGCCCCTGCTCTGAGCACCCCCCGGGCAGGGCCTGAGCCCGCAGAGGGTCCCTTGGATGTCCTTGGAGAGCTCCACGTGCCCACTTTGCTCCCAGAGTCCTCCTTCAGCCCCAGCGCTGTGGATACATTGTCATCGCAGGGTGTAAATAAATGGTTGTTACTGTGCTCTCGGAAGGTGTTTCCCACTGTTTCATTGGCTACATTTTAAATCAACTTCTTGCTTCCATCAGTTCAGCTTCCTATGGATTAGTTGGCAAATGAAACCTGTCCCAGTGCTCCATCCTTAGGGAAAAGAGACTTAAATCCCTAATCTGGGAGACATAACCTTGCAGTCTAATTGTCCATGTCTAAACTTCTCTTGTTTATAGGGTGAACTGAGGATTCCAGGGCTAAACTCAGCCAACAGAACAGGCAAAACTTCAGAGATTCCAGGAAATACCTGGATGCTGTTCAGGTGGTCAGAGAACACCCAGGAGGCCGTAGAGAAGCAGGCAACAGTCCAACTGAAATAAAAGAACTAATTATGAAAATACCCTTTGAATGTCTTGCCTATAAAACACTGGCCTTAATTTTCCTCATTCTGTGCTGTTCTGGTGTCAAGATTTATTATAGAACAGCAACTCTCAAAACAGTTCAGTGGAGTACTGTCTGTTCTTTGCATTTATAAGCTTGAAAACCTAAGACTGTCCTAAGTTACCAAACATTTTATGTGGCCAGTTTACAGAATTATTGACAGTTCCCCTCTCTGTGATTACAATATTTCACAGCAGCTGAAGACGCAGAGAAAAACAATTTCAAAGAAGTTGTTGTTATGTTGGCACATCAGGGAAATGTTTTACTGCTCAATGCTTACAAACATCTCCCTCTGTCAAAATGTTTTATTTTTCACCCCAGCAAATTGAAATCAACACCTTTGTTTGTATCCTTCAAAATTCCTGTTAGGCTGAGTTTTTTTATTTCTCAGCTGTCAGATTTTAGTGTCTCAGTTTTGTCCACGTGTCCCAAATAGATTTCTTTCCTCAGGATGGCTTTTAAAGATGACTTAAAAAAAAAAAAAAAGAGCAGGTGAGTTGTCAGAACTGAGCAGAGGTGAAGAGTTGAGAGTGTTTGGTGTGAAATCCCAGCCCCAGTTCTGATTCCATCTCTCTGCAGTTGCCAGGCTGTGCGTGTGTGACCTGCTGGTGGCACAGTGTGACGTCAACTGCTGCTGTGACGCCGACTGCAGCCCGCAGGAGTTCGGCCTCTTCACTGCCTGCTCCGTCCCTCTGGTGAGGTGAGTGGATAAAACCCCCTGACACACAAACTCAGGGCTCTGCCCTCTCCTCTCACCAATTCCCAGCCCCCTCTCCCTGCTGCCATCCTGACTCCCCTTTCTCCACACCTTCCTGCCCTGGCCTTGGGGAAGCCCTAAAGATTTCCAAAAATTTCCTTCTAAAAATTCCAATGACCTTCATCTTCGAGGTGCTGTCATAAAACAGCACATTGTTATTTACTGGTGCTAGAACCATCCTCTGGCTGCAATCAATGCTCTTTGTGGATAAACACCCCTTTCTCTTCCCTTATTCCTTCTTTTCTCCTGCTCCTTGCTTTCCTCCTGGGCTCCTGACTGTGGGCACTCAGCTGGTGATACTTTTTTGGGGGAAAAATGATGTATCTTTAGACTTCCATTAATATAATGAAGTGTCTGGAAGTTAAGGAAAATGATACCATCTGGCCACCTCTGCAGGTCATTAGCAATGAATCAGTAACATCTTTGATTACATTTGTGATATCAACTAAAAACTTCATCAGTGCAGAGCTTTTTGAAGTAGTGTGAGCCCTGTTCTGGTCCTAATTTTAAAGTCACCATCCCAACCTGCTGCCTCCCTGCCAGTCTGGTCACTTCAGCACCGCTAAAATGTAACATTACACCAACAAACTAAAGCCAATAGTTGCTCCTTTGCTGTTTAGTTGCTCTGAAACCCCCTCTTCACCCAGTTTCATCCTGTCAAAAAGGAGTTAAGAAAGCTCACTTCAAAATCCTGATGTGAAAGGAAAGATGTCTTGGTGAACTGTGGGAACAATAAGTGCAGCTTTTCAGCCCACCTTCTGTATAAATTATACCAATCTGAGCACTGGGGGGGGGGTTTATTCTTGGGGCTTGGAAATTTGAATTAGCAATCATGCCAGACTGTGGTTTCTTATTGTTCTTGCACACAATGACTCCTGCCACCCATTTAGGGGTATTTATAGATATCAGAAAGGTCTAATCAACACCTTCCTGAGTGACACTTTAATTGCCTGGGGTGACTGTTCTCTCTTTGTCAGCTGGAAAGGCCTGAAATGAAGTCGTGTTTCTTTCCCCCAGATTCTTTTTGTGGGAAACGTTCCTGCTGCATGAAAAGTGTTTATTGGGGATCTCATTATTTACATCTGGGTTCTTGTATATTTGCATATTTATTTAGTTTGGCCGATGCCAAGTGAGAGGGATCCGTGTGGGCTCTGAAACAGCAGGAAAAGGCTCTTTTTCCATGCCTCAGTACATGGAAAAAGCTTTAAAATCTGGTCAGCACTAACTTCTAGTGGATCATTCATTTGTTGTTCTTGCTTGCAGGGGTGACAGCCACCTGTGCAGGCAGAAAGCTGCTGTGTATTCCCTTGATGTGGAAGCAAACCCACCAGAAAGGACATTTCAATTAATTGACCAGGTCAACCCCAGTATTTTCTGCATTCATGCTACAAACTGTAAGTAGAGTTGCTGCCAGGATTGAACACTGTGGTGTTATTTTTGTAAGCTCTTTAGGCACCAGAAAGAGACTGAATTTAAAACTATTTCTATGTTATTAAACCTCTGAGAAAACTGGTGATTCTGCCTGTTCACAATCCTTGTGTTTGATCCTTTCACTTGTGAAACCACAGACTTAAAACATCTCATATTTTAACTCACCTCTGTTGGAAAAAATAAATACTGCAGGCACTAATTGACATGTGTGGTTTGGAAATCATGCTGTTAGAAACCAGGATTTTGGAAGGAAAGGGCTTCCCCTGTGATACAATTTGTGCTTTCGTGGATCTGGGTGAGGTGAGTTAAGATCCTCTTTAGGTTTTCTCTTAAAAATTAAGCTGCATTGGTATTTTTCTATCACAGAGGTGGTTTTTTAACCATTCCAGGAGGAGAAATTGTCACTAAATACTGTTTCTGTAATCCTTTATATCCTAAGAGCTATCCCATTTTTTAAATGTTTGGACAGATAAACAAGCACTTTACCTCAGGTCCCCTGAAATGCCAACTCCAGAAAATTTTGATGATTTGCTTAATGAGTTTGGGAGTTCTGCTTTCAGTGCTGAGCCTGAGAATGTGGACACAGACCCTCCTGATGCAAATGAAACTCAGAGATATGAGGTAAATAATGACCTGATTCAATAACTATTAGGTTGTTCCATAAAAGAACAAGTCAGCATTGTTTGCATCTGCTTTTAAATAATGCAGTCCTTCTGGAAGGGACAAACTTTATATTGTTCTTTAAATATGAAAGTGTAAAAACCAGAAGTGTTTTGTGTTTATTGAGACAGTGAACTAGATTTTTAAGGACTTTGAAAAATAAGTAGCTTTTTTTTCATTGCTGTGTTAGACAAAAAGCTGTGGCAGTGGCTTAAAAACTGATGCACAGAGTAGTATAAATTATTGACAGCTACAGGGGAAATAAACACTTCTTCTGTTCATCTTTATTGTTCATGGAAATGCTGTAAAAAAACCTGTGATGGGCTGAAACACCCCCTGAATCCGTGTTTTCTTTGGCAGTATGGGCTCCCTATACAGACACAGGATGCATTCCTGAGGCTGCCCAGTCCTGTTGTCTCCTCCTGGTGCTCGGATGCCAATCCTGCAGGTTGGAAAATTTGAATTCCGTTTGATTTGCTTTAGAGGATCCTGCTCTGGCTTGAGGTCCTAAATCCAGATAAAACGAAGCAGCTTCTTTTCAAACATCTTCTGTTTCTCTGGGGTTTTTAAAGGCATAAAATGAAGTTTTGCATCTCTGCTGAACAGTTCAAAGTTAAGCTCCGAGGATCTTGGTGGTGATGGGCTGTTCATCCACCAGCAAAACATCCTGTTTGGGTTAATCAAACAGCACAAGGGTGACCCCATGAGGGAAGGGGGTGTTGCAGCCTTGGCCAGCTGCAATACTTGTATTTTTGCACCTTTGTACCTTTTGTATTTTGTCCCTTTGTCCCCTGAGCTCCCTTTTCTCAAGTGCCACTCGCACTGAGGGTCCCACAACAGTCCTGGTGGTGACTGCAGGAGAGCTGAGATCTCTTGGGAAACGAAAAAAAACCCTTATGGGATCTCAGAAATGAGGGAATAAATCTTTTTTTTTTCTAGCTTTTATGAAGCTTCTGGACTTGCTAAGAAGGAATATTTTATGTCACAGCATTTTGGGAGAATACAAGAAAGTATCATTCTTTGTGTCCTAATCTACAGTAGAGATGACATTTACTTTCACTTTTGCTTGTGCTTAAGAATCTTATGATGTTATTTATTTCTGCTTTTCATAAATACTCTTTAATTTCCTTTAACACTTGTTGTTTTGGGGTTTTTTTCAGGGTTTTTAGTAAACCAGGCCACAAAATGCATCAGATCAGTAAGTGTGGAAAGATGTGAAAGCATTCAAGCACTTAATATGCAGTTCTACATCAACTCCAGCATTTTGGCAGTAAGTATGATTTGAAGCAGTTGTACAGCTGCCTGTTGATATGACAGATCTTTTTGAATCTGCAGAATTAAGTAATGTCTATTTACTAAAGGATATGGTGTTTTAATTGGATTTTTAAATGGTGGGTTGGGAAAAAAAAACCATCTCCCTGTACAACAGACTTTTATTCAGAAAGCCTTTGGGGATGTTTTTACTTCAAGCTTTGGTAACAGAATAATTTTCTGTTCTCTGCTTAGCCAAATATAAATAATGTAGTCAAAGATGAAGCACAAAATAATAGTTTTGAAGAGACAAACTCCCTGAATTAGTGCTTGCTGCACTTCCCTGCTCCTGTGCATGTTCAGGCTTTTCCCAGAAGCCTGTAACCAGGGTGCATAATTCCAAGAAATCGGAGTTTTAAAGAGCTGGTAAAACTGAGGTTTAATCCTCTGCATCTCTCCCTTTCCCCCAAGCCTCAGTTTTGGATGGCACACTAAACTAAACCTCCCTTGTGCTCCTCAGAGAACGTGGCTTTTACCCCACTGACAGCAGATTTGTTTGGATCTGCCCACTCCCACATCCAGCCTGGGGTTATTTTTCCAAGCTAAGCCTGCTTTCTCCTCCCTTTTTGCCCTGGAGGATGGTGTCTCATGGATAAATAAATCCCCTTGGAGGATGTTCAGGAAGACAAAGGGATCGCTCCTGTAAAACTGGAACTGAACACGTGGTGCCTTAACCCCAGGGCTCCTTCCAGAAGCTGAAGCCCTTCAGGAAACAACATCCTCTCCACCCTTAAGGTGTTTTTAATCTATGTGATTATTTAAATGGATTTAATGAGCAGTGAGTGACTGCTTAAAGACCTCCTTACAGATTCCAAAGCTACCAGCAGGAAAGGAAAGCCACTTTCACAGGTGGGATCATTCTCCTGCTCGTTGAGAACCTTGTTGGAATCAGGCAGGGGTTGCTCACAGATGTTGGCCTTGATCAACTTGCTGTGGAAGAAGTGGAAAAAAACTGCCTTGAGTGTTTGCATGTCCTCCCAAAATTAGAGTTCTCCTTGGCTGCAGGACCAGGAGAGAACCAGGAGGGCCAGGCCAGGCTCCAGCTGTGGAGTGGTTGGGAATTTGAAGATGAATGGCCCAGCTCAGGAGAGGGCAGTGGGGGGCAGGAAGGATCAGATGCAGCAACTGGAGAAGAATGAATAAATCTCTGTAGGGAGAACCCCTTCCCCAAGGGAGCTGAAGGTGGGATGTGACATCAGAAGATGATGGTGTTGGGGACAGAGTGGCCACGGGGCAGAGCAGGAGCCCTGCCAGTGCCAGCAGGTGGAGCTGCTGGCCAAAGAAATGGTAAACCAGTAACCCAGGGAGCCATACTGGGAGCACTGGGACAGCAGGGCCTTCTGAAAGGCCCGTCCTCACTGGCAGGAGGGACAGCTGGAGTGACAGGAATGTCTTGTCATCGCTGCAGTCAATCTGTGGTATCCAGTTTATCTCCACCCTGGCCTGTCCAGCAGATTCCTGGAATCCTCTCCCAAGATGCTTCACACCATGGTCAGTGTGTACTTGGAGCTGCCCCAGCAAAGAGCTGCTCCTGCCCTTCCTGTGCTCCCTTCCAGGTGGGAGCAGAGTCAGTGGGAGGCACAGCCATGATCCATCACCCCAGCCATGGACAAACACAATTCCAGGAATGGTGCTCATTCCCTCTGCCCTGGTCAGGAACAGGGATGTCCTGAAGGACAAATCTAATCTTTCCAAGCACCTTTATTCACAAAGCTGGTGCTGATGGCTGAGCTCTACTGGGATGAGAAATATGGGACAGGCTCTGCCTGCATCACCTCCAGGGCTCCAGCTCCTGGGAATGTGTTCCTGGATGAGTCACTGCTCTCTGTATCCCATCACAATCCCACACAGTTGCTTCGTGGTCAGAGTCCAACTCTTGGTCCTGTCCCAGAGAGGTGACTCAAACGCTCATTGGGAAATCAGAAAAGTGAAATTTGGGAAAATGATGCTTTATGTGGGTGTTTTTCAGGCCTGATTGATGACCTTGGTCCAATACTTCTGCTTTTCCATGAAATACTGGTGGAAATTTTTGTGCTGGGAGATTTGATTCTCATTCTTTGGTCTAAAGACTGTGCCACTGTGGAATTCTCACCCTCAGAACAGCACAACCAAAGCTCTGCATTTCTTTGGGAAGCACAGCCTGGCCAACTCCCTAAACTGGAGGTCTGTGAATACTTCCAGGAGTCAGAGGAAGGAGGGGATTGGATTTTAAGATTTTTCCCACTGGCCACAGAGAACAGCAGTTCTTTTCCTACCTCTGGATACTGGGGGTGTATCCAATCACTTCCAGAGTGGAAAAGTTACTGTAATGAGGGAGTTAAGCCTTACCTGCTTTGATTAACTGTCTTACCTTTGCTATTGTTTTAATTTGTCCTTTTATTCTTCCCTAGGTGCCCAAATCAACTCAGAAGGTAAGTACCCTTCTAAATTAGCTGGGAGAGCTGGGGGCAAAATTCTTAGTTACAGTCACTGGAAGTTTTTTCACTGACTTGATCAGAACAGGGACTTAATCCTTAATATTTACAGTATCTTCAGAACTGACCTGAGTTTGTTTTCCAGGTGAACATCTCTGTGCAGTCCATAGCTGTCCAGTCCCTGGAGGGAATGAGGACTCTGCTGAAGGGTGCTGATGGCCTGAGGCTCCCCCTGATTTTGGATGACCTGTGCTTAAATGTAGTCCTTGGGGTAGGTCTGACAGCCCTTCCTGGTGTCTGATGGGAGGAATCTCTGCACAAAATTCACGAGTGGCAAAAGCTGCCAGGAAGGGCCTGGGAGTTCCCATGGATTGGGACATCCCCAGAGCAAATGTCACAGGAGGAACAGCGAGTTTGGGATGAAAGAGAGAGTTTTGCAACAAAATAATAACTCTGTGCAACACAACAGGGAGAAATCCTTGAAAGGCTGAAATCCTTGTCTGTCATTACTGTGTGTATGTGACAAAACAGACAAAAACATGAGTTTGGAATCTGCTTTGTGGTGGGGGGAAGGTGGTTTCAGGCACACTGATGGCACAGAAAGAGGAATAGATGTTGAAGAAATAAAACACCTGAATAATTTTATCTTCCTTCCCCCCCGACCCTAGTTTCTCTTATGCATTTATTCAAATGAACATCTACAATGTTTAATTTTCAGGTGAGTTATCACATTACCTACACAGACACAGGAGAAATAATAGAAGCAGCTGCTGCTTTTGTCTTGGGGGCAATTACCAAAGAAACCCTTTCAGTCCAGCAGAGCTTCCAAATCAGCTTCACTCAGGTAACCGTGGAGATGTCGTGGGTGACTCGTTGAGAGACATTTAATTACAAAACTTATTAAACTTGAATCAGAACAATTGTGAGCAGCAAGGTGAAGCATGGCTTGCCCTGGATACACACAGGAGGCAGCATGTCAGAGCTGGGCAGTGAAAGCCTCCAAAATGTCACATTTACAAGCCCCATCCTGTGGCTCCGTATCCAGAGAAAGCAAAGCCTTACTTATACCTTACCACTCATCCTTCCAGATGATAATAATCCTAAAATAACTGAAAGATTGCTGGGTTTCCCAGCCCTCTCAGGGCAGGGTGAGGTCTGATCCCCTGTGTTTGCACTGCAGGTAGACACGAAGCCAGCTCCTCTCAGTGGCAGTCCTGGGTACGTGGTTGGGCTGCCTGTGAGGGCAGGGTTCGGCCCTCGAGGATATCCTTTCCCTGCTGAATTTCTGTCTGCACCACTTGCTCTGCTCCATCTTCACAAACCCTTCTCTGGCCTGGGCATCTGTAAAATATACCTGGATAAAAGAGTGAATTCCTGGCTGTGGTTTTAGAAGGGGATGGCTCAGTCCTGCCTGCAGCCTCCTGGGACTGTGGAGGGAGGTGGGTTTAGACCTTCAGTGCCCACCCTGGTGCTTCCCACCTCGAGGGGAGTCTGGAGCTACCACAGCACTTTCAGCTGCATTTTAAGGCTATGATTAAGGAGTCTTTTTTTTGTCCCTGAAACACACGAAGTGCTGAATTTGCCCTTAACTGTGTGTCACATCTGGCATCACTCAGAGCACCAGCAGGCACAGCCAGCTCTCCATCCTGCAGAGCACACCCAGCCAGGACTGCCTGGCAGCACAGGCAGCCAGAGCCCCCGTGTTATTCGGTCACAACATGATCTCAGGCTGCAAGTTACGGTAAGAACTCCTTTTTAGTTTTTAATTGAGTGCTTTTAACCCTCTGACAACCTTTTCCCTCGGGCTCTGTTCAGGACCTGGCTGTTCCTGCAGCTGGAGGAGGATTGGGGACGGAGTATTTAATTCTAAAAAAATGGCATTTAATTAACAATGGTCTTTCTCTTGAAAAGATTGTGGGCATGAGCAGCTGGAGCCAGAAGGCTTGAGCAGAGCATGGGAAATGATGCCTGGGCCAAACCAATGGATTTTGCTGTCACTCATCTCTTTTTTTTTGTTTGTTTGTTTTGTTTTCTGGAAGAATTACAGCAGCTATGAAATGCCAGCCTTTGGCTCAGACCCTCCTGGATGTACTGAAGGGCCAGAGCTTTCCTGAGTACGTGGCCTCCTTTGGGAATTCCCAAGCCCAGGATGTGCTTGACTGGGTGCCAATAACTCACCTCCACATCTCAGAACAGGTGAAAAGTCACACCAGCCTCCACCTTCCCCCTCACTGTCCTCCCTCCTCTGTACCTGTCATGCAGAACCAGCTCACCCTTCCCAGCCTAAAAATGCAGGAACCCAGTTAGAATTAAAAATACAGGGGGGATGGGTGAAAATGCAGAAACAAACCAGAGGAAAATCCTGGAATATTCACAAGTGAGGAGTTTCACTCTGGCTGTAGAAGACAGGGTTGATTTTGAATCAAGCTGCTACTCACTTATGGCTCAGGAGAACACCGTGGGTGCAAAATGACTCCAGAGGGGGTGAAGCACCAGAGGTGAGGGTGAAAGAGTGGAGTAACAGTCACTGTTTCTCCTCTTCCACCAGGTCAGGGTAAAGAGAACAAGAATCCCTTGAAGCACAACAGGAGATGACACTTGGTGTGTAGGTGCCTTGAGTGCTTTTGCAACCAAAAAGAGGGAGTCATTTCTGCAGCCAGAAACGTGACAGTTCAAGAAGAAATGCCTCAAAATAGTTCAGCTTGCAGGCTTCAAAATTCTGCCCTGGCAGAGTCCAGGATTTTCTGCTGTCCCACCAATATTCCTACTAAAAAAGTGCCAGCTGAGCACAATCACCAAAATCCTGCCTGAGGGAGGACAAGTCCTGCTGAAATGCAGGTACAGAGTCACTCTTGTGTTGAATCTGTGGGCACAGCAAAGGCTGCAGCACCTCTGCTGCCTCCCAGAGAGCCCCCTGGGCCCCCCTGCCCCTTAATAACAAGAGTAATTAATTAATGAAGTGGCTTTTGTGTAAGTCAGACAATGAGGGGATTTCTAACACTTTGCAGAGCTCGTGCCAAATTCCGGTGTCCTTTGGAATAGAAGTGAAGTGGACTAAGTATGGATCCCTGGTCAATCCCCAGGCCAGGATAGTGAATGTCACAGCAACACTCACCACCACCACACTGCAGCAGGTATGTAATTAAATTACAGGGTTTCAGATAAAACAAAGGGCTTGTTTTCCTGTGTGCCAGTGACCCAGATAATCTCTTTATCTGAAGGCAGCACTTCCCATTTATTCCACCCAACAGTTCTCTTCCAGCTCAAACACAGCTGTGGCTGCTTGCCAAAACCCTTCAATAAAAATCTATGCATCATTAATGAAAAGCAACATGGAACTGTGTGTGGGGAAAAAAAAAAATAAATGTACAAGTGACAGGTGAAAATATAACCCAGACCAAATCAAGCAGTCATACAGACAGAAGGCTGAAGATAATTCCTGCCTGTATTTTCATTGCAGCTCCCCTCAGGAAGGGAAAGGACCATTCCTATAACAAGTTCTGTTGTTTTCACTGACATTTCCTCACCTGCAGAGCCAGGCTATAAAGCTTGGCCCACCATTAACATCAAGTTACCCTATGATTTTTTCTACCCATTTGTCTAAGGTAAGCATTCATTAAAAAAAACAAAAAAAACCAAAAAACAAAAAACAAACACATTTCTGCTTTTTCTGATTTTTCATCCGAGGTTTTTGTGATTGATGGGCCACGAATTTCATCTAAATTGTAGATAAACTGGGCTAAAATCAGCCAAGGGAGAAGGGGAGAGACCTTGTGAGGGTTCTCAGGAGGGTTAAAAACCCACCACCTTAAGTGGAAACTTCCAAATTATAACTCACTGAGAGGAAGAAAGGATGCAGATATGAACTTGCTGGTCAGCAAATGTGCAGCCACCAACCTTCCAGCACATCAGACCCATTCCCAGCTCCTCAGATCCATTCCCAGCTCCTCAGATCCATTCCCAGCTCCTCAGATCCATTCCCAGCTCCTCAGACCCATTCCCAGCTCCTCAGACCCATTCCCAGCTCCTCAGACCCATTCCCACCTCCTCAGACCCATTCCCAGCTCCTCAGACCCATTCCCAGCTCCTCAGACCCATTCCCAGCTCCTCAGATCCATTCCCAGCACATCAGATCCATTCCCAGCACATCAGATCCATTCCCAGCTCCTCAGACCCATTCCCAGCACATCAGACCCATTCCCAGCTCCTCAGACCCATTCCCAGCTCCTCAGATCCATTCCCAGCTCCTCAGACCCATTCCCAGCTCCCTGCCTGTGGAGGCAGGAGAAGAAGGGACCCAGCACAGCTCCATTATCCCATAAGAGCAGAGGTAAATTGCTAATTAAAGCCATCATGTGCTATTAGATAAGGCCTCTGCTCTATCTACCCCCAGACATGACTAAGCCACATATTTCTGGCTATTTCCCCCACACCACTCATTAATCACCTTTCTTTAAAGATCTGAACAGTTCAGCTCTGCTCTGAGCAAAGCTCAGTGACCCTTCCAGCTGAGTCTGGCTCCAATCCACTGGAGACACCTTCCAGAATTCCCCCTCCCTGACTCTGACTCTCCCACTCTCAAACAGTCTCTCCACAGGCACCTTCCAGTACCTGGAACTGCTCCTGTTGTGTTCAAACACCAGCCTGGCTCCTTTAGAATTTGCTTTTTCATGGCTTTTCTGCAGCCTGACTGTTCCCAGCAGTTCCACTCCCCTCCACCTGCTCTGACACATTCCAGTCCTTTGAACACCTCGATTTACGAGCTGTGGGAACAAAAGAACTCAGTAGCCCAGTGGGATGGGAACTGGAAAGGGAAGAAGGGATGAGAAAAGGCAGTGCCAGGCCTGGAAGAAAGCTCTGGTGACGTAGGAGGGCACATGTTTGGCCTCTATTTTGGGGCTGATTTGATTGTCGAGGGAAGGAGTGGCCTGTTGGTGGTTTTGAAACAAATGTTATATAAATAACAGAGCGGCACAAGCAGCAACAGAAATGAGGAAACTACCAACAATATGAGAAGAATGGTTGGCAAAGAGATGTATTGATGATGAACAGTCAGCTGGTGGAGGAGAAATGATCTTTTCATGCCCCAGTTCTCTTATCATTTCTACTGCAAGTTCTACAAGATGCTGCAAACAAAGAAGGTTGTCACAGAAAAGATGAAATTATTTTAAATAAGTGGTACTCCTGTGGGGTGTAGCTTGTAAAGGTGTGTCTTTATTAAATTATTTTGCAGATTTGACTGTACAACTGTACAAGAAAGGGGAAGAAAAATTGCTGTTTACAGGGACCGTGTGTGATTAATTTTCCAGCAAAACTCTTTTTGCAATCCCAAGGTCTGATCAAAGTGTGGTCAAATAGGAAATGTTTATAGGCAACACGATGCAAGAGGAAGTAAAGAGACAAAAAAACCTTTCAGGTCAAGCTGGTGGATTCCAACACTGCACTCTCCAGGCAGGATTCCCACCTTGGAAAACTGCCCTCCTACTTGGGCTGGCTGAGGAGTCCATGCTGCTTTAGGATGTTGTTCAGCCTCTCGATTTCTTGCTCCTGTAGGAGACAAAAAAAATCAAGTCATTAATAACCTTCAAATAGCTCCCCAGCTTCCCACAGATCTTCCCCAGTGCTGCAGGAAAACAGGACAAACCTGGCTAAAGGAAGTAGGACAGAGGGAAACATCACTCCTTGGAGGAGGAGCAGCTCAGGGAACTTGGGTAGGGCACCTCACACCTCCCAGTGAGGAAACTGTTCCAACAGTGCCAGCCTTGCACGAGGATGCCAGGCAGGCAAACCCAAGTCAAAAGTGGTTTTTTTTATTTACCTTCTCTACACAGCTGTGTTCCAGTTGTTCCAGCCTCGTTGCAAGTTTCAGGTTGGCTTGTTTTAACTTGGACACTTGTTGTTCCGAGCGGGTCTTCACTGATAAAATGATTCCTGTGGAACAATTCCCGGGGGATTAGCTTGACATTGTAAGGCAGCCACGAGCAGGATTAACAGCACACAGGGGCTGTGCTCGAGGAGTTAAACATGTTTTAGGTTCTGTCATCTTCCAACCACCCTTCCCAAGGGCTTTTCTTAATGAGGAGGGTTTGAAATCAGCCACCCGAGGGATTCGGATGGGGAGACTCTGCTGGGAAGAGGCAGAGCTGAATTAATCACTCAGACTGTCACTCAGATCCTGAATTGGAATGTACTCCCCTGGCAGAGCCCGGGGGGGATGGAGCTGGAGGCTTTGCTGGGTTTTAGCAGGTTTTAGGTGTAGTCAGGACCTGCTCTGACAGCAGGGTACAGCCTGGGGCTCATGCCCTGCAGATGATTGCTGTGGCCTGGGGGAACGGGACATGGAACATCCCGGTGGATCAGGACACGGCACATCCTCAGATCCAGCAGGTTTTGGCTTCCCCTTGCCCAGCTGCCCTAAGGACCTGCCGTGTTTCACCACAGCAGGTGTCACTCCTCTACAAGCACCATTAGGTGATGACACGTGAGCTCAGCCCCCACATTTAAAGGCATTTTCTTCCCATCCTTTTCTGAGGGGGAAAAAAAAAATACTAAACCAGCCTGGTGGGAGCACGAAGAACATCCCGTTCCTCCTCCCCGACACGGAACAACGTGCAGGAGGCACCGGGGGGTGCCTGGTTCTCGTGCTCAGCCAGCAGGTCTGGGGTTTGGGGGTTCATTGCTCAGAGCACGAAGCTTTATTTGCATTGATAACATCAACAGTCCCCAGCTGGTGTAACCCAGTCCCTGTCAGGGGCACTGAACCGTGCCAGGCACGGGCACAGCACCCGTTCCCTTTGTTCCCTCTGTTCCTCAAAAAGCTTGGGGGGAAATCCAGGAGCAGCCAAGGATAAGGGGATTTTCTTGTAACAGCAGCCCTGTTTTCTGCTGGAAGATGAGCTTCCCGTGGCTCCCAGGGCTGCAGGCAAATCCAGTTTCTGTCTGACTTTCACTCTGAACTACGAGAAGCCACAAGCTGCTCTCACATCCTCCCTCCCTCCTTCCAGCTGCTGCCGGCCAGGCACGTTCTGCCCATCCAAAGGGCACTGGGGGGGCTGAAAAGAGCCCCAACCATTCCCTCCTCTGATCCCTCTGTGCCAAATGCAGAGCATTCCCCAAACCTGAGCTGGAGGCACAGACAGCACTTGGGCTGAGGTCTCGTGCAGGAATTAGAGATAATCTCATTGCTACATTTTTTGGAATCCCAAAATTCCTTCTCCAAGAAGGAAGAAACAGCTACACTCTGAATTAACATCTATTTGCAACAATTTCCAATTTCCACAGCAAAGTCATTTAAGTCTGATTTCTACTTTTTTTTCTTTTCTATTTCTCTTTTTATGGTAAACCCTTTGAATCCAAGCAAGAAAGATCCAGGGTGAGATGAGGACATTCCCTGCAGCATCCCTGGAGGGGATGATGGAGCAGCAGCAGAACAGAGCATTAAATCCTACTCTGCTGTAAAAGCAGATGCAGGAAGACAGTTAAAACACTGCCAGAAGGAGCCTACAGTGGAAACTTAGGATGTGAGCCCTCCTTCTCCAGGATGGACAACCAGAGTGTGTGGCAGGCAGTGGAGCTGGGATACTGGTCCAGGAGGTGTGAAGGGGAATAGACTATGGAGTTTTTAAGGGGCAATGTCTATCCCTGCTCCAAAGAAAGGACTCACTGGGCCACACTCCAGCAAGGAAAACCAGGAACTCCGAGTTCACTGGGAGAGCAGGAGCAGGGGTCTCACAGACGGGTGTGAGGAGAGGCCAAAGACACAAGCCCAGGTAATTCAGGGAAGGTGACAAATCCAGCCCCTGGCCCAGGGGACCCCCTGACCCACCGTTGATGATCCGGGCCACCCTCCAGAGCCGCAGCAGGATCAGCAGCCCCACGGCCTCGAACTCGTGCTCGCGGAAGATGAGGACGATGTCGAGCACGAAGGACACGACCACGACCACCCCGTCCAGCACCTCGAACTTGTGGTGGAAGAACTCGCGGCGATACACGAACACCTTGAACCCCACCTCGACCAGGAAGATGGTTAAAATGGACAGGGAGAGGTAGTGGAAAACCTGGGAAAAGGCAGCACAAGTTGAGGGCAGGAAGCTGGGAACCCCCTGTGTGCACACGAGCAGGGCAGGATGGAAAACCTCCCCTGCTTGAGGGCACGTCTGGTTGGGCTCTACGGGGAGAAGGGCTGGGGACTTTTCTTCTGCTCTAGAGGACAGAGCATGTGGCAGCCTGTGGTGCTGGGAAACTGGTCCAGGAGCTGTGAAGAGCAGCAGGAGGAGGGTGGTGGGAGTGACCCAGCTCTGCTGCAGCCCCAGGAATCCCGAAGCTGCTGCAGGGACTGGTGTGAGCTGAGCCAGGTCAGCCCCACACACCCCTGTTTAAGGGGTCCTCCTTTGTGTGCTGGGACCACCAGCTCGCAGGGCTGGAGCTCCAGGTCCTGCCTTGCCCAGCCAGCCTACCCAGGGGGGGCTCTGAGGCACCAAAGGCAGGGAAATCGCTTTTCATGGTGACATTTCCCCACACTTTACCTTCGGGGTTATGTTATATTTGTCTGGAAGGATGATTTTCAAGTCCATGAGCAATTCCCCGAGAACCAACAAGGCATCCAGGATCACCAGCCAGACAACCCCGATCTGCCAGAGGAGAAGAACCAACATGAATCCCCTCCCAGCACAGACAGACGAGCCAGAGGAGCCAATGTGGCCCTTCAGCTGAACACACCCCTACACCCACAGCCCTGATTCAGCTGGTTGTGTTTCATGGAGCTTTCCATTGCTCCCACTCCCCCTGGATGGTGGGTTATTCCTGCAAAGTCCTATCCCTGTGGAACTGCCTGGCTCCCCATAAACCCAACCACCTCCCAGCCCGAGCTCGAGCCAGGGGGAGCATGTGCTGGTGCTGGCACCGCAGTGACCCCGAGGCACTGGGGCCTGTCCCCGCTCAGGAAACACCTGCACCCATGGGAGCAGCTCAGCTCAGCTCCCCCAGCACAGCTCAGCTCAGCCAGGGGCTCACGAGCTCAGCCCTGCTCCCTGAGCTCCATCCCACACCCGCCCTTGGCCTGGCCTTGTTCTGCCTCACCTGAAAGCTGTGGGAGCTGAAGAGCTTTCTCATCATGTACTGGAAGGAGATGTGTCTCCTGGCAGGCTCCACCTTGATCTCCGAGTCCGGCTGCTTGTCCCCATTGTCCTCCTCCTCCTCCCACTTCTGGTAGTCGTTGCTCCACTGCACGGGGTCATCACCCACCACCGTGAAGTGCTTCAGGTACCTGGACATGGCTCTGGCTCAAGCTGGCATCACCCTGCCAACTGAGGGACAAGAGCAGAGCGTCACCTCCCCGCTCAGGGCTGACCAAAGACGCCAAATCTCCCAGTTTCACCCCAGGGACGGGACAGGACCGTGACCGGCCCAGCTGACGGGAAGTTGCTAAACGCTGGGACCACAGGTTTTGCATCACCTCCCACGGCACCACGAGGAGCCCCCGCCGCCCTCCCCTGCCCTGTTTGTGCCCCGTCTGCTGCTCCACAAGGAGGAACTTCCTCACGAGTTGTTTCCAGACTTCTCCAAACAAAGCATCGATTACAGGAGCAAAAAAGCACCAGCCTTATCTGGCACCTTGAGATGTAGGTGGAGGCAACTGCCCTTGTGTTTCTGTTGGACACTGATCCGCAGAGGCTTCTGGTCAGAAGCCAAGGGGAAGAACAGCCATGGTTTCCCTTCGTTCCCATCAGGGACCCCTGTTATTTAAGCCTTTGCAAGTAAATGAAGCAGGTGATCCTCAGGTTTCAGCCTGGCAGGTGGGTGACACCGACATCCCCATCTCCTCTCCCTGCATCCTCCAGAGCCGACCTCACCCTTGGGCATCCCAGTGGGCATCCAGAGAGGGGCAGGGCCACCAAACCCAACTCCTAATCATTAAGGCCACACTCCAGCAATGAAAACCACACGGATGAAACAGCGAGTTCGCCGAGGGTGCAAGACCCAGGGGTCTCACGGATGGGCTGAAGGGCTGCAGGAGAGGCTCCTGTGTTCCCATCACAGCTCCCCAAGCTCTCCTTCCTCTTTGAGCAGCCCGGCGAGACTGTGTAGCCCACAAACCCTCCGAGATGCACTCCCGCCGCCAGCAGAATCCCCGTCCCCACCCCGCTCCCATCCTTCCCAGAGCCGCCCGGGGGGCTCAGCACAACCTCCCCCGGCCCAGCCCGCGCTCCGGGGCTCTCGCCCTGCCCTCGGTCCCGCCGGGCTCCGCTCCCAGCGGCGGTGGTGCCGGAGGGCGGGTGGGCTGCGGCCACCCCGTCACCAGCCGTGAGGAGGGAGATGGTCCCGCCGTGCCGTCACAGGGGCAGCACCTTCGTTCTCCGTCCCCGGGCACCGAGCGGAGCCCCGCGGGGAGCGGCCCCGGGCATCGCCCCCAGGCCCGGGTATCGCCCCCGGCCCCGTGCGGGGCGGCCGCGGGGTCTGGAGCCGCTGCCGGCGGGTGGAGCATCCCGGACCCCGGGGCTGCCCGACCTCCCCCATCCCCAGCCCGCCTGGAGCGGGACGGAGCCCCGGGGCGGGGCGGGACCCCGGGAGAAGGACGTGGCGGCCCCCGCTGCAATCCCCCCACTCCCGGCCGGCACCCGCCGGGCCGAGCCCCGGGAGCGCCCCGGCCGCCCCTGCTACCCCCGGCCCCGCTCCCCTCGGTCCCCGGTACCGTCCGTGCTCGTCCCGGCTGTGCCCGAAGCGCCGCCGCCGCGGGGCCTCCGCGGACCGGCCCCGCCTTCCCCGGACAGGGGCGGCCCCGGCCCGGCCCCGCCGCCTCCTCCCACCGCGCCCGGAGGGGCTTCAGCGGGTCCCCCCATCCATCCCCGGATCCCCCGCCCATCCCCAGGGTCCCTCCCATCCATCCCCGGTGGTCCCGTCCGACATTTTCCCTTCCCGCAGCTTTTCTTTTTTCCCCTGCTCGGGAGCTGCCGGAACAAGAGACGCCGCCGGATGGAGTTTAAACTTTTTTTTTTTTTTTTCCCCCCCTGTTTTTAAACTTTTTTTTTTTTCTACCCGACACAGCGAGCAAAGATCCTGGACGGGGGGGAAGTTAAGTCCTGAGTCTCTGGCCAAGCTCAGAGCGCGGCTGCTGAGCAGGGACACAGGTCAGTCCCACGAAGTTGGTGGAGATCCCAGGGATTACATGAATATAAAACCCAGGAATCAGGGCTGGTTTAATCTGCCTCCATTTATAGGCTCCTGTTTGGTCAGAGGCCTCTTCATGTTTAAGGTTCCCCTCTGCCTTCCAAAATCAAGCTGTTTTGGGAAATGTCCTGAAAAAACCACCAGCTGTGAAAAGCACCAGGAACCCACCTCTGCTACTACAGACCAGAAACATTTCCGATTTTCTCCAAGGAATAAATATCTCTCCAGTTTTGCACTTTCTTGGGAAGGGTTTCGTCCTAGAGAACACCTAAAACTTTTCCTGGAACCTAAGTATTTTCTAGCACCTCAGGCCCATCCCCATCCTCCTCTCTGGGGAATGAGCACAGGTAACACCCTCCTGGAACTCCAAATGCCCCATCCCTCAACCCTCCCCCCAAAACACCCACTTACAGAGCTCAGCTGAGCACCAGGAGCGGGACAGCAAAGGCACAGCCCTGGAGCCGCAGCAGGGAGGTTTATCCTGGGGGGTTCCAGAGAATTTAGGCATTTTGGTCTCAGCTGAGTCCAATAAACACCAACACAATCAGCCGATGGTGGAAGATCTGCACCTGAGAGCTCTGCAGATCTGATCCCCTTTTGGGTAAGGACTGGGGGTTTTAAGGAGAAAACCCCACCAGCTTCTGCTTCCCCATGAGGGACGTGTGCCCAAACCCACCCCCCCTCCATGTCCCCTGTGGAGACCTGAACAGGTCTGAACACTGCAAGGAAAGGGGATGTTTTGTTGTTGAAGTGCCCCCAGCCTGACTCGACTCCAAGCTGAAAGCAACAACAGCCCTGACACATCCCAGAGCAAACCAGGAACAGGCAAAGGTGACCTGTGCAGAAAAACAGCCTGTCCACAGCTGGATGACCACGGGGACACTCTTTATTTTGGAGAAATTAGAGAAACACGTCCCACAGCAAGGGAATGCCTCAGATCTTACCACTCTTTCCAGGCCACAAGACAGGGAGGGACTGATCAGGGAGAACTTGGGTTTGTCACCATTTCCAGCTACCTGTATTGTTATGGAAAAAAAATCAGGAATCAGCATCTACTCCTCCTTCTGTCCCTTAACTGATCAAAACACCTCCAACCCCAACAAATGGGCATCAAACCTGCCCCTGAGCTGTCGATCACAACCTGCAGTGGGACCAGCAGCTCCTTCCCTTCCCAGCCCTGCAGTGGGACGGGACCCATCCACCTCCACCTGCACCCCGGGAAGCTCGAGGTGCGTGACCCACCCCCAGGGAATGCAGCTGGGCAGAGGACACAGCCCAGAATTGGCACCTGTGGCACCGAAACTGCCTCTGAGGAGAGAAAACAAGTCACGGACAACAAAGGTGTGACACGGCCAGCACAGCAGGGCTGGGGAGCGAGGGGTGACCAGGCACAGCCCAGCTCACTCCAGCAATAACAGACTACAGGACGTTGTACAAGGAGGGAGAAAAATCAGAGCCCCAAAGGAAACCACAAGTGTGATTTAAAAGGTGAAAGTCTGTGACACCTGATAAAAGGAGATCGTAGTGGCTAGCAAGAAGTTTTTGATTAATTAGCTGTAGAGGGAGGGGGAAAAGATCTTCAGAGCAGGAAAACAGCTCTTTGATTCAGAGAAATACATTAAAAAATAAAATCAATGGTTGGGGACTGGCCAGAAAATGTATTTATGGTGAGAAAGTCCCACTCACTCCCAGCGTGGAGCGGATCTGGGTGGGACAGCAGGACAGAGCCAGTGTGGGATGTGAGCTGGGCATTCCTGTGACAAGCCTGTTCCTCAGCGGATGCAGCAGCACTGCAGCTGCTGTGGTGCTGTGAACAAGCCGCCTCCTCTGAGTGCTGAACATCCCACACCATTTTGCACAAGGCCACAAGGGACCCAGGCTGTTTCTGGCACACACCTCACCCACACCACCATCCCACCCGCGGCAGCCGGCGCACACCGGCACCGATAAAGTTCTCCCAAGTTCCCCATTTCACCGAGAGTTCAGTTCTGTAATTAGGAACCAGAGAAGTTATCTTGTCCTCAGCTCTACCCCTCTCAGAGCAGCCCTTGTGTTCAAGGCCAGCCCTGCTCAGAGCACACAACAACGAACACGAGCCCAGTGAGGCCTCCCACGCCCGTGTGCGGTGCCGCGAGCACGGGCTGTGACAACACCAGCTCTGCCACCACTGTCACCAACACGTGTCACTGGGGGAGCTGCACCCCCTGGGGGACCCAGAGCTAAACCCAACACTGCTCTTTAAAATCCCCCCCCTCTTGCAGCTCAGACAAATCCAAACCGAGAATCCGTGGGTTTCCAGAACAATTTATTTCTCTAAGTCAGGCCCTTGGAGAGCAGGGTCTAGGTTGTGATAAACCAACACGGAGAAGATTTAACAATTTCATCATTTAATAAGTGATTATCACTACATGGTATTGTACACTGTCATCTGTTCAAAAAAGATCAACAGCTTTTAAAAAACAAGATTCTGTGAGAGATTTATATAAACCAGTGATCAAGAGTAACACCTCTGGTTGGCTTATCGAGTTTCTGGGTTTCTTTGTCGAACAAAGTCTTTAGGCTGAAACGCACAAACCCCTTCTGGCAGATCCTGAGCCATTTCTGTCCCTGCCCTGGGACTGCTGTCTCAGCACTACGATCTGCTCCACGGAACACAAGGAAACTGTACAAAATGTGTTCACTCTGAGCACGGACAAGTGTTTATGTGCTATTTCCAGCCAGGACTTCCTTTGCTCTCCGAGAGGAAGGTGTGGATGGGAAGCCCGGCCAACTCGGCGGGGGGGTCGTGTACAAACGGGTTTCTAAGCGAACTTTGGCTTCAGGAAAGAGACACAAACACTTAAAATAATGGCTTTAATTGTCATTTGAAGTATAAGGAGAGGACCGTGTGTCTGAATTAAATATATATCCTACCAGTGATGCTGGCAAGGTTGACGGTTATTCCTAATGTCAACAGCAATAAAAACTACAGACAAGACATTAAAAGAAAAGCAATCCCTTTAAAACAAACCTTTAAAACAAAATTTAACGTAAAAAACAAAAAAAAAAGTTCACAGTGGTTTGTATAAACAGTATGTAATCGCTGACAGGAACAAACCTCTACTCTCACAGCACACGAGTGCCCTCTTCAGATCCTAAAGAACAAGATTCACACTACTCATGGTACAGTCCCAGCAGCCGTGCCTTACCCGGCTGGCAGGGGGTGCTGTGCAGCTGTAACACCGACAAAAGGGGACTCGGAAACTCTTTTTTTTTTTTTTTTTTTTTCCTGGGAGGGAGGAAAAGTCTTTTCATTCGCTGTTACAACCAGCAAATGCCATTCATCAAATGGAAAAGGAAAACCACAAACACGTTATCTATTTTGAGCAAGCTGAACAGCACAACATGACAGGTTTAAAAATGGAGGTTATAGACTATGATACAAGTCCCAACAAGGCAGAGCCAAAGTGACTATTTCTTGGCTTGTTTTGTGATCATACCCCTGGGAGGTGTTACGGGTCTGCTGGAATTGGGCTTCTTCTTCTCTGCAGGTTTCAAGATCTGAAAAGACAGAAGGTTTTAGCTGTTTTCCAGTCAAATTTCCAAATCCAGTAGTTCATTCAAAGGTGTGATATGGGTCTTCTAAACATTCCCAGAATTCCCTGTGTTTCCTGCTCTGAGCTAGGCCAGGGCTTGGAGCAGCTGATCCCAGAACCCACACTAGTGGGAGCAGGCTGACAGCCAACAGCTTTGCCTGGGTGATTTAATTCCAGGGTAAAACAGTTCACCTAATCACACCAGCACAGGCTTATCACATTTTTGAAGATGTGACTGCAAACACTGTCCTGTCTACACATGACAGCTGTAAAGATCTATTTGGAACAATTACTGTATTTTAACAATAAAGCACTGATGCAAAATTCCACAAATTTAACATGTGACCTCACTGACTAGGAGGGAAAAATGTTTAGCTACTGTACCTGGAAGGAGCACATTAGTGTTTCATCCACGCTCATCATGGCACCCGCGTTATCAAATTCTCCACAGTAATTCGGGGCAGAAAAGAGAGTTACCAACTGCCTTTTTGCAAAGAACTCGTATCCATCTTCAACAACCTTCAGAGAGAAAAGCAGCAGTGTTAGTCTGGGCAGATTCTTCCTGCCAAAGTGCAAAGCAGCTTTACCAGAGGCAGCAGCTGAAAGACTGGCTGTGTTTAAGGAGCGTAAGTTCCAAACTTCTACACCAAAACTAGAGCATCACAAGAACCAGTTCAGCAACACAGTCCATTAGTATTGACATAACTCTTAATCAAGAGAGTCACAGTTTTTAGGCATTAAGGAAAAATGTTCAGTACAAGGACTGTTAAACACTGGGACACATTCAGAGATCCTCACAGGTATTTACAATTTGGCTGGACAAGACTCTCAGCACCTCGGGCTGAGCATGTGTGTGTGGGGCTGGACCAGGGGAGCACCTCAGGAACCTAAACTATTCTCTGGTTTAAAGTACAAAATGGAAATACCTGATGAGCTCTACATATGAGATCCAAATCATGTTTGTGGAGAAACTTAGCAACCACTTCAGCACCAAAAGTGAAGGACACTCCTCTGTCATTTTCACCCCAGCCCAAGACATCCTTGTCAGGGTCAGACCACAGGAGGTCACACAGGAGACCCTGGTCTGGTACATCAGTGGGCCGCATGATTCGTCTGATCTGCTCCATTGACTGCAGGTCTGGTGACAAACCTGTCAGAGGTAAGACACACACACACAGAGTCCACATGTCAGTCCAGCTCTGCTCTGCAGGACTGACGTGTTCCTTCAGGACAAAAATACTCTGTTTTCCAAGTGATTCACCACTGCCATTTTACGCAGTTCAACGGCGGCATTAACTGGCATTTTTTTAATCCAGTGTTTGTTTGAAGGCATTCGTAACAGAAGACAAGTCACTTCCTAGGAGATTTACTGGAAGCAAGATAAGCAAAGCCATTTCCACGTTTTACAGGATTACAATAATCTCAATAATATTGGGCAAGTGTCTGATAAAAGAGCTGTTAAGTAAAAGAGGCATTTACACCAGAAATCACAGGGTATGTTTACTGTGATGCTCAGGCCTAGTAAGATGAAACATGGTATCAATCTCACATTGTTCTTCAGTGATGTGTGTCCCTGGGCAACTGCAATGGCTGGCAAGTGATAAAACATTCAAAGTGCAATATGCATTTTATGCCCTCAGAAAGCTGCACGAAGCAGGTACCACAAGGCACAAACCCATCTGTACAAATTAAACCTGCCAGGTCGTGGAGGGCTTTGGGCAGCCTGAGCTGGTGAAAAAGGCACCCCTGACTGTGGTAGGGGGTTCTACTCAGTGATCCCCAAAAGTGCCTTCCAACCCACACCACTCTGATTCAGAACAAACTCCTAATCACAAGTCTACAAACCCCTACAAGGATATTTTACTCAGAAGGAGAGTCTCTTAAACACGTCTTTAAGTGGAAAAGGAAAAGCAGATCACTGTGTCTGAGGCTACAAAACTGCCAGCTCTGTGATTCACAAAACTGACACTCATCAAGCCCAACCCTTCCTCATACAAGGGCCAAGAAGAGAAAAACCCCTGAAGTTTTGAAGCTTCAGCAATGTAAACATGGAAATGCCAGGACTGATACTGAGTATCCAGTTCCTCAAGTATCACCTAAGGACCCAACTTACCCCCGTGACAGCAGAATATTTTCTCATCCACAATAGCTGCAATTGGTAAACAGTTAAAACAGTCTGTGAAGGTTTTCCACAGCTTAATGTTGTATCTTCTCTTACCTAGAAGAGATTTGGGAGAAAAAGGTCAATATGCTTTTCTAACACCACAACCAACCTAACATGGCTGCCTTAAGTTTACTGAGACTTGCAAAAAGTCAGCCTTTACTTTATCTTCTGACAATTTATCTTCTGACACCCACTGACTTATTTCACTGCTTCAAAGACAATTGCAAAGGTCTCTCATTGTGGCAGAGCTCTGAGATCAGCACAAGTCTGTTCAATGGGATGGCATTCCCCTGTTGCCAGCCAGGCTCTCCAGTCCCAACTTTGCATTGGAAGATTATCCCTTGGAGAACTTCAGAAAATCTTGCTGTTTCCTTCAAGGGAAGACAGCAATTCTTGAAAAGCACATTTTCTTTAAAATTCTCCTTTACCACATAGAGTCACTCTCAGCAAGGAAACGGGACTGAAAAACGAAACAGGGACTGAAAAACGAAATTGCTACAGTTTTACAAATTTCAAAAGGACTCTCCCAACAGACACAAACCCTGAACGTTTTGTGATCTATGACTAAGGCTGTGATTAATCTCTGAAATACCACACACATCTTTGTTTCCTCACTGGAGGAGAACAAGACATGGAGAGCACACCTCGTAAGCTGCAAGCCAAGTATGTCGCACCACACAAGTTGTGACGTGCTTCAGCGCACAATTAATTTAACAGCATCACCTCCTCTACATCATCTGGATTAAGTCACATCCTTTGAAGCAGGAACATACATTTCTACTTCACAGCAAAATGGCTGTCACCGTAATACATCTGTTACTTACACTCATCATAAAACCCATAAATTCTATTGATGCTGGCACATTCGTGGTTCCCTCTGAGGAGGAAGAAATTCTCTGGGTATTTGATTTTGTAGGCCAACAGAAGACAAATTGTTTCTAAAGATTGTTTTCCTCTGTCAACGTAATCTCCAAGGAACAGGTAGTTGCTTTCTGGTGGAAAACCTCCATATTCAAAGAGTCGGAGCAAGTCATAGTATTGTCCATGGATGTCACCTGCAGTGAGATTCAGACACAAAACAGAAGTGACCCTTCACTGCATTCTCTGATTGATTCCAGAGAAAGAACAAATGAAAGATGCTTCAGGAAGAAAAGAGCTTGTAGTTACATACTGCCCATAATGTCCTTAAAATTACAGCTCATGTACAGTAATCATATTTTAAATTTGACACCTATGCAGTGCAATGGTTAACAGCACGAAGAAGTAGCACGTAGCTACTTAAAAATATTCCCTTGTAGAAAACAAAATGAAGGTTCCAAGAAACCAACTGTGTTTTCTGGAAACAGTAATTCAAATTCTAGCAATGAAGTAGCATCGAAAATGAAATTGGTATTTCTGCCTTTAGTTTAAATCATGGGTTTGTTTCTGACAAGCAGAACACTAAATCATGATTTTAGACTACTCATGTTATAAATATTGAACAAGCTTCTTCAATTTGAAGTGAGTCCTCAGTGTTAGAGTAGGATAAAATACTGTTTGCTGGAAGCTTTCTAAAGTGCATTTATTGAGGCTTTTATGTTGACATTCTTCATTCTTTTAGCACAAGCAGACATGTACGTGTGTGCAAAATGAGCAGTGCTGTCTGCAAGTGTGGTGAAACCAAACTAGAGAGTCATTCCAAGAAACAGGACAGAAATTTAAGTTTCCAGTAGGATTTTAAAATACTGTCAAACCACTGTTCAACTCTGTACAGCAGCTACAATAAACTACTGCAGGTCTTCACTGTTTCCCCTCATTCAGTCACAACTGGGCCAAACATTATTTAACTGATACAGAAAACTCCTTTCCAAAACTTCCTTGTGAATCCCTTCCCCGAGACCTGGTGAAACTGGACCAGTTACTTTTTGGGTCTGGAATATTTTGGTCCCTGCTCCAACTCCCACACGTTACCTCCTCCCCATTCCTCTGCCCTGTGTATCCAGCAGGGTTTTATTTTCCCTTTCACTACAATTATTTATTAGTTCCACTGTTAGTAAGTGAAAGTAGCATCCAGTATTTGTTCTCTAAGGTCTGCATCGAGCTGACCCACCCCCAAAGACCAAACCAAAAATCACAGTACTCACCACAGATTTTCAGTGGAGCTTCAAGTTCTAGCAGAATAGGCTGACTCAGAAAGATTTCTCTGGATTTCAAGCACAGTCCTCTAATTTCATTCTCCTGGAGCTGCACGTTCTTGCCTGGCTTTGATCCCCGCACTGTCAGAAGGAGTCAGAAGTCAGTTATCCAGAGCAGCAACATCCCCAGGGTCGTGTTAACAGCCTGAGTAAATGCCAGTGCAGCACTGCAGGAGAAGGCACCAGGGTAGGATGAGGTGGAACAGCAGGGCTGTGCTGCAGGCAAAGGGGAGCGAGTTCTCCTCCAGCCCTGGGTTACTTTCATTGAACAGAATCCATAGCTCAACACTTCCCCCATTCAGTGGCACATCTTAAACAGCAGCAGTTTAGTTCTATTTAGCTATAAACCCATCTTGGACAATGTGACTATACATATTTTATTTCTTTAACGAAGCAGTTACACACTTGAAAGCTGCCTGAACCTGAGAAAAGGGTGGCTGCCATTCAATCCCCACAGCACAGCTCAAACATGTGAGCTCCCCTAAATCAGCACATCAGCTGCCCATAAATCCTGACTGCCCCGTCCTACACTGCAGATGCACAGGTGGAAGGTAAAGAAGCACATGAAAGGAAGGCCAGGAGTAACTATCCTTAAGGAAACAGTTTTGGATCCCAAGGACAAAACATCTCTCCTTGTCACCGCCTTTTGAGCACAGTAAGACAAATGAGCAGATCTATGTCCCAGCTCCAGGCCACTTCACCCTCCCAACTCCCCTCCTTCCCACCCCTCCATCACCTCTCCAATCTCCCCCACTGCAACAATTCCTAACAGTTGGTTCCCTTTAACACCCATTAAAGCTTCCTGCTCTGGACAAGGACACCAGATTGGCCTGAACAAGTTTCACCCCCCTCTTTGTGTTGCCCAGAAATACAGAGGACGTTTCTACAGCAGCAATGCTGTAACTGCGGCCCAAATGGCACCCAACAGCATTTATCAGGGTTAGGATAAGACTAAATAAAAACATTTCTGAGTATGCCATTACTGGCGAAGCTTATTTTTATTTGGCATCAAAACCAGTGACAACATGGAACACTGATAAAGCTGAAGGGGAAAAAAAGCACTGAGAGCAGCAGTCACTGCCCACAATGTAACCCACTGGTTTAGCTGCATCAAAGCCAAAGGAGCTGAGAACTTGAGCCTCAGCTGCCTGGAAATGCTCTGCCAACACCTCCAGAAAGAAAACCACCACACTGGTAAGGCTGCCCAGTTAAGGTGACTTACTGTGAGCAGCTCCTACTGCACGGAGACTGAAGAATCTATGCCCCATCCAAAAAGGTTTGGGTTTAATTGTAAAAAAAGCAAGCAACAAGCCTGAATCCTTCCAAATACCTATGCAGTATTATCTTCCTGAATTCCTAAATAACCTCTTAGCCAGCTACCATGTCAGCCTAATTCCCTGGGCACTGTTTAACCCCAGAGAGAGACGTGGAAGGTGCAGATGACTCAAATCCCTGCAGTGCCACTGTGGGCCTTGTGCTGTGTGGAGCCAAGTGAGAACTGCAGCAGGAAGGGCTGGGGGTGCTCGGGGCGTGTTTCAGGAACAGCAAGAACAGACACGCTTGTGTTCCAATTTCTCATTAGCACAGAAGCTTCTGACTTTTAGGCAAGCCCCTGCTCAAGAGCAGAAATCATTGTTCAGTCAGTGTGCATCTTATCCAGACCATGAATAAAATAATGACTGGGCAATATCCCTACATAAAATCACGTGTCAGACACAATCCCTACCAACCCTACAGTGTTATCCCTGACTCCCAGAGACCCCAGGCACGGTGGCACCAGCTGCCCTATGGAACCACAACACCCTAAACCACCCCACCTTCCCTCAAACAAGCCTCCAAATGAAACCTTGGTTCAAATTACAACCTATACTGACAGTGACACGATTGTGGGTCAGAAGTCACGGCTTTAACACTGTTATCTCTCCAGCAATTTGTGCTCCTTTACTCCTCCCTGCCCACCACTGCCATTCCAGCACTGGAATTATTTCATGTCTTCCATTAAAATATCCGAAGTAATGAAGCATATAAATGGAAGTTAAATCTTTGTCACAGCAGTTTATCACGCATGAGGCTTTTCATCCACGCAGTCGTTTTTTCATCCATACAGTAATTTTCCAAAGACTCACGAGCAACAAGCAAGTCACTCAAAATGCCAAATATCCAGAAGCAATAACAAACAGAAATTTTGAGAATTAAGCGTTAAGCTCGCTGAATTATAAATGTAAAACTGATTCTCCCCTAATCTGAAACTTTACCAGCCACCTTTGTCTTTGAGATAATACAAAATATTTGTATTTAGTTTTCCGAGAAGCCAAAAATCTAATTTTCCATGATTTTGGTCTTGTTAGAAATTGCTAAAACTGAACCCTGTATTTCACATCCATAAATTAAAAAGTACAAAATATTACACAGGCTATGTAATGCACTGAGTCACTAAAGCTCATGAATAAAGCATATGCATTAATTTTTGCCGAAGATTAAATGGGGATCTGAAAACTGTTTCAGACGCAGGTTTTCTAAGTTTCTTCATTACATTTTCACTGCACTGGTATAATCCTCATGCAGTTTTAAGTCACCTGCTTCTAGAAAACCTTGACAGGATGAAATGGTGCTCTGCTGCAGTTCCCAAACTCAGCAGAGGGGTGAGAGAACAGGACAGTTTGGTTCAGCTCTGCCTGCCAGTGACACTGTCACCACTCTGTCCAACGTGGAACTGGCACAGGAGAAATGAGTGTGTTCAGCTTCTTCCAGCACTGACCTATATATCCTGAAAAGCTGGGAAATAAAGTGGGTTTGGCTTCAGAAGAATCAAATATGCAGAAGTGCCTGTTGGTTTGAGGAATCCGTATTTTTAGTGCAAAGGTTTTCTCGTCCACAATGAAAGAGCTGGCACAGAAATGCAGGATGTTTAGTCTAATGATTTCTTAAAAGGTTTCTCTGAGTCTTCCAGTTACTTAGGCCCTCTAAGAAAGGCACAAATAATATACTGTGAAAGATCTGGGTTTGTTTACAGTTTCTTTTCTCTGCTTTGGACCAAAACAAGGCAGCTTGCAGAGATCAGACTGTGTGATACTAATTGACAGCTTGGTCATAAAGTCAAAAGAGCAGCTCAATAGTCCTGTACAGGCACATTTGTTCTTTCAAAGCATAAAAAATAACCTCCAGAAATGACAGTCTGGAGCTGACAGGGAAACAAGATAAAGATTAATCAGTTGGGAGAAAAAGTCAGCCTGTTTCAAGTAGTATTTTATTTGTGTCTGAACAACTGCTGCAGTATTTCCAGACAGCAAAATATTCCCGTCCTCTTTTAGGCAGAGATGCTCCTGTCCTTAAAAATAATTTCTTGAGAGTCTAAATTTCACTGTCCAGTCTGGGCAGTTTCCTAACAAGTAAAATCTTTTCTACTGTACTAATATGAGAAGCTTTGGAAAAATAAAGCTCTGCATTAGCTGGAAAACAGTACAGAAAACATCCCTCCCTGGAGCCTGGAGGATCTCTGCAGAGGCACTGCCTGGAACACGGGCTCCACTATTAAAATTAATGTTGGTTTCCAAGACAAGGACAAAAACTGCCGGAAAACAACAGCAGATCCCGGCTCTAAAATGAGGGTATTATAAGCAGTGCAGTACGACAGGCGTCCAGCAGGGGGAAAGGAAGGACAAGGAGGGAGAGCAAGAATTTAAAAGCACCCCTGTCATTTTGGTGAGAGCAAACGGAGCAAGTACAAAGTGTAGCTGCAGCTGCCAGGAGTTACAGCACCACCCGACATCCAGGAGAACTGTTCCACATTTCCTTGGGAAGGAGAAACGGGTCAGGAATTGACTGTTGTACGTTCTAGATCCCACAGAGCACACATTCCTACCCCACATCCCATCCTGAGCCTTTTCCGATCCTCACCATGGTGCCACAGTCCTTTACGTCACTCAAGGTTATTATGAAAGGGATGATAATTAGGAAAGTATTCAAAAATAGCAGAAAGTTCAAAAATGCCAGAAATTTCAGCGATCCAAACATCTCATTTCCCTTCAGTACTGCATTAAAAGAAGCAGCTGAAAAGCTGCCAACTGAAGTGAGAAAATTAACCTGTCCTACAGAAAATGTTTTAAGGAAAACATCCTATCTGCAGGTCTCTTAATTTTTTTGGCTTATTAAACAAGTCTCTCAGTTTTACCATATTTTACATTAAGATGCCTGCAATCCCAGTGACATTTCCAAAAATACTGCAGGTCGGTTTTAATCTTTTTAGCAGTTCCCAACGACAGTTTCACAGTCAGTTTTGCACCACAGGCACAAAGGGAATAAATAACTTGAAAGTGGTTGATGTAAAAAAGGTTTTGCTTTACTGGAGGCACTACCAGCTTTGATCAGATCACTTCAAATCCAAAACAGAAATGGAAAAGCAACTCCTCTGTAAAAGCCTCTAAAAAAGAAAAAGTTCCAGTCTGCTTTCTAGTATGTCAAAAGTTCACAGCAGTGTTACCAAATGGAAGATTCTGCATGGCTGCAAATTTTTCATCTTGTAATGTACTTCCCCATCAGACAGATGGGGAGCAACAGGTCACAAACACTGATCACAAACACTCAGAGATGACAAATTCCTCCCCTTCACTGACTGGGCAACAAGCACAGAATTTAACAGACTGATGTGAATCCGTAGCATTGCTAAGAATCTAATCCTCAGTTTTGGAATTGAGAGTTTCTATTTCCCACTCTTAGAAACTGCTGCACCACAGCAGGAAACAATTAACATTAAGCCATACAAACTATGGAAAATTATGTTTAGAGGTCAAAAAGTGCTGCTTGTCCAGGAGAAACCTCCTCACAGCATCCCAACTCACCCCCAAGTGAAACGTGAGACATTTCAGATTAATATCTCTGAGAATCGCTCTTATCTCAGTACACAAAGCTAAAGAACAAGCAATGCTGCAGGCCCAGTTAATGCTGGACTTAGCAGAAAGGTGAGGAAGAATTCAGAGAACTGCATTTGTTAAGAAATGGTCTTCTCTGTTGTCAGCAAAAGTTTATCCGTGCTCTTTGGCTCAACTATTTTTAATAACTGGATGATAATCTTTCCCCATTTAAAGCAAATTAGAGAGAATATCTCCTTGACAGCTCTACAACGGGCTTTACTGGGAATAGAAATCTGTGGGTGTATAAACAGAAATGTTTGAGGATTTAAGAGTCTTCTTGCTGATTTTAGTGCACTAACTGGGACTCGAGCTTTCAGAATGGCTGCCACCATTCTATCCTTGCATGGCTTTCTGCAGAGTGGCCCTCATTCATTAGTTAGTTTTCCCTTAGTGCTTGCAGAGGATGCAGCACAGGAAAGAATTTCAGAAGCACATTCCAACTCGGGTTCACTCGTGTCTGTTGAAACGCTGTTGTTTTACCCTGTTATTTATCGTTACCATGGTAAGAGTAATGCACTTCAATCTTGTTTTCTAAATATGTTACTATGAGCTCCCAAGCAGACCCTCCTTATCTGGAAAAGCTGCCAACTCAGGCGATGAAGGAAGTGGATAAGGGGCTCATGTTCTGGGAACACCTCCTGACACGACATGGAAAGGAAGCCACGCTCGCGCTCAGGGAATCTCAGCGTTTGTCACTCTCTCTGAGCAGGAATTCTGCCATTTCCTGGAACCTTTTCCAAGACCATACAGGTGCCACCGATTTTCCATCTTACAAGGAGCTTGTTTAGGATCTTGTCTGCTGGAGTTTTGACTCAGCAGGCACACACAGCTGCGAGCTCCGGGGACAGTTGGTGCCCACAGCACTCCTGCCACAAGGGGAGTAATCTGCTCTCACGTTTGTCCCTTCACTTTCCTCAGGAAAGTGAGTTCTGTCCATCAATATTCAAGCCTTTATCCACTCTCAAGGACACTTAGGAAACATTTTAATACTCAGGGCAGGATACTATCAGTTACTATATTTCAGAGGCCTTGTTCTTGTGATTGTTACAGTTACTAAAAGTGACAAAAGGAGACATCCTGTACCGGTGAGATTGCTCCCAGCAGAACACAACCCTCCTTAGTAAAGAAGGGAACAAATATAAATTCAACTCCAGGAAAAAAAAAAGATCAGCATGTTCAATGTTTTAACTGAACATTTTTCCAAGGCTGAGAACAATGTTACTGAAAAATGCTTCTTGTGACATTTCAATGCCAAACGGCTCTGTACTATCAACATTCAGAGTAAGAAAGGCTCTTCAAATATTTACCCTAGAAAGAGAAGCTGAAGTACACACTTCCAGCCTTTTAAAGAACAAACTAATCACTTCAGCTAGCCAGCCTAATGTGGGTGGGAGAACATCCACTGTTTGGGGGAAAAGTAAGAATAACGTCATTTGACCAGGGGAGTCAGGATAAAGAGCAACTCCAATCCCTCACAAATACATTATTAATACCCCACATTAAGGACAAAAGCCTGAGTAATTTATTATTCACCCTTCACTATGCCTCAACCATTAGAATCACTGCTTCTTCCACCGGTGCAGTGCTAAGGCACATGATAAAACAAAACCTGCCTAACTGTATTTGCTCACTGATTTCCACTGTTCCACCAAGAATCTCCTTAATGCTTGGGTTTGTTACCTTTAAAAAGGGATAAGCCCCCTGTTCATACCCTTTTACATTTCATTAGCAAAATCACCTAAAGCTAACTGCTGTAGAAATATCTGAGTATTTAAAGTTTGAAGAGAGCTAAAACGAATGATCAAGTTGCTCTAAAATTAAAGCTTGCACAAGGATTTTGGCAGCTCAGTTTGTGATCTGATTATTAAACCAGATTTTGCAGTGTTTTCATGCTGGAGTATGATTTTAATCCGCGTGCAACCTTGTCTGAAGGGGACATCACTTGACACAGGGCTCAGGTACGGGCACACCACACTTTGTAAACTCACATTAATCAGTTGTTCTACCAGAACTGCACGGAAAAAGTCTAATTTGTTTGCTCTAAATATAAATAGGATGAGAGTCCTTACACGTGCTTCGGATACTGTTCCCCCTGCCATTTAACACCCTGCAGATCTCCACCTTGGAAGCTCAGTCCTGTCACCTACCTGGCCAGACCTTAGTAATTTCAGGAAAAGGATGAGTCAAGTTAATTTTAACCCAAGAGAATTGCACAGTGATTTGCACAATTTAACACTCTGTTAAAAATGCAGTGTTTGCTAAAATGCACCATCACTTTAGGAAAAAAAAAAAAAGGTATAAAAATGACAGACTGTCACAAAGGTCAATCACTGCTGCCTGGCAGAGATGTTCATAACAGACATTTAATAAAAGCAAATAAAGCACTAGCACAGGTCACTAACACGGGTAATCGTTTTAAATATTGAAAGACAATCATTGCCTCAAGGAATCCAAAATCCCAACTGAAATATTAATAAAGGACAAAAATTAATTTCAGTTCTGGCAGCTGATGCAACCTCAGGTAACATCTGTAGTTGAAGGAAGCATCTGTTAAAAGATGTCACTAAACCTCCTGAAGCCTGATTTATGAATTCTTATCTGCTCCAAACATCTAATACTGATATAAACTGGGTAAGAACTTAATTTAATGACACTGTATATCTGACTACTTTTTGAAACTTAGCAAGAGGAATAATTCAAAATCATTCAGGTCTCTTTCTAGGATTATTTTATTCTGTGCTTTTGATATTAAGAATTTACACTTTGAGAAAATGGCACTAGGGAAAAAATCAGTAAGAACTGTAACCAATACCTGCAGTAAAACTGGGCATGTATTAATATGTCACCAAACATATGACATACAAGACCTGACATTTACAAGTTGTACTACTGGAGTTGCAGGAAAATCCTGGTCTAACTTTATGAAGGGAAGTCTTTAAATAATTGAAACCAGGGCAGTTTAAATTGGTAACAGGCAAAGCCCAAAACGGATCAGAGGAAAAACCCCATTTACTTTTACTTATTCAGTAATCCCATAATTCATCCATAGGATTTTTAACTCCAAATAATTTCTAGAATAGCACTCTGGTTCCTCTGCCTGACCTTTTGCTATCCAAGCATTACACAAGCAAAATCCTGCAAAAGGAAAGTGTGTAAGAAAGACATTTCTTCACCATTTGTCTCAGCAACAGCCCAGATGACTTTCTGCCAAATGTTAAAAAGTTAAATCCCTGACCAAGCTGTTCAAGCTGTGAGCCCAGATGAGATGCCTGCCCTGACACACATGAAATGAGGCTGGATCAGCACAGCTTCCCTCTCTGAATAATTATGATTTTCCTTGATGCCTGGAAGAGAATTTTTCACTGGCGACTTCTCAGCCTTTTGCCCTAAAATCAGTCAACCCCAGTCCAGTGCTGGCCCCTGCAAGGGATGATGCTGGAGACACCCCCTGCAACTTCAGGTTTTCCTTTGATTTAGGACCTCCCAGGCAACTCTTTTCACCCCCAAATCACCAACCACACCAGACAATAAGCCCTTCCACAGACTGTCTGAAAGACCAAAACCCAGCCCTCGATTCGCACCTAAAACCCCACCATACGTTACGAGTTAAGAGCCAAAATCCTGCGGCAGCGTTAATGTGAGCAGCTAATCAAAGCTAAACCCTGGGTACACCGAAACCCACGGCAGATCCTTCCCGACTCGCGGAAAAGCTGCCGAAAACACTCTTTAAACACGCTGGCTCTTATTTCCAGAGCCCCACGAGTGCCCAGCCGAGCCCTGACCCCGTGTGCACGTGCGAGAGGCGAAGAGAACGCCCCCGGCTTTTTAAAACACCTTCCTACGAACGTGGTACCGAACTCGGCATCCCCTCGGAGCTGCAGGGGGACAGCCCGCCGGTCCCGGCGTTGCACGGGGTGGGGGATCAGGAGGCAGAAACACGTCGGAAACACGCGGGCTGAGGGGAAAGTTGGGGCCGGGGGGGGCAGAGCCGGGCTGGGAGGAGGAGGAGGTGGCGGCGGCGGCGACCCCGGGCAGACAAAGCGCCTCAAAGCCCCTCCATTTTGGTGCCCCCTCAGCCCCCGCCGGGCGGGCCCGCACAGGTCCGGCCGCCCCCCCGCCCCCACACGCAGCCCCGCCGCCCCCGACCCTCACCCTCCAGCAGCCGTTGGATGATGCTGTCGATGTTGAGCTTGTCTATGTCCGCCATCGCCTCTCAGTGGCCGGGCGGAGCCCTCCCCGCCGCTCCGCTCGCGGCTTGGCCGGCCCCACGTCCCTCTCCTCGTTCCGTCTCGTTGTTGCCCTTCCTACTCCGCGTCTTCCCTCGCTCTCTCCGTCCCCCCCGCCCGCCCCCTCAGCGCAGACCCAGCTCCGAACAAAATGGCCGCCGTCCCCTCCGCGAGCGAGACCCGCGCATGGATACTACGCGCGCGCGAGGCGCCTCCCCGGGAACCGTTTATAGGCCGGGAGGGAAGAGAGGGCGAGGCGACGGAAATTCGCAGGATCCTTCCGCTGCCGGCACGGGAAGTAGTGCGGAGGTGCCGCCTCCCGCTGTCGCGGGTGTCGCGACGGTCGCGTTGTGGGGGCGGCGGTGGCGGTCACAGGGTCACACAATCGATTTAGGCTGGAAAAGACCTATGGGATCGGGCGATCAACCTATGACCGATCACCACCTCGTCAACTAGACCATGGCACCAAGAGCAATGTCCGGTCTTGCCCTGAGCAGCTCCAGGGATGGTGACTCCACCACCTCCCTGGGCAGCCCGTTCCGATATCTAATCACCCTCTGTGTGAAGAAAGGCTGGTCCCATGTGGGGTCGCAGAGGACTGGGCTGTGCAGGGAGCTGGAAGGGGCCACCATCGCCTTTACCTGGTTCCCCCCAGCCCCACGTGCCCTACACTCCTTGTCCCTGCACGCCATGAGGGAGACAGCGGCTGCAGGCGGGTTTGGTGCTGTTCACCCCATTTTAGGGCAGGGGGAACACATCCTTCATATCCTTCACCTCACACCCAGCCACCGCTGCCTCACAGCTGGAGGAAAGGTGGCCTGAGCAGCCCTTCAGCTCCAGAGCACCTAGAGACACGTGGCTCTGCCCCGCAAATACCTCAGAAAACAAACACACAGCACTTTAAAATCCTTATGGGCGAAGAAATCAGCGTCCTCGTTCAAAAGCAGCCTGCTCTTTTATTCCACACTTCTACTATTTTATTCTATGTGTAGCTACAGCTTGGCTACAAACAATTAAACGGAGCTATGCTCGTGACCTGGAGTGTGTTTGCTGGGGAGATGGGCTGTGCAGGCCTTTCCCACTGTTCGCTTTGCATCTACTGACTGAATATTGTTTAATTGCTTTATTTTCTCCTGCTTTCATTCGCAGGGACGGCCGTGTCAAGCTCTTTCCTCCTCCCCTCCCCTCCCTGCGTGGATTGCTCCCGCTCTGCCTGGCGGGTCCCTCCTGCCGCCAGTTATACAATATTCATTACGGCTTATTGCCCTGGCGGGGCCGGAGCAGAGTTCGGATCCGGCGGGGCGATAAAGCAAAGGACTTGCAGTCTCAGCACACCTCGGGTCTGCGGGAGGAAGGAGATAAGAGGATGCAGAGTCTACCTGAAACGCAGGCTCTTGCCCCTTGCCATCGCAACCTCAACGCTCGATTTCCCCGGGCGAACCTTATCGTGGCGAGCACGCCCAGGCTGATATGCTAATCTTAGTCACGCTGGTGTAAACCCAAAGTAACCCTGTTGAAAACAATAGAGTTACTTCAGATTTACTTCAACGTGACAGCCTCTGCAGATTTACATCTATTTTTGCGCTGCACCTTCCCGGGGAACGGCCCCCTCCGGCTCTTGCACCGAATGCTTTCTTTCTCTTTCAAATCCTTTCTAATTCTGCGGGGCGAGTTGTTCTCTTGGACTTAGCTGAATTATTTAACAAGGAAAATTGGTCCTGTGTTTCCAGAGGAACCTTCCCGGCCTTGTTTTCCTTGCTGAAAATACCTTCTTCTTCTCTCAGCTGTTACCCCCTCTCCAGGGACAAGTCCTTTGGGGATCTGAGCACCTTTAGTGGGATCCTGAGTTGTTCTCACTCCTGTCAGTGCTCTGGGAAATGGGATGGAGGGGGAGAGCTCAGCAACCCAGGTGCAACCCAGGAGATGCACTTAGGAATTCACTGAAAACTCCCGTATTTCTGAAGGGAAGGATCCAGCCCTTCAAAAGACACCGGTCAGGGCAAAGAATCCTCCTCACTCACTGAACCATATCAGGCAAGGTCCAAAGCACTGTCAGTTCTTGTTAAAAGAGGCGTAGCCAGGAGGGAAGTAGAGAAATGACACATAAACGTGAATCTGTCGAGGCCTCGTCATCACCTCGATAACCAACGAGCCTTGTCACAGCTCCAAGTCCCAACGGCAGCTGCCAACGCCTGCTGTCCTGTTTGGAGGGGCTGGATTTTTGCTCAGGGTCTTTCTCGTTCTCATAAAAAGCGAGGACCCTTCCTTAAGGGCCATAAACTCCCTGGACAGCCAGTGGTGTTAAAATGCCACGACAAAATTATCTTTTTAATAAACCAACTTTTCTCTGCTGGAAGAAACAAGCCTCACCCCATGCCCTGATTAGGAAAGGGACCCAGCCAAGGTGTTATAAATATCCTGAAAGTGTTTTGTTCTCCGGTGTTGCTCACAGCAATTATTTATTTCTAGAGGGGGAACAGATTTGTTTCCAGAGATGGAACATTCAGGGAAATCCCTTTGTCCTTAAATTCTGCACCTGGGCTTTAAGCATTCCTTCATTTTGAAGCTCATTTTTCATATACCAACATCTCCACCCCTTCTTTCTATTTGTCTACAATGTTCATGCTACTCTGCTAAATACATGATGATGTATGATTTGGCTCGCTCACAGCTCTGAGACCTCTATGTCCTTTCCTTCCTTCCCCCCTTGAAATTCCTCAAATGACCACTTTGGTAACATTCCTTGGAAACCTCTGTGTAAAATATCTTTCTCCAGTGATTTGTCCTCACTCTCTCATGCACATGCCACTTTGTTATTTCATGGTTGCTAATAATCTGGTTAAGATTAAATATATATCTATATTATATAAATAATACCTGCCTATATGCAGGAGGAAAATGAGATTTCATTATTGTTCTGTATATATATAAATATATATATTCTGTGTGTATTATACATATTTACAATGTATATACACACATTCATTATATATGTGCAGATAATAACAAAACACTCCCTATTTTATCCCTGTCTATTGGTGGGTCCTAAGAAATCCACACTTCCCCTCGCCTTAAATTACATATTTGCTAAGCCTGTGAAATTCAGTGTGTTTGTGTACATTTCAAACAAAGATCTACATGGGCTGTTCAAACACTGCCCAAACAAGACTGGGTGACTTGTGGGTCAGATGTTATTTTTCCTAACCTGATCCACAGCCAGCACTTCAATGTTTTCATAACTCTCACTGTTTGCAGCCAGATTACCTGGTGTTACAATCAAGATAAAGCCTTTCCACACTCTCTTCTTGCTTCTGGTGCCTGAAATATTTTGCTACCCCCCAACAAATCCCGGCTGCTGCAGAGTTTTGGGGGTGGAGGGTGCCAATTTGTCAGACAAAAGAGGAGCAGCTGGAAGAGCCGCGAGGATGAGCTGGAGATGGAAGGGTCCGTGTCCCTTTCCAGAGGGAGCTGATGACGCACGGGCTGGAGTTTTCTTAGTGTCATGTTTTATTTACAAAACACACGGTGCCACGATCTCCCTCCAGCAACAAACCCCGTGGATTGTGCAGGAGATCGTGCAGGACCTGACAAGGAGCTCGGGGCTGGCGGCTGCTCCTGAGCCTCCGGCATCGCCTTGGGGCTCTCCGAGGACTCAAACCACGTGCAGAAGCTCACTGAGGCCTCATTCCCAGACAACCAGCAACAAGATTCCTGCTGGAGACTCCGTTACACTCTCTCTTCTCACGGGTGTTCCCAGCACACCAGAGCCAGGCCTTGGTTTACACCGTTTCCCAGCCTCCACAGACAGTTTCCCTCCGAAATCTTCCCCCCTGCAGCTGTCAACAACGATGACAAGCCCATCTCAAGTTTGACAAAATTTTGGATAACTGATCGTTAAAAGATTCAGCTTGGAAAATTTAGAGACAGGTTATTTGGACAGGGGAGAAATGTGATTTGCTGTTCCTCCCCCCCCTACTGGTTTTTTTTAATTTATTTATTAAAAGTTGATGTACTTCATGGGTTTCTGAAGAAAGGCATTTTCAAATGGAAAATCAGTGAGCTTTGGAAGGCTCAAACCAGCAGAAATACTACCAATAAAATCCTTCTCACGTAAAAATGTCATAAGTCACTTTTTTTCTAATACAGAAGTGACCACAATAGGATTTTTCCTGCTACAGCTGTTTGGATTAAGAAAACATCGTACATACCACCCTCCTGGTGAACTTCAGATATGAATCTGACTTTTAAGGCCACACCAGGCACAAGAGCCATTTTGACGTGTCCTGTCTGTGGCTGAGCATCCCTGGCAAGTGTGGGGATTGCTCAGAAAAAGAGGAGAAACAGCTCCAAAGGAGGCTTTGTCCTACTTTAAGTGCAGAACAGCCGTAGCGGATCAGTTGACGCCGCTTTGGCACCGAGCAGAGCCCCGGCCTCCCCTCTTTGTCAGGAATCTCCACGCTCCGCCAAAGCCACTTTCATAACCAGCTAGAAAGTTCTTGAGGGCTTCCATGGGGCTCAGCTGAGGGGAAAGGGAAAAGCATGGGCAGCAGCCAGTGCTGTACCCCCAGCAAAGGGCCTTCTCGGCCCTTTTCCAGCTGGTTTGTGGTGGGATGAGGACAATCTGCCTCTTCCCTGTGCTGGTGGAGGGGGGAGGCGGCGTTGGGGAACGGAGCTGCTTTCTACACCTGGATGTGGTGGTACAGAGGGATGGGAGTGGAGCAGACCTTGCAAAACAAGGAGAGGCAACTGCTGCTCAAAGTGGGGCATTTTGGTGCAGCTGCAGGGTCATGTGGCTCGAAGAAAGCAGCTCGTGGATGTTCCTCATTGCACTGGCCAGAAATGCTGTTTGCAGCCTGGACACAGCCTGGGATTTTATCCCAGCACAGCCCTGCTCCCGGACTGAGCTGCTTCTCTAATTAAACCTGATGAAAAAAGAGGATCAGGAGGGCTGTCACAGGAGTGGGAAAGTGGAAATAAGATGAAAGTCTGATGATTTGCTGTTGGTCAAACAGCTGCTGTGTCTGTGATGCCTCTGCAGACCCTGGCAGGAGACACATCACTGAACGTGAGATGCAGGAGCAAGAAACAAATCTTCCACGTGCCCTGGAGATCCCTAATTCCACTGAGGATTTGGAAATGCAGGTGAAATATCTGGGAAATGCTACATGCCTGCACCTGAAGGAGGGT